TACTGCTAATTAAGGATAATGGAAATCCTCTTCAGAAAGTAGAATTAGCGGCCGAAATGTGGCAATCATACACCAATCCCTCAAAAAACTACAAAAAATTCCGCTTTCGAATCATCCTATTATCACCACATCAACTATTCATTCTTTAGACACAGAATAATAGCTTTCATTTAAGAAATCTATTTTATTTCATGAGAAACTTCTTGCCAAATATGGAAAAGATAGAGAAACAGTGCAACAGAGAATCAAATAAACATGAAGTTTTCTAAGTTTACAGTCATGATTTATGTCTATCCAATATCTGTCATTTCCCCGCCGTCTAAGCTCTTACGGTAAATATACTTCCTTTCTTTCTTTCTCCCGGTTTACCGCAACTTATCACTCATTGAATGTAAACACTTTTGTTGAAATTTGATAATTCCTTTACCAAAACTAGTTAGTTGTTTGCTGTTATTTCATAGTGAATCAAAAATTTGTTCAGCATCTGCCTATATGACTTCAAGTACAAAAACAAAAAAAAAAAAGTTGACTGCTTGTGCAAATATTTTTCTTGCTGACGATGAAAAGACAACTGGAAAATGATGAACCAGCAGAAAATTGCGCTTCATATTAAATGTTTATATCAAATAAAAAGTAGAAAGTTCAAAAAAAGAAAATCTGAAGTCTGATATAAGCTATGGTTACAACATGAAGAATCTTTAATGACAATGTTTGGCAAAACTACTGTTAGACAAACCATCACATATTTCGTAAACGAAGTTAATAGATGGGATAACCGCTGCGAAAAACGATCAGTAAAGCTAGATTCAAACCAGAGTGGATGAATCACAAACTGCACAAACCCATACATAAAGTTAAGATTTAGAGGAAAAGCCTCCTGACTGGTGAAAAAGCAAAAGGCAAATGATTCAACATCCTAATATTACGGGATGAATAATACTGTTTTACGGAAAAAAGTATAATTCAAAATTATGATTTGGAAAAATACAAAAACAAAGTTAAGACTACACTAATACAGTTACAGCACTGAAACCACTGTGATAATGTGAGAATGATGTGCCACAAGAAAATGAAATTCATTTAATTAAAATGATGAAAAACATTTAATTAAAAAAACTACTTTTCCTCTGTTTCCAACTTTATATAGTAGGAACACTCCGCCAAGTATGAACGAGAACAATGAGTCGAGTAGCGCAAGTAGCACGTGTAATGGTAGTCACGCAAGCATAAACTCTCCAGCTAAAATCTTGTCGAACGATGCAATCATAGTACCGAGCGATCTACTTCTCTTGTCCACCCTCTCCCTTGATGGGAAGTATCATAATTCTTTTCACAACACGACTAAATCCACAAATAAAGTAACAGAAAGTGTGAAATTTCGTCATTTAAGAATAAATCCTTGAGATAAAATTGAATCGATATTATTTAGGAATGATCGCTTATTCCTCCTCCTCCTAATCAACTTTAACAATTTATGGATTTGAAGAAAACTAAATGTTTATTCATAAATATGAACAGTATATTTACTTTGACTACTTTTATTTCTACTCCAAGCTTTTGAAAACTGCAATACCGGAAAAAGATGTTTTCTTCGAATGTCATAATACATTTTTATTCTCAACCAGAAATCCCACTCGGTGCAATCCAGAAATACTACTCTTATCTTGCAAGGAATAAGGATACGAACAATTCATTCTCGCGTTGATTATGTCATTCTCATGAAAAGGGAACCAAAAAGTAACACCGAAAACAAAGCTAAAATTAGGACTTGAAACCAGAAGCATTAAATGATGAACAAGAGGAATGAGTGCACTCGAGTAAACTGAGACCATATATGATGATAAGGGTATTTCTTCAAATTTTAAGAGTGGATAAGAAAAAAGGAAAAATACGTGGCTGACCTTGCCATTCTTCACAATTCTCCGAAATGCCGGACAAACTGTGTAATATTACATAACGTATCGTTTCGTTTTGCTTTACATATGATTACACTCAAAAACAATTCTCTTCGCCACTGACAGTCAACTCTCGGAGGGGTTAGCGCAGTGGCTAAATGGTACAACTGAGACAGCAAAAAATTCCCTTAACGGAAACAGTGAAAATTCCATTCATATTTTCGCTACAGACCAAACATGTTCTGCAGAAATTATATGGGTAATTCTCTTCAAAAACAAGTGTAAACCGTTAACTGACCAACCAATCAAATATTTAATTGTTAAATGATTAAACGTTATTAAGCACTCAGCTTTACAACCATCTTCAGTGTACTTTACCCAATGTTGTCATCCACTCTTTTCCCTTCATCACGCTTACCATATCCTACAAGATAAGCTCAACATCGAGTTCGGATGATAAGGAAGGATAAAGAAATAATTTTGGAATCAGAAAAAGTTAGGGCAAAATAGAACATCTTCTCTTGTTAAAATGTTTGGAAAAACGTTAAACTTCAAAACCAACACTGATTCTGATTCAATGCCAAAAAGACTATTCGATGAGTTGAGCTATGTTTAGCTTACTTTATTTTCATATGTCATATTTGATATAAGCTATATTCAAATTCGCTATGATAATCTTAGAATGCTGGAATCTATCGCTTATTAAATGGAAAATGGATTATGTTGAACATGCAGTTGCATCTAAAAATAAAGAAGTTTGTTTTTCTTAATTTATTTTTCTGAATAACTCATAACGCTTTTGTATGCAAATACAGATATTATCGTTGGAAACATGAAGTAGCAAATGAAAGTGAAGCAGCTGTTCTTTTCAGCCGAATATACATTCCCTGAGACACGTTTAAAATCAACAAAAAATGGTATTATTTCTTAGAAATGAACTTGCGCATATATTAATCCGGACTCTACACAATTTTGGAATATTCATCAAGTTACACCTCAATTTTCTGACCTACTCTACTCTGAAGCAATTCACTTCAGCAAACATAATCAAAAGAATTTAAAACTCATGTTTAAGAGCCAAAAATAATGCAGAAATGTAGAGATTCCACATGATAAAAACTGTAATCAATTAAGTCAAAAGATAACAGAAATATTCATAGAAGAAGAAACTGTTTATTTCACCTCTACTAAAGCAAAACCATTGCAAACCGGTGGAGATCGGGTTAAAGAGCGAGCCACAGAACTAACAGTATAGAACTGCGTCCCATTTTATCCCTTTTGCATTGTTTATGCATTACAGATCTAATAATCGAAATTATGTGCATAAAAGTGGGATAGAAAAGAGAAGTGATAAAGAATTAAACCATAACAATGAAGTGAATATTATAAAATGCGAAGAAGATAGAAGAAAGAATCGTGTTTTACGGACTCACTGATTAGGCAAGTGACACAAACAACTTTCGCGGGTTTACCGTTCATTGTTTGAAAAGATTTTCCACATGTCAATATCAACAGCAACTATTGAGTACGAAAATGAAAATAGGGCCTTTTGTCGGAATTGTTCAAAAACCTTAATAAAATTTTTAAGAATCGGGAAAATGATGCTTACTTCTCTTTATCGTGAAAGGTTTCACTCTATAAAAAAGATAAACTACAGTTGAACAATAAGGCAGCATAGCCTTTCACTATTCTCTTACATTAATGAATGAAAGTGATGATGAATTTTTGACTGATACGATTTCAATTCAACAGAGAAAAAATTCTGTAAGTCTTTTACCCAAAACATGAACTTTTGTTAGGGCTACAATAATTACAATTATTTTTTTTTTGTGAAAAATTTCTTTTCTCCATTTCTGAAAATTTCATTCATAAAATATATCTAATTTTTAAGAACAAGATAATTTGTGATAAAAAATATATCAGAAATTTAAAGTTATTTTTAAAGATTTAAAACATTAAAAACAAAAAAAAGTTATTTTTTTTTAAAGATTTAAACATTAATTCATGCAGATTCTCCACAGCTGAAAAGTCTAAAGACATTAACGCCATCAATGCCATCTAATTTAACTGCAATCTTAAGAAATTAGTCAACTTATTCATCAGTAAATTATTTACTGCTTGACAATCAATCAGGTAGTTAGTTTCGCTTAAGAAAATCGCGTTGTCGATATTTTCTCAATTAAGAAAAAGAAGTTTCCAAGCACACCATCTTGATTATTCACACAGTCTTAAAACGGCATTTGTTTCTAATCAGGCAATTCATTGATAATGGGTATACTCAACATTTGCTGTAATTCTAACTTCAATCACTTAATATGCAGAACATCCTGGTGAGTAACTCGCGAGATATTTGTTAATTGATGGCTCCCTTATTCGCATCGTCTCTAATCTTTTGCCAGCCCAATCTAACCAATCTACTCGATTCTCTTTTTAATAAAATTCTCCACAAAATATTCATTTTTAAGAAAATTATCAAGTAAAGAGCTTTCATGAATTAGCTATATATATACAAGAGAAGGAAAACTAATTTTTTATTGCATAGGCTATTTTTTGATTAAAACAAATGTATTTTATAATGGCATGCCCAAAAACGTAAATAGACTTCCTGCAGATACGTACTCAGCTTCCAGAATTAGTAAAAAATTCTAGAAGCTAGGTACGTACCGACAGGAAAACAAGGCAAACAGGTATGGCGGTAATTCATGATTAGCTTTACTTTCTTTACAACCAAAAACTTAATCTGATCTAATATTAATAAATTGAGAATGTAATAAAAAATCTAAAATTAAGTTTTTTTATGAATCAGAATCAAGAAGATTTAATGCTAAAAATTAAAGTTGCATTTTCTTCAATGGAAACAGAAACACAAAAACGAAACACTTTACTTCGCATAAGTTAAAACTCACTCGAGTCTTATGTCGTGTCACTTTCTATAGCAAAAAGTATAATATTTTAAGAAATGCTTCAATATACAGAATTGAATTGGGAATGTTAATTATTATTCAAAAATTTGTAGGGGAGAAGGACAAACCAGATGTAGTGACACCTTTGCAGTTCTTGCTTTGGGTTCTATCGTTATTAGAATTCATCGATGGCCTACACATCTCACTCCCATTTTTGAATTCTTCTGTGGCAAAACATTGATTTTCCATATCTATATTCACTTTCTTCACCTAAAAGCATATTAAATAGGTGTGAAACTAACATCAGTCCGTATTTTGAAACAACCCTTCAAACATATGATTGCACAGAAATAATAATGAGTATATACAATTAAGTGTTTGAAATAGCGAACAGTCCTAGTTTTGAAAAAAATTGAAAGAACAAAGAGTGAAAATACGCTTCCCCTTTTAGAAAAAAAGAAATGTTACTAAACATTAACAACTACCAGTTATGTTCTTTGCAAAATTATAGAATGCTAAGCTTCATTTTATATCTTACAATACATATATATTGAGGTTTGAAGTCAAAATATTCGTGAGACAGGCAGGATAATCAGAAAAATTATGACAAAATTAAAACAAATATAAATTTATATACTCAGATTGTGCAAAGAAAACAATTTGCGTCTTTTATTTTTTATTTGAAAAAATATTAAACAGTGCGAGTGGTCACTAGGATAAAGGTGATCAATTGCAATGGAAAAATTTTTAGAAAGACACTATTCTTTCTTATCTCAACAATGCAGAAAGAGGATAGCTTACTTGAGTAGTTACACTGCCCGCTGAATTTGCCATTAAAGATTAATAGCTTCTGGGTAGCACTGTAAAATCCAGAAAAGTAAAACAATATAAAACGTTTAGATTTTGTTTCCTTTCACTTTTACTTGTTCTCGATCTTTTTGAAAACTTAAGGCATTATTTAGTCTGAAAATCTGCAAATTAAGAATGTGAGAGACATTACTATCAGACACTGGCATGATTACCTAAAAACAATTAGACAAAGCACTAATTTGACCTTAATTGGACTTCGATACTCCAGATCCGGGATCTATGTCATATATATGGTTCAGATTTACACTTTGATATTAATAACTGAGTAGCTTCAAACAAACCTAGAAGCCCTATATATTTGTTAATTTCTTTTCAGTTCTCATAGAGTTCCAAAAATATATTCCACTGTACTCCGATATTATCTAGTTGAATGCACACCCATTCCATAACCACATACTACACTTAATGCCGAATTTTTGTGTAAGATTCCATTCTTTCCATAACAACTATTACTTATTGAAAGTTAACTTTTGGTGACAAAATTAAGAGCTAAATTTTGGTGCAACAAAATTTTAGAACTTATAAAATAAAATGAAGTGGTTCGAAATTTAACACCCGCACTTTTTTCTTTTCTTCACCAATGAAATAACATAGGAGTCTGACAGCAGCAAAAGATGTAAGCACGGCAATCGGTATCGACAACTGCTTCTTGGTCGGGTCTTTCTTCCGTCCAAATCAGCAAGCTTCTCGTTAATGCTTTGTTCCTGTTTCCTGTAAACATAATTGCTTTCTTTTAAATCAGAGAAATCAAATTTCCGGTGACTTTCATACGTTAGAATATTTCAGACAAAATATAATAATCAACGGAAAAACTTTATAGGTATTTTATTTCTTGTCATATGTTTCTTGCCACAAAAGTAAAATTCTAAACATGGTTAATGAATGAATGAACAGAGTGATGGAAAACATTGTGAGTCCAGAAAAAATAAGGACAAAGAATCCTTAATATGCATCATCAAGTGAACAAAAATCATAAACTGAAACGTAATATATTTCAACCAACTAAAAATACCTGCACCAAATGGTTATGTAAAACTAAAAAATTCACACACAATCCGTTCCAAACCGTTAAAACTATACAAATGCATGACTTATCAACAATATGGTCAGGGCCATGCACCAAAAGTATTAATAAATTAAAGGTAATTTCATAATAGTAAGACGCTTTACATTTTAGAAAAGATGAGAAAACAGATTAGTCTTAATAAATAAAACGATCGCTACACGCCCCTTCTTCCACTTATTTAGCATCGTCAGATAGAGATAAATATGAGTGATGAAAACGAAAGTATAATGTTCTAAGAGCAAAGCGTATCTGGAGCAAAATCTGGCACAATTTTTTCCTTCGTTAATAAAGTTGAAATGTCTTATTAATTACTTATATAAAAAGTGCCATCGATCAACGAAAAAGTAGCTACATGATCTTCTATATTCTACTATATAGTCAATTGCATGAATGAAATGTCCTCCTTTATCGAATATAAGTTAGAAGATTTTAGAATTAAATCATTAGAACAACTTTTTTTTTTTGTCCGGTGAAATTGCCAAAAAACGTTTTGAAAGAATTTCACCAGAGTTGAACTGCTTCGTTAGCTTCTTGGTAGTAGCAACAGAATGCAACGTTAAAGAAAATTACGTAGAATAGAAGTTAAGGGTATGGAAAAAATAACTGGAAATTTATAAAAGTAAATAAACCTTGGTGGAGGCATAAAGTGAGAAATCCGCTTGTTCAGTAACCAAGAATGATACTAATCGTTTCTAAAAATACACTGTCTTAATAAAATGAAAGCAGAAGAAGGACATTTAACATGCGAAGATAATGGAGCAATTTGAAAAACACTAAAACGAGATATGAGATAGGAGATTTATTTTAAGCAATATGTAACCACTCTTAAAATACATCAACGGTGAAATCAAACAGTGATAAAAATTATTGAGAAATGATAGGATTTAAACGAATGCAACCTCAATTAATAGTATATAAAAACAAAGTGCAGGATAACAAATTCTGATTCTAATGAAATACCATTCGATATGAAAGGAAAGAAAACTACATGGAACGATGGAGTCTCGTTATTCGATCTATACACACTGATCAGTGATGTTATCAATATCAGCTTTGAAATTTGTTTTATATATGGATTGAAAGGAAGTTAGAATTCATACAGGGAATATAAATTATACCCATAAGAAAATATGATGAAGTAATGATTTGTTTATAAGTCGCTTGTAATTTATATCATATAAAATTGAAAAATCATGGTGCATGCAGTGAAAAAAACAAATTTCGTCGTAGTTGATAATGCCTAAGTCACCGATGTTCAACCCCAAATATTAAAAGTTTCACCAAATTTGGAAAACTCATATGGTAATTATTGCTAAGAAATGATCTGTATAAATTAACCTAATAAAAACTCATATGAAAAGAAACCATAGCTTAAGTATAACTAAATTCAAGAAAAATTTTTTTGAATTTGTAAGAACAGAAATTTTCAAACGTCTGAACTGAAGTGCTTAGTTCAGTAATTAATCAGTATGAAATGTTTTATATATGTTGACTGGAAAATGCGATCAACCTTTACTCCCACTACACTCCCTTTTACTCCTAAAAAAATTTATTACATCCCTCCAAGAAAGTTTTGGCCACTCATATTAAGTAGCATTAAAATGAGGTATGACATGTTCACTTAAAAAGCATTATCAAAACACATCATTATTCATCAGGTGATAATCAGCAATGCTAAAATAATTAATAACTAAAGATTATTACCCAAAACATGCTATGCAAAGTATAAAATGTATTATATATGTTTTTTTTCGATAGTCGAAATACCTAAATTAATACTGATGTTTGAAAGCGTTAGCTAATTTGAGTATTTGGTGTAAACCGCTGCATAAGACTGAATACGCGAAAGAAATGACCTTGTCTTACATACTAACTCATTAGTCTATCTTTCAATTTAAAACCCGTAAAAAACTACACAAACGCTTATCTGTGCCAGAAACAGCATCATCAAACACATGAACGCAATTAACAGACAACATCTCATATTATCCATTCAAATAATTTATTAGAAATACTCTGAAATCCAGCACAAACCCAGCAGAACTATCCTTCCCTACAAACAAATAGAAGATGGATCTCCCTTAAAACTAACAGCGTTGCGATCTACTTAGCTGACTCTGTCTTGTCAAAGATTATTACGTAAATTGTTATGACTAGGTTGAAGACATAATTTTAAATCATTTGTATCATGAACAGATAATATAAAAGTACTTTTAAAAAATTAATCCGAAAGCAAGACTTCATCTGCCGTATCGTAATCAGTTCATCATTTTTAATAAATTAGAAAAGATATCAGAAAAAAACAAAACAAAATTCAGGCATCTATCTAATAATAAATGACAAGTGGCACTTATCAACACTTACGCTTCCGGCGCACTCCATTTCAGGAAAACAATCCATTATTGCAAACAATCATGAGCAAGAAAACTGTTACTCATGATCAGCTTAGTGCAGGACCAATGGACAAGCCTTTCGCACAGTTCCGTTGCCTACTGATTAATATTTGCGTTTCCAATTAGTTTGGGCGAGAAAACTTATTCGATAAGTTTTCGAGTTTCTTCAAGAATAATGTGAACGATTTTCGTGCTGTAGTAGATATATACTTCTGATGACCGTTATTATTAAATTATAAATCGACGAACTACTGTGAGATTAAATTATAAATGAATATTCCAACAACTCCCTTATATAAGCCATGAAAATCGTGGTGCTCCGAGGATAATTTGATTGGTTTATAAACGCCCAAAATCAATGACCATCCGAGCAGCTAGCTGATAAAAATAATGATTTAAACAGCGCTAAAGCATCCTTAAAAGATTTGCAAAAAAAAAGAAAAAAGAAAAGAAAAAAAAACGAAACTTTGTTAAAAGGAATTTCTAGAGACATAGTAAAGGAAATTTTTCTTATGTTCCTAGAAAAAATACTGCAAATCCTATTATTAATATTTAGTTTTGAAGTTACATCTTGAAACTGCTATACCAATCTCCAAACCAATCATATTCAGTTTTTTCTTCTATATTATTCTCGCGCTTTCCAGCCAGAAACTAAAGAATAAAAATCTAGCCTAGTATTTTGACAGTGTGGCTCAAGCTAAATCAGCTGATAATTTCATGAGACAGCCTATCTCGTTGATTATGATCGTAATCCAGTTCGCTACAATGTCTTCTCAACCTCTTGGAATTCCTAAGGATACTTGCTTCGCTCTGCTCGAACACTCTTTATTGCCAGTTCTTTTATGCGGAATTGAATGTTTCTAGCAGAAATGAACGTCGAGAGTCGGGAAAATGTAATATATAATACGATGAAAGAAACGGTCGGAAGAAACCGCAAAATAGTTCCTTCTGTTGATGAAGTTTATTTCAAATACAACCACTTTTGAATACCTATCTGGTACATTGAAGCAGTTCAATATGATCATGATTCAGAGCTTCAAAAATTGCAATTTGATCCGGAGCTGCGATATCTACAACAACAAAAATGAAAATGGGAATAACTGCGGCCAAATACTATTTCCCCCTCTACCTCTGAGCACTCATTTGTAGCTTGCAAGGGAAAGAAATTAAAGTAAAAGCTACTGCGAACTTATAAAAAGCATTTAATTTTAAAAGATAATTGCAATAAATCAAATTTTTTAATTTTTCAGATACCGCAGAGAAGGAATGAGGTAGTTGCTTTGAAAGATGTTTTAGTGGGTTGAAGTTCACATGCCAATAAAGCTATTATAAGTTTTCAATTCCTTATCAACTTAATGCATTTAAAATAAATAAAAAAAAAAAAAAACAGAAGTCAAAGTCCATCAGTTCTCAGAAAATAAAACAAGTACTTGAAAAAAGGAAAAACAGTTTTTGGAAGTAAGTTTTTTGCTTAAAAAACATCAAAATGCATAACTTATGTAAAATTGGTTGAACCAGTGATGACATTTAGAAAATTATGATTTCACCGCTAAAACGATTTATCTTGGTATTAGTAGTTACCCGATGTGCTCTGAAATTCCAAAATTTATTTTTCTCTGTCGTCAAGGAGACTCGATTGCGGCTATAGGAATCAGTAATTAGTAACATATCAAAAAGTACGTAACAAGCGAGTACAAGTTCGAGACGGAAAGAGGAAGTGTGAGTTTGACAATCGAAAATTTGACCGAAAATTTCAATATATTCACATTTCAAATAAACATGAGAAGTGTTAATGACAGTAAAAACATTCCTTAGGTTAAATTAAGACAAACCGAAACAACTAATATTCACTTAATTGAAGGTAAATAAAAAGATGTTGAAGTACAGTGGTATTGAAGTGAGAGACCTGAAGTCAATACATATCAAAAATGAAAATAATGGTTTTTCCAATGTAAAATTTTGAGTACTAGCAGAAAAGAGAGGAATGAGCAATGATTGACAGTTAATAATTTCTATTCTAACTCGCAGTATGATAAGTGAACAATTAACAACTGTTCATTGTTGACATTTCCAAGAATAACGATAACCAGAAACAAAAAATGTAAAATTTGAAGAAATTGCGACATGGTATGAACATCTGGAAAAAAGTGCATGTCTGCATGCAAACTTCTCCTCAACTTGTCTTGTTCACCTGAGAAGGGATGAACACAAACAAAAAACTGCACATCTAAGAGGGATAATTGCCAAAACAACCAACACTAACGCACTGCGCTACTATCTACAGGCAAACGTTCGGGTCGTCATTGTGCAAAAATCAGTATCTCACATTGAGGAGATGTGCTCGGAAATTTCGTGAGACGTTGGGGGGGATGGTTTTTTTGTTTTCGTTTATATTAAGAATAGGTGGTTTAATTGTTTTTAGAAGTAGTATTATTTTAATTCTGAAGCACTAAATGTTTTTGTTTTGAGAGTTGGATAACTTGGTAGAAAAAAATATGTAAGTGGACTTTTTAGATTTTATCAAAACATGAACTTGTACAAACAATCTGATGTAACCGGACACTGGTATGTTTCAACGGGATAAACAGAAGAATTAGCCTTTGCTTTTGCACCGTTTCTATCCTTTGTTTAAAAGGAAAAAAAAAGATTTTAATAATGTTCTTACCGACCAAACACTACATGTTTTAGTTTAGTTATTGACAAGAACTGCATTTTCTTTTAACCTGATCAGTAGAGCTACTTAATGTTCAAGGGACATGCTATCATCTAAAATATCCTTGACATTCTGGAAAACTTCAATACCAACTGAATATGTCTAGCATCTTCTAAGCTTGAAGCTTCTCAAATCGACTTGTCATCAATTCAGGCCATTTTTTATTGCTCGCTCAATTTATGATTTATAGTAATTTAAAATTTAAATTTAAGTGGTGTGCTTTACTAAAATCTGATCTGTCAACATTTCATGTAACGTCTTTCAGACATGTTTGAAGCTTTTTGTTCGTCCATTCCTTCGAGATCTGATATCCGGTTGGTTTGCTGCAGTAATACATGTTGCTCGAATTTTCCATTTGATGTGCATTCATAAGTTTGTCTACTAAACATAAGGAAACATAAGGGAAACGTTCATTAAAAAAACTATGAAAAGGTAATAGTACTATGACAAAAAAGAAATTCTCGCAATATTCTTTCATTAAACTGTAAAATAATGAGATGGAGGATTGTTTTCAAAATTTGTTTGCAGACTTTTGCTACTTTTTACATCAGTTTTCATTCAGATGCTACCTGATTTTATGTCACAGTTTAGCCACAGGGAATCAGTGAATAATCTGAACACTAACATCAACAACTATCAGCAGATAAAAGAGGTTTTTAGATCTTTTGATGCAGATTTGTGACGAATTTAAATATCAAGTCTGTGTGAACTATTACATGCAAGTATTTTAACATCTAATTAGCTTAATTATATACTAAAGAAGTGAAAGTTGTGCATTACTTATTGCATTACTTTATTATTATTTAAAAAAGAATTTTCTATTGCAAAGTAATTATATATGTATATGTATTAGCAAATATGCAAATTAATCTTAACTTTAATTTTTAATGATACCAATAGGCTAAGCTATTTTCCAAAGATTTTCATAAAAAAATTTCTTTGTTTCCTTGTTGATTGAGACATTAATAAGAAGAAAATGAGTTTTTGTGACAGATAAGAGTTGCAAATCTTTCAAGCAAATCAGTAGTACACATAAGGGAGTAGTTTTGATAAACTGGTGATGCTACTTATGAATGATCTAGAATGTAATGCTTGCTTACGAATCCCAATCAATTGGTTAAATCGAATCTTATCTCTGAATTAATGGTTATGGTCAGCTCAGCAATGATTCGCTGTCTCCTTTCTTTGCGATAATTAATTATGTGTGAAGATTTGGTGATATTAGGAAAATGGTGAGTAATTATTGTCAATGAAAAAAGAAAGTGAAATTGTTCCTGAAGGATTCACCGTGCACTTCCATTTTTATCTAACGCATAAGTTAACTACCGACTTATTTGATCTAGTATCACTAAAATAAGTAATATTTTTTCATCCGAATGTTTTCAAGCCTACATAAAAGAAATCTAAATCTGACCATTTTAACAAGAATAAGCAAATATCAGACAAAGTTATATTGCTGTACTCGCACTCATCCAGTCTTGCAATATTTCCATCAGTGATTTAAAGCCCTCTCAATTCAAAAAATCCTTTAAAAAAGTAATCTAATGAATGAAGCCAGCAAGTCTTTCACTCAAATGAATTACCGTAGGAAAAACACTCCAACATTTCATCTTATTATACTGTAACAGGTAGTTCAAAACAAATTGGTGCCATCACAAGCTTTGATTTAAGTAAGAATTGATATAACAACTGAATGCTGAAGTGTCCATGACATTTATCTATATAATAATACAAACAAATTACAGCAAAAGCATGATTTCATCAAAATTTCAACAGGCAATGTTAATGTTCCCGACGCCGAAATGATTTTGACAGTAGTTGTCTTGATGTTAAAGCAGATTATTATTAATTTTCTGCCTAGTATCGGCCTAGTATCGTCCTTCTAACACACAACAAAAAAGATTTAAAGTTATTCTTAAACGATAATCATCTAGTACTCTTCACATAAATAACTAACAATAACAAGAACGCCACTCATATTTGCGATTCAAGTTTAATAAAATACTCGTTTATATAAATTTGCATGATGGTAGATCTATTTATCTGGAATTACAGCAAATTCATCTTTCAGCCAATGTATAAAGCTTTTTTGAAGTAGCAGTAATTATACATAGTGATGATTTTTATCTCATTTGTTTCAAATAAATAACTTTTCAATCATTTATTATAAATTAACTTTAAGAAATTTGTAGAACTTCGAAATCATTAGAAATAATGTATAAAACTAGATAATCATTCCCCTGATAGAAAAGCACATTTCACCCTTCAACCACATGTCATATTTCACCATTTAGAAGAAATCGCAATAACAGAGAATCCATCTTCCTGAGGATCGCTACTACATATTTTTTATTAAAATCGCTCTGCATAAGAAAAATTTCCCATTACTCATATATTCATTTGCTTTCCAAACTAACAACACCACAAAGATTACGTGTAAGCATTTTATTTCTACAAAGAAAAGACAAAATTTTGAAAAATCTAATAATTTATATCGTATTTTTATTCTAATACTAGCAGTCATTTCACGTATCTCATAAAAAATATACATTTATGTGCCCTTCGTTGCAACATTTGTTTTTTAAATCAGTGATTTCTAATTGAAATTAAATTGATTTTAGGTTTCCTGAATAGAAAAGTCTATGCCATTAAGACAAATATAACTTCTGCCAATCAACATTTAAAAAACTATTAAATTTTATGGAATGCTGTAACAACATACTCGGCACTTTTGCCGAAGAAATATTACAACTAGCTAGTTCAGTTAAGTTTAATCTGATTAAATCCAGTAGAACTTCTGGATCTATTCCACAGAACATCATGTGAAAATAAATGTTTCCCATTATTTTTTTTTGGATTTCTTTTTATATACGATTCAGAAAATTAACTGAACAAATCTTATTAATTTAAAAAAGAAAAAAACAACTGAAATATTTTTTATATAATTTGGTATGATGATGGTTGTAAAATCTCTCTTTCATGATTATCTTGATTGATAAACATTTATACTTGAAATATTTGTAGTATTATTTATAACACTATAAATATTCAGAGTTTAAGGTTTTTTGCAATCTATAGATCCTGTAAGTTAATTAAAAAAACATTTAATTTCAAACTCATTAGAGAAGCAAATGTTTATCTCAAGTAATTTTCTTTTAAATATTTAAAATTTGATATTATGAGGAGAAAACAGCAGGGGAGATTATTTCATGTCTTCGCAACCTTCTACAAAACTGCATTACTAGATCAGTAAGTACAAGCATACATGGAATGATAAGCAAACCGTGAAAAACGCATAGAAAAATGCACAGCAACATCGTTTTCACAAACACCTGAAATTAGAACAATATTACATTTCAAGTGTATTAGGCGACTTTTAAGGGTTAAACTGTAAAAAGTTTTCAGTATCGGCTTGTACGATACATTGACTGAAAAATTAAATCAAGAGAAATATTGATATTTTGTTTCTAAAGAATAATTATCAGAACTATCTGTTCATTTTTTTAAAAAAAAAAGTATCTCAATAAATTGAAATGTCATTGTCCACTTAAATCAAAAACTCATGAAGAAAAAAAAAAAGAAAGAAAGAGAAAACACACCTGTGCTATATACAGCTCTTTAAAGAAAAGACCAAACAAGCACAAACTTGTGCTTATCGATGCTTGCAATGCAGGAAGTGCAACTGATGCAAAACATATCCGCAACTTGTCCTTTACTGCTAGTTGTCGATTGGTGGTTATTCCTGAGAAAAGTTTACTATCAACACTCTAAATAAAATTAAAACTCCCGAGAAATTAAGAAATTTTGGTCTTCCTTCGTTTTGCTAATCCCATTCATTTATTGTCTAAGCCTTAGTCCATCTTGCGTCCAATCATGCAATATTTTATGCGATAGAGTGAAGCTATCGTAATAACATAGCAAAGTCTTACCGTTGCTGTTATAGTGATAAGCCACATGAGCTGGTATATCAACACTAAAACCCATTGAAATTAACATCGCAGCCATCATGATTGGTTCCAGATTAAGACCCATTAGAGTTAGTATTCCAACTATGCCTTTAAAAGAAAACTTTTCTGCTAATTTGACAACTGCGCAAAACTTACTGACAAATATCGCATATATAACCTACTCAATTAAGTAAAATAACGAGTTGTTTTGAAGTTTTTAAAAGTCAAATAAGAAAAAGTGGAATTTTTGTTAAGTTTTAAATTTATATAAATTTAGAAACTTTTCGATTAATAACAGACCAGTCATAATGGAAACGATAGCAACAGATACAACAGCCACTGTGAATATATCGTATAAAAAGATGAAAGAAATGAATGCCATACAAAGTAATATGCCAAGCGCTGATTGCCATGCATCTGTTGTCATATTATCAATCAAATCTAAGAATATTGCATCGTCCATGAAAACAGTTACGTTGAATTCCCTGGAAGATGAAACTTCTTCATTCATTGCATTGTTTTATTTCATTATCATAGTATTCTTATTATTACTATCACTTCTTGTTACCACATAGTTTTATCATTATAAAGATAATCAATTGTCAGTTGTCTTTTAAGCTGGTCACCAAATAGCCTTATCAAGATCAAGAAATCGTCAAGAATATTTTAACCATACAATTTTAATCAGGAATTGCTCCATTTCTTCATAACTTGGATTAAATACGACAGATTTCAAATCTCATCAAGTATAGGAACGACATCTGTTCCTCAGTTTTTGAGTATCGCTACAAACCTGTACTTATCTATAATATCGCGCCATTTATTCAGCAGGACACCCCTTTGCGGCCAGTCCTTCAAATTTTCGCCATAATACGCGGTTGTAAAGAAGAATCTTAACAGGTGACCACTGTAAATAAGTTTCAAATTAAGCATAATAGCTTGAAATTCATTCTATTTTAGAAAAACCAATGCTGAATTTGGCCAATTTCATTTTTTTGCCATGACTCAGGCATAGAACGTATTTTGTTTTTGAAAGTGAAGTACGCTGAGGTACAATGAAAGGAACACAATAAACAACAGTCTGACTTCGGAATAAGGTCATCTTCGCAACTAATGTCCAACAAGACTTTTCATACATTATGTAATGAAATGATTAACAAATTATGTAAAAAGTTTTGAATACATAAAAAATTTTGGAAATTCTACATTAGATTCGGGTTTGTCTGAAAACCAACTAAAAAATTAAAGAAACAGTTACAAACTATGCCTAAATAAAATAAGCTTATTAAAAATTAAAAGTGAAATTTAAAGAGAAATTACGTTGTTTCGTCGAGAATCAAAAAACCGCGCCATCTCTGATATTCGGGCCAGTCTAAAAATATCGGCAAATCATCTTCTCTCAGTAAAATGGAACCATTTAATGAATCTGAAATCTTATGTCCAAATGAATAAAGCTTAAAATTTAAGATTATACACCAAAAAACGATTCTGTTGTTGAAAATGAAATATGCTAATGTACACTAAAAATCACAGTACATAAGAGTCTGATAATAATGTGCGGATGCTGCAGAAATTTCACTCACTGTTCGCATGTGGACAACTGCGCGGCATGGAAATGGTGCGCACTCACACGTACACACTGCACACACACATACATGCAGGATTGCATCTCGTTTGCTGTTACAGGAGAGAATCAATCCTGACATAATATAACTGCACCTCATTGATCATTGATGATGGAACAAACCATTGTTGTAATCTGCTTCATTCCATTGTTTCTCGAAATCAATGAAATCGCGAATGAAATAATTGGTACTCTGTGCGCCCCACGAACCATTCATGTGTTCCAATTCATAAATCATCTGATTAAGACGTTGAAAACGATACATATTTGATAGATTTCCAGGGTTGTTTACATAAAATTGTGGCATAGTATGCTCAGGTATCTGATACCATTGCAAAAGATCGTTCAACTGAACAAAAAGCGTTGAATTTTTCAAATTAACGCAGTCACTTGCCATTTCAACAGACGTGCATGCATGCAGTGACACAAATCTACGTTTTGCGTGAGCAGTCAATATGATGCACTGCTGGTTGCGGAACAGTTTTCCAAGTGTAATTAACTTGACTACTGGCGGTCACCATGTAATTTATTTGTATTAGAACTGAAGCTGCTATTTTACGATTGATAAATTCATAGTCTTTTGAATGCTCAGTCTTTTTACAAATTTCGGATTGAAAAGAAACCTCAATAAGTGGTGAATCCAATGGAAATAGTTTTTCAGATGTTAATTCAATTTTTATTTGAGTTATTCCCTGAAAAATAAAAAATTAAAAAGTATTTTATAAATTGAACAATGTTTCGTTACATATTTGTGCGGTAAAAGTTTAATTAAATTTCGCTAGCAGAAAAGGAAAACAAAAAGATTCAAAGCAAAATTGTTCATCTTTGTCGAAAAAGGTCCTCATAACTGAATATTTAAAACATACAAAAATTGAGATTATGATGAGAAGAACCCATGAACAAAATACACCGACAGCAAAAACTTTGTTAGTGACCAATGTGACGTAATCATCAAGTATAAAAGTACAAATGTTCTTTGCGCGTTCACGGAAATCTTGTGAGTTCTAAAAAAACACTTTCAACATACAGTGAACGGTCATTTTTTCAAAAGAGTAAGTTTGGAAGTGTTTTTCCAATGTTTCTATTTTGTGACAGGAAAAAGAAGTAGAAAAAGTAAGTGGATAGGTTAAGCGGTGCAAAAGTTGTTAAAGTTAACACAACATATTATGCTAATTCTAATCAACCTCTGACCTCCTTGTGACCTTTACCTCCACTCTTCTTATTCCGTATTCAAATAGATGTATGTGATCGATGGCGAAAACTTCACCTTTGTGTCATAATTTATTATTGTGCCTTTTTTCTCGTTGTCAATTTTGATTAAATGAGTATTTTGTTGTTCCGCTGCCATTTTCATTTCAAAATGTCCCGCAACACACATTATTGCCGAATAAAATGTTAACTGGAAAAATCAGAGAATACTCACTGCAGAAAATTTTGGTTATTTATCAAATATATTATGAGCTATTGTTAAATGAGTTTTGCTCGGCAAATTCCAACCTAAATTGTTTACAATTTAAGGAAGGGTGCGGTAATGTATATTGAATAAAAGATTTTATAGAATTAATTAGAAGTCCTCAATAGTTTCCAATTTTTCCTTTGTCACAAATAATCTTTTCCCTGTATTCCTTACACAAACAAAATTATTACCACTTTGAAAGCAATATATAAATTCAAAGAATAAACAAACAAATGAGCGGTTAGCTTTCATAAATAAAAAGAAGCTGTGGAAACGAAAATAAAATCAAAAATACCATAGTAAAATGAAATTCTTGGAGATTTCTTTAATATGTGCTATCTCTGATAAATCACAGTGAAAAGCAAAGTGAACTGACCTGATAAACATAATCCATGAAAATGGATGACATATTGCCAAAGCATAATACCGTAATGGAAGGTGAACCACTAACAGAACCAACTACATCAGCCAGAATATTCGTCAAGGCTGATATTAAGATAGCAGGCCCCGTTTCTTCTAATACCTGAAATATTTGATATATTTACCTAGAATTAATGAACAGGTAATCTTCTTTGCATTTCATGATATTTCCTCTATTCAAAAAAGGTCAGCCAACTGCTCTATAAAAGATTGTTGGTAACCAGTGCAAGACGATATGGAACGCAATCGTCCTTGACAGGATGTAAAATACATTCTCTCGTGACACGTTGCCATGCGTGTATCATCAAATAGGCATCGTCAACACCTGCAAAATAAACTTCCGGCAAAAGAATTCAATCATTGCATTTGAATTTTTAAATTTAAAAAAAATGTAAATAAATAAATGAAACAGAATTACACAGATGATATACTCTATGGAATAACTGCGCTGAATTAAGACATTTCCGCTACTTCAGAACAATAAATATTCGAAAGCGTGATCTTACCAATAGCAAGCGTAAGAAGTGGTGTTACAGATAGGATAGCATCATACCGTACTCCGACGGTTAATAGTAATCCGATTGCTGTTGCATTGGCCATCAGAGGACAAATACAGGCAAAGAGAGCTAAATAGATCTAAAAAACTAAACAAGTGGTAAGCATGCCTTCCAGTACTATATGGAAAATCCTGATTCTTGTTCACACTGGGTTCTTTTAATATATTGGAGTCATTTCCTCAATCAAATCGCTGTATTAAAGTGCTTTTCCTTAAAATCCCTTATCTTTTACTCATGATTGATAAGTTCTATCAAGACTGATAAGGATTTTATTACTATATTCACTACACCTACTATATATCCATACATTTGGAAAATTTCTTCTATTACCAAACCTTATAAATGCTCATTTGTTGCATATATATGGCGCTGACTGTTGTTGATATTGCTGAGCAAATGAACATAATACAAAAACCAACAACCAAATACGGTAATATACTTAGACCAGCACGAGATATCTCATAATCAATGTAATCAAACGATACCATCAATACACGAATGTGCTTTGGCTTATAATCACTAAAATTAAATAACTTTTTTTATATCATAACTTTCAAAAAGTTATTCCTTCCCATTAATTCAAATGATATTTCTTTGCCTCTTAATATATTGTGGCAACAACTTTGTTTCAATGTCAATTTAATAATGATTTACATGTTTTTTTTACAGTCTCTAGAAGATGACAATTTGCAGTGGATGTTAAATGAAGGAACTCTGAATGACATCTTTTGAAAAAATGACATTAGTATTGTGACCTTTGACTTTTCTATTGCTACTAGGATCTTTAAAATATTGAGGCCAATTCAATGAAGGCCACTAAAAATTAAGCCAAGTGTCTTGCTTCAGTAAAATGAGCAGCGGAAATTGCAAATCGAAATATTTGTAGTTTTTTAGTTGAAATGAAATCTGTTGCTGGATATATCCAATTGAAAAAAATTTTTTATTCAGCAAATTTGATTCGTAATGCATAAAGCACGCGTGCTGCTTTGACCAACATAAAATCTGTGTTCAGTTTTGCACGAAAGATGCGCAAGCCAATTTCAAATTTGTTAACATCTCTGTTTACTATGAAAACTTACTTTGACATTGCTGCCAATGGTATTAGCTTGACATTCAATGCTTCTTCGTCTTTTTGAAGAAAAAAGCTGCATGTATTTCGTATATCGCTAATAAGTTTTTCGCTTAATGAAAGGCTTTGCAGTAGTATGTAGTGTAGATGGCAATATTTCAATTAAACTTTTCAGCAGTTATTATGCGTGTAACTCAGACTAAAAAAAGTGATAAATATAGCTTAGCTTATTTGGACTACTTGAGAATGATATTATTATCACTATTGATATTTTTTCATAGTTCAACTTGTTGTAGAAGTTCAAGTTCAAATAATTATTTTAATCAGTTTCACTTTTTCTAATTTTTTCTGTCAAGAAGCAGAGTTATATTTACGTTTTTTGTTTAGGTCTTTTTTTTTGGTATAAGTCTGGAGAAAATATTACGGGGCCAACAATATAATTCGAAAAAAAAGTTTGTGTAGACAAATGTATAGGAATTGATAAGGTGACACGAGATCAAAACTTGAAAAAGACACATTTCTAGGACTTCAAATGTCTGTCAGATGTTCTGAATACATAAAATATTGTGGTGCACATCAGTCGGTTGATTGCCGTGGAATGAAACACAATCAGCTTGGTCACTCTATAATGATTATATAGCTGTCCAGGTGAAAGAAATTGAAGTAGCTAAGGTTGACGCAATAGATACGGTCTTTGTATTTACTTACTACTTCGTCTCCATATTTCCTGAGCATCTCATCCGCTGTGATTTTTCTACAATAGTGTTAGACAGGGATGATCAAAGGAGCAAACTTACTGTTGGAAGTAACGAACGATGCCCAATTCATACTGTCGGGTTTGCTTTACTGTCCAATCACCCACTCGTTCCCCGCGATACACAAGTTTGATCATCTTTGCCGATACCATATTTGTGATGAAAGGAGCATAATTCGTAGTTTCCGTAACTGAACTATTTATCTTATTATCCATTATTAGCGTGTCGTTTTTTAATTCTATTCCATTAAAATTCATCTGGAATGGTAATCATCTGAAAAGATCCAAAATTCTAAAATGTTGGTTTATAATCAAAATCATCCGCTTATTCACTGATATTACATAAACTCTTTTAAATAACCTAGTGGTGCAATCTTCCCAATGAATTTATTAAATAATCAGATTTTCGAATCGTATAATTTCAATGGTTAAAAAATAATAACGTTTTCCTGATTTGAAATACATTTTCTGTGTATTCCAACATAACCCAGTAGTTACCACTTCTACACTATAATCAGATATCTAATTCAGAATTAAAGGTTATATATATATATATATATATATATATTCAGTACCTGTATGTTAAAAGCATGCCCGTACATTTTGGAAATGGGATAATTCAAAGAAATTCGGTCGTTTAATGGTTGATGAGCTCGGAATCGTTCCAGCTGTACTTCAAAACCATTCTATAAAGCATCACTGTTTTTTTCTAGAACTTTATTTCAGTAGCTATATCGAGTATATCGAGTAAGCTATATCGAGTTTCATTCCGATATAGTTAAACTGGTATAATTTAAAAAAGTCCACTCACTGGATTTAAAGCCTCAGATTTTATAATATTTCTTATCATCGTCTTTCACATTAGTTCCATTCAAAATCCAAAGATTAATTATCTTTCAAAATTTGATGTAGTGGCTTAGCTAAAAATCAGGAAAAAGCTATAATCAGTCCAGTATTATCAAACTGGAATAAAGATAAAAGAGATCTAGCGACAAGGATTGTCATATTTTTCCATTAAACAGTTCAAATCCAACATATAGATTAAATGGTTTTTAAATGCATGAAAACAAAAAACTCTAATTTAGGGATGTCGATTGCTAGTTCAATTATTATTGTTATAGGAATGCTTAATAGATATAAATTTAATCTTCTATCCTAGCGGAAAAAAAAAACAGAAATATTGTTTTGGATCAGTAATTTCCAAAATTATATTCACAATTTAAAAAAAAAATGTTACATAAAATTGTTGCAGCGGAAGATTGAACAAACAGAAATTACGACAAAATTCATTGAAAGACTCTGCTCTACCAAGAATATGATTGTATATTGTAAAATTATTCGAAATCAATTCATCCACCTGAAAATGACATTTCCAACGACTGACTAGTTTCTTCGATGATGTAAAGGAAAAGTGCCAAAGTCTTCTTCTAGAAGTACAGTAATTTAATACAATCCGATGAAAATAAAAAAAGCATTGGCAGGTGTCTGAAATTCAAAATTCTATGATGGTAGGAAGGTCTCCTGTCGTTATTGCGATTTTGCGTAATTTGATTTACGTTCATAACTTTCTTTGCTCTTACTTCAACAGCTTCTTTCAGTATTTCCGCTTTCAGCGTTGAGCCACTATCTTTGGCAACGATAAGAGCCATCAAAAGGATTCCTTTACCGCTATGATTAGTGAATTCTTCTTGTACTGCGTATTCTTCACGTGAGCGTGCCCCGTATGGTATGAAACCCATTAGATCATTTTTAAAACTGCAATTTTGAGGAATACCTTCAAAAATTTATTTTATGATCTTAGTGAATTGCAAACTATTGAGCAAAATATCATTCTCTTTCAATTGAAATACTTCAAAATATACTCAAATTTTAATGTAACATTCTTGAATATAGCAAAACTAATTATCCTTAAGACTTTTCTTTTTTCTTAAGATATTTATATTCAAAATGCATTAACGTTGTTTCAACTTTTTGTTATCTATCACTATCGAAGAATAAAACAGAAGCAGAATAAGCTAAATTTAACTGAACACTTAAAAGTAATTATTAATTAATAAGAGATTTAAATTTAAGACTCAATTATTTGTATCCGAAATTAACAAAGAAAAAAACTAACGGCGTAGTGACAACTTTGGTGGCACATACAATAGATACCAAAACTGAAATAATAATTGCGCCACTGACATGATCTGCTATGAAGTACGACCAACGTCTATGTAGAAGATTAACAAATTGAACAAGACGTGTTTGACTTCCAGGTTCAGTAGAAAATGAATAAAAAGAGGATAAATGCATTGGTTAATTATAAAAGTAAGCAAGTGCTAATTTTGTCTCCAATCTGAAGGATGGATCAAATAAATTGATCAGTATTCCTCTGTTGCTCTTTTAATGAATTTCTTATTGGTCCAAAATTTTTTTCAATCTGGAATAAGAAAAAAGGAAAATCTTCAGAAAATGTGATTCTTCTCCATATGTGAATGAAGACAAAGGATGAAAGAAATGAAATCTATGATTGCTCTACAGCATCAAACATTTTACTTATCCATTGTTTTGTTCGACGACAGTAATCTTTCTATTGTTGTAACAAAAAAAGATAAGAAACGATTATATAAGTGAAAGAGGAAGAAAAGTTATTAATTAATTGTACCGTTCAAATTATAAAATAACAATCTACTTATAAATGATAACACAATTGTACGATATGATCGTTTAGGATATCTACTTGACAGTGAGTGTTTTAAAACCCTGAAGAAATGCTTTAAAAAAATTAAATATGGTAATTTTCCAAGAAGTTATCTATATGTAAAGAAGTGGATTACACATTCGTATTATTCATTCTAGAATAAATTGTGCTTATGAAAGACTAAAGAAGAATTGTAGTTTGGAAATCTATTTTCAAGAACCAATAATTATTCTTTTATCTCATTTCTTTCCGTCCATGAACTTTTTAATAATAATAATAAAAAATAAGAAAAAAAAGCAAAAAAACCAAAAAGAAAAAGGAAAAATTAAGAGTTGATTAATGGATAATAATTTCAAGATGAAGCATATTCAAAATAAAAAAAAATGAAGAAATAATGTAGCGTGTGATTTTTAACAGAACGACATTGATTCATAGTGACTAATTGCACTTTATAGATGGGATGGTAATACTGTCAACATTAGTCAACGTTAAACTTTTATATAACAAATTAAAGGTTTTACATAATTTACTAAGGTTATTTTCATTTTTCATGGTCATCCTTTGAACATTTATTAACATATTTTCTTTCTCTCACTTCGACAACTTTCAACAAATTCCACGCCACATAACATCAATCTTACGATCAAGAAATGATGCTGAGTAGTGTTGAATATTAAGCTATTACTGTTTACTATTTTCTTTTTCAAGCACTAAGGTTTCTCAGGTATAGTGCAGATGTCAAAGAACGAAGATGTGTAAAAGTGGTTGAAAACATGAGAAATAGAACATTCTTTTTCAATGTTAAACCGACCATGGCTAGTTCAGAACTGAACCGTTAGAATATATTTTCTGTTCATCGCTTCAAATCATTATTTCACCAATAGAAATATCGCATTTTGCAATACTGGGTTTATCAAATTTCTTCAAGGACAGGTTTGTTTACATATTTTTAAGTGACTCTGCCTTCTTTTTGTGGATTTTATTACAAAATATAGAAGTGATTAGAAAAGATAAAAGTCTATAAAGTATGTTTCCTTTCCTTTTTTAAAAACTATCTCCATTTCTATCGTTTGCATTATATTATAAATTCATGCGTTTTTCGAGAACAGAATTAAATAAAACGCTAGCATTTTGATGAGGCGAAATTCGTAATATTTTCAATGATCTTTGCTGATAACACGTATTGAAATATAAAGTGATAATTGGTGTAGCATTATTCATTGTTAAAGGTGACTAATGATGAAATAAAGAAAACAAATATATTTCGCACTTTCAAAATTAGTAACTCATGCATATTAACTATTTCGAATGTCTATGACATTTGAAATTTTTGACAGAACTGACAGGGCGGTTGTGGTGCACCGAACAGGAGGAAATGACGCATAATTCTACACCTCATTGATTTTACTATTCAGCAGAGAAAAACATTGAAGTATGGGATAGGAATAAAAAAAAAATTCAAAGGTCTAACATTTAAGACTTCGAAAAAAGTGAAAATGTCATAGTTTCGGTTCGAAATTAAAAAAGCGAAAAGAACAGTGACACGTTTTCGATATTCTGAAGACATATCACATTAAGATTGATTTTATAAATGTATTGAAACATCAAACCACCGGTGGCGCAAACCATTCTTTAATGATGGGAACAAATCTTATTCGCTTTGTTGGCTGCTAACCTTAACTTTTGAATACTATTAAATTAAAAAAAAAAAATTTCATTAGCTTACAAAAGTATCGTCCCTAATAAACAAGATTATATGAGTTAATGAATATCTCCTCAGATTAAAGCTCATTTTTTCCTTTTACAATCACAATTTTGTCATACAAATTATTCGTCTTAAAATTCACTGCACAAAATAGAAAAAAAAATTGAAAAATTTGATAATTTCTTCTGTTCTTAATTACATCTTCTCCTTTAATTTTGAAATACACAACAAAGTAATTTTCTCTTAAAAATAGCAATTCGAAAACAAAGCAAAAGTTTTCTTTTTTGATGAGCACAATTTTTAAAATGAGTCATTTCATATTTGAAGTAACCATTTCTTTCCTTTATGAGTGTTTGTCTATTCGAAACAAGTTTTTATTTAAGCTCACAGTAAACTCGATTGTTGGTGTTTCTAGAAGAAAAAGGAGACAAAAAGTGATGGAAAATAATTGTGAAAGGATTAATTTAATGGATTTTATATTAATTACTTCTAAAATCATTAAGCGTTAGAAAATATTAGCAATACTATTTCATCATCATTCAGAAATTTCTTATCGTACCAAAAAGTTTTCCTCCTCATTCACTGTGTGTAAGTATTAATGAATTTGAGCGAAGTGAACAATAAGACAAGGAAAATGTAACAAGCTTCAAAACTTGTTTTAGAAGCGCCTGGAAAGAAAAATGCCTAAATAAGCATTGTAATAGGTTAAAATTGATTATAATTGCGAAAACACAACTTAAATAACAAATTAAGATTCCACTATAAAAAAGTATTCCAGTGTTTTCTGATTTGGAAGGAAAACATTTGAAAATGAAGTCGTACATTTGAAATACATTTGAAATTTGCAGGATTAATTTCAAACAAAGGCTAATTTGAAAAAAATAAAAAAAAAAAAAAAAACTAGGAAAAACAAGAGAAAAACAAAAAATTGACCTAAAAAAATAAGGAATATACGTATTCTTTCAAAAAAAAAATTATTCTTCCATTGTTATAGATTAGCAGGTTAGTCAAATGCAGTTTAATTATTTAATTTTCATCTTTCCTAGTGATAACATAGCATTTTGAATTTTTACGATAACTGATCAATTGATAAAATCACTCATTTATAGTGTATGTAAATGATTGCAGTTCGACAACAAAACGACTTAATAAATGACCGATTCAAGGAATAATAATGTGCAAAATAGCATAATTATTGGTTTATTTGATAGGTGGCTGCTAAAAATGCAAGAAATAAAGCCACTAAGCATGTTAGATATAGGAAAAGAAAAGAAAAGGAAAATGAACTTAGTGAAATTTTTTCTCCTAAAGTGGGGAACAATGGAAAGAAAAAACGATGTGCTATTCCTAATTTTCGTGTTCATATGATTAACAAGCAATCAAGAGAATTAAAATATTTCATATTTTAATAAAAGAAACGAACTGTGAGGAAAAATTGCAAATAATAGCAAAAAAATAGGTGTTGATGTTAGGAAATATAGCAGAAATATAAATAATAGAAATAGTTACAGAAGACAGATTCAGTCAGATATAAAATTACGAGAAAATATTAAGAAATAAGCAATAAAAACATAAACGAACAATAAAATCAACTGTTATCTTTCCACCTCTCCAATTTTTTTTTATTTCACTTTTTTATTTCGCTAATTCCTGCAATCATTACCACTTACTTGTGTGTTTACAGCTTAATCAAGGTCAGAAGTAAACTGGTAGTATCGAATCCTATGGAAAAACTCATCTAAATCAAAAAATCTTAAGATGCTACTAAGGCAGATTACAATCTGATAGACGGCGCTCAAGATCTAAGATTCATATCACAGAGGTCATTTCTCATCCTTTGTTGTTTTTTTTTTTTTTTTTTTTTTTTTTTCATTGTAAAGAAAATAACTAGGAGTCGGTTAAGTTTAAATTAATTTACGATTTAAAATAATGAATAGAAGTTCTTGATCATTTACAACAAATCCTGTAGAAATATTGCAGAAGTTGTTTTAAAAGTGACGAAAATACTTTTTTGTTTATGCAGCTTTTAGGAAGGAAGTTTTGAAGTGATCAATATTATTCAGAACTAAAACGATCATCCTCATGTTACAGCAGTGTCAAGCCTATGTATCATTTTCATTTTCAGTTGGAATAGATCGTTAATTTCTTAATGCGGCTCACCTGAAAACTAGTTTTTCTCTCTCTTTTCTTTTCTGTTCGGTGTTATTTCATCACATCTGATAACATACATAATCAATGACAACGCCATGTTTACTCAATTATCACAATGATAATGCGTGGCCAGCAGGGAAAATCAATGTGTTTCCGTTTGCAATTATTGCTTACTGCAATCATTTGGAATATATTGTAATTTTAAAACAGTCAATCAATAACTTCTGGTGAATTCATTTAATGAATCAAAATTTATATCGCAGTGCGCATAAACTATTCCAGCAAACAAAATATGTTTAATCATTCGATCTCTCATTGAGACTGTTCGGAATGGTTCACATTGCTGTAACATGAAATATCTTCTCCATGGGTTAATTAATGTGCCAAATATGTATCAGGTAGTGATAGTTTAGTCATTGGCTGATAAATAAATGGTCGAAAAGAATGGGTCCCTTTGATGGCTGAACGCTATTTTGTGGAATTTGATTGCAAATAATTCATTTATCGGTACTCCTTTACAAATTGGAATTGTTCAACAATAGGACTTTATATTGGCAAATAACTGAATGATTCCTTAAATTAGTTTCAAATTCAACTTGTCAGGTACAATAGGAGGTAGGAATTGAAATAGGAACTTAACTGAATCAAATCGATTATTTCGTTACTTGGGAAAATCTCATTATGAAGAAGTTATAAACAGAATGCCTTGAACCGTTTCTAGGGAATATCAATGTGTTTCCGTTTGCAACCAGTGCTTACTGCAATAGTTGCATTTATTCACATTCTTAGAAGATAAGTTATTCAATTTTAACTGTGTTCATTATCGTTTTATTGTGTATGTGTGTGTGTGTATATATGCGTTATACGTGTATGTATGCGTATGTGTGCGTGTGTCACTTAAGGATTTAACCGCTCGCTTAATTTTACAATTGGTTTTGCAGTTAGATGTAATTTGCGCTTTCTTCGCTCTCAATTATTCATTAACTACTGAAATTGAAACAAGTTGATTAGAAATTACAGGAAGTGATAACAAGTCGAGAATGGTTTCCCTTTTCTCTTTCTCTCTCTTTTTAGTCAAAAGAGAACCAAAAGTTTACTTTTCCCAATCAAACTGTGTTTTAGAATCTACCGGGTAAGTTCAAGACTATTTATTCACGTCAAATGAAACCTCAATGAAACATCGGATGAAATATAGCAACGCAGGGAGAATTAACGAAGACATATGTTGATCGATGTAGCAGCAGTAGCAGAGTTATCGTCAACAAGAGGAAAGGAAAGGGATTGTCAGACAAGGGAATCAATCGAGCGCATTCCTTCACGGTTATGGCTTCACCACACATCTTGCAAACGATTCATCTTGCTCGTGTATGGCGGCTTTAGACTGTACCATTTACGCCTGCCTCAGCACAACCAGGATAATACTACAAATAGTCATGTGATAACCATCGATTTTGTCGTATTTTTTATTCTCCTTCTCTTCCTTTCTCTCTCTTTCATGCTCTTTCTCCCTGTTTCTCTTTCTGCTACACTCTTTTATCACAATTTTGACGAAGGAAAGTTCATCAAAACAAGTATGTATATGAGATGATAGGTGAACTAACCAGTACTGTACAGTATCGTTAGATAAAGGAAGAGCTGGAAGGTCAAAGGTCAAATGAAGGTGAGAGTTCCAATGCTTTTGAATGACCCAACTTGCCATATGTTTCATCTAGTATTTCCCTTTCTGGTCTGTCTCTCTTCTTCCTTCTCTCTGTCCGTTTCTCTGCTTCTTACTGGCATAACTGATCAAGTCAGGTTCATTAGAAAATTCGTAACATTAAACAAATATATTTCCATAAAAGAGGTTTCCAAATCTCTCTACTCTCTCATCACTTCCCATTTGTTGTTTTGTTCTTCAGAGAATCATTTTATGATATTCAAATTGTAAATGCATCTTTAATTTTTATCATAGCTTGTTCTTATTTCAGTGGAAGATTTTCAGTTATAGTTTAATGATTACTTCGACACAATAATTTTTTTAATGAAAATTTAAAGAAGCCAAAATTAGGTTATTTAGACTTCCCTTCGTTTAATTCTTGAGTAATTAACATTCACTAATATCTTTTTTATAGTGCCTGTGATGCAGATGTTACGCTGCGGAAGAATTGCTGGTTGAATGCTTTAACTGAATTTTTATTTCCAAAATCTCCTGATCATTCGCTTACTTCGTTGATATGTATACTAACAGAAATGTGGAATTGTACTCGAGACAAACTTGTCTGCAGTACATAAACCAAACAGTTGCCTTGGTTATAAGCAGAAAAAATAAAAGTCCAATAAGTACTGATGGCATTACCAAATAATCAGAGAAAGAGTACAGTTCCATAGGTAACGAGATAGACAGCTAGATAACGATTACGAGTCGGAATTAAAAGCGGAATATCGTTATCACAATAACGTCATCTGTGTTGAAATCCTTTGTAAAATTTATCATTCCTAATTGTACAGTGTTCTCTAATGTTTTTTATAATTTGTTTTACAGTACGTAGGTATATATTTTCGATTCAGATTATATGGTGCAAATTGTGATGTCAATCCACAATGTGTTTTAAAACAGTTCACTGTTTTAGAGTTTTTGGTTGTGAAACGAAATCACCTAAGGTAGTTTAGTGTGTTGTCATTTCTTTCTATTGAAACTCTATTCTGCACTCTTATAACCTTTCTTTGGCTTAAATATTAACTAAAGAGCTTGGAGTGTCTTCAAGAAGTGTTTTTTTTTTTTTTTAATTTAAGAGAAGAGATTGATTTTATTGTTTTCATTAGAACTTTTGTTCACTTTTTCTTGTGTACATGGAGGATTGTCAGCTGTCTTCCTGATATTGAACCAGTTAACTAAATGAATAACAGATATGCAGGAAATTCCGGAAAATCATTTATAGTTGCAAGCATTCTTGCATCATAGTTTTTTTTTTTTTTTTTTCAATGTGCAGGAAAAAAGGGAAAGGCATTGTTATTTCCGTGCCGTGGATTGATTTTATAGCTATAAAATTTGCAGGTTGATTTTGTTCGGCGGGTTACATATATTCGTTAACAAAGAGCATCTGTCATCTCTTGTTCTAACTTATCTAAATAAATTTTCCTTTACCAAAATTTTTAAATTCCATATCATGATCATATCGTTATTGAAATCTTAATTTACTGTTAAGTGGGGATGTGATGCTTAATGAAATCAAAGGTTTTCATTCGTCAGAGGTCCATTCCTATCACTTTTAAAACTATTCTATTGTTACTGATAAAGTATGAATCAGTGTTTATGGGAAGTTAGCAATGTGTTTGAATATAAATATAAGGATGATACATTAGAACGTAAAAGTAAAGTAAGCCAACCATATGAGCCATACAATCTCCGATTTGAATTCTCCAATCGGTTAGTGGTGATGAGAGATGTCTTCTATGAAACAGTCATTATTTTCATTCATATTTATCGCAGTTATTACTTTATTTGCATTGCTTACTGCTTTAGCCATTTCATTACATTCTTCTCCAAATTATTTGTCATCAACCAATCCTACATACAGTCGTCTAATAAACGTTTTTTCCCTCTCTCTCTCTCTTCCTCCGTCTCTCGTTATTTGTTCACTTGACTTACTCTTCTTTCCTATCGTATCATCATTTTTTTGCAACACAAGTGCAAAAAAGCAGTTTTTTAGCGGAACTAAGGGAAGCGTTGTTATTATGTGTGAAGAAGAGGCTGTGGTTAAGGATCGGACCGATGCTATGGAACCCTGCAGTCGGTCGTTCTTCTTGTTTTCGATATGTGTAGCACCGAGAAATATTTGCTGTCACATGAGTTATTGAGAGAATGAATTTGATTTGCTTGTGTAGATATATAGTTTAATTACCTTTTTTTATATGATTTAATAACACAAAGGTTACAAAAAACATTTGATAGTCTTGCTTAGAATTAAAGTGGAAGTATAGACAAAGGAAGGAAAAAGAGAAAGAGGAGGTGAAACTCTCTCTGGAAATTATAAACTGATATTCAACTTGTGTTTTTAAGGATGGTTGAATTTCTGTTAAACGATTGTCATCTCTTATCATTGCTATCATCTAATGGATAACCTTTTATTATGTATTAAACGATTTATTCGCTTTCTTTAATATCAAAGTTTTATTCAAAAGGGAACATTTAAAAGGCATTCGTTAAATGTTATTCGTCATTTGTCATTAACTACTTTTGTTTATAGGATGGATGATCGTTTGACACGTTCACCATCTATTTCGAGCTTCGATACCAATCATTCATCATGGAGTTTTGTTGGGGAGGATGATTTCGATCTATTAGATGTAAGTTTCTTCTTTTATTGAGTAAGCTGTTTGAAATTTTATCCATATTATAGTTGTTACTGTGATAATATCCGAAATTCCAGCAAGATGAAGATGACTCGGCATCGGAAGTCGGGGTGAGTGAGGTGGAAGAAGAGGATGAGCAGATCGAAGAAGAGGATGATGGCGATATTTCTATGATTACTGAAGACATGCTGAATGATTCTTATGCGCTTACGTGCACTGACTTTGTCAAAGTGTCCGAACAACTGGACGAGCTATGTAAACTTATTTCTGACTACTACTTATAGCAAATTTCAATGCTTTTTAAGATAGTGGATCTAGACTAATTCAGTGTGTTTATTATATTTTAGGAAATACACATGTCTTTCTTCGTTACGTCCTCTTTCTAGTTGCTGTAATGCTTTATATCTCATTAAACTGATTAGGTTCCCATTTCGACACTAGCTTATTTTCTTATCGTCAAATAAAAAAAAATCATTCCTTCAACTTTAAAATTTCAGATCAGTGAAAACCTACTGATACAATCGTTTGAAAGGGACTTGCTTTTAGATATCACTGTTTTTTATTTGGATTCATTTTTTAACTTTGTTTTACCATTACCCTGGCTGTAATGGAAAGGCAATAAACTTTAAAATAACAGAGTTAAGATGTGTAAACGTAGCGTGCAGGGCAGTTTCCATGCCGTTCACTTCAATTAAAATATGTACATAATGATATTATTGGTATATATGCACATTGAATGATTTTGAACAGTTTTAACTTTCACAATGGATCGGAATTTTTAACATTTTATCACGCAAATAAGGAAATGTGTTTAATGGTTGAAAAAAAAAAGAAGTTGAAATATTGCTTTTTTTTTTCAGCGAAATGCTTTGATTCACCATTTGCCCATATCTTGGAGGACTTTGCTTTGGGACGAAATTTGAAGTTTACAGCAGCTTACGGCATTTCAGCTACTGCTGTCGCTATCATCATATTCTACTATGCATTCGGTATCTTCTTTTACAAACTGGAACGACTTATCACTGTTCCTTCTTATCACTGGCACTTGGTTTAAATTTCAGTTTTATGCTGCTAAATTTATCCCTATTTTCTGAATTTTTTTTCCATATAAATTCAGACTATTTGTAGTGGTCCGCTAAATTTATTGTTTTTCTCAAAAATTTCCAGGCATTGGGAAGCCAGAGTCTTTGTCATTTACGTCAGCGGAAAATGTTTGTTTCGTTAATGAGGTTGGTTTTATGACGCTTATATATTTTTTTAATAGATTCGAGTGTTTTGCATAGTATTCCGACATTATCCACCTAGTCGAGAAATGTCACAGCTTAAACAGTGGGGTCATTCATTAATGGAAGACATATCTAAGTAACACAAAAGATAAAGTGAGCACTGGTTCTACATCACTTCTTTACTTTTTGGAATATATGATTAGTCAGAAGTTAAGAGAAGGCAAACTCAATAAATTACGTTGAGACATATTGATTTTTTTGTACAGAGTTAATGAATTATGAATTTCTTTCTGTTTTCTGTGTAATATCTGAGTGATTAACGTGCTTTCCTACAAAAAATTTTCATCATTTTCAGGACCACCTTTTCGGTCTGCAGTACCGAATCGCTGCTCCCTTCTTTTTACGTCCATTTTTTGAAATTCTTTTGAAGTTATCGATTCCGGCTTGGTCTTTTTTTCCATTCAGTATCCCTAAACCACATGCGATTGAACCGTTTCCTTGGATACTTAATTCCGAAAGCATTAGTGCATCACAAGACGAGCATGGATATTTCGCTACAAATCAATGCGAATATGTTTCAGTTGAAGTAAGTCGGTATAATGCTATTTTTACAGTTATTTTCGAGATGGCTAGTTATATCTCTTGATGAATCAATTCGAGAGTGCTCGGGAATGTAGTCAGATATTTCAGGTTTCAAAAAAAAAAAAAAATTAAGATTTATTTCAGCTTTCAAAAAAGACAGTTATCACACAGAGACGGAGGACATTAGTAATCCATGGTTAAATATAATTGCATTTCTTAAAAAATTTTATAATGACATATATGTTACTATTTCTTAGTCTTTCAGAGTTAGGGAGTCCAGTCGAATCAATGTAGGTATATATTATAAAGTAGTAATAGCTTGCATCACGGTCAGTAGCAGAAGGCTTTTTTTTTCCAAAATCCATTTGTAGCGATGTTAATCTTGCATTCATATCACTATTGAAGGCGGATAGTCTATGAAAGCTAAACAGCCAAGGTCTGTCTGATATTTTTCCTTCTTTAGGTGTTTAGTGTTAGTTTTTTAGTCTTGCTTTAGGTGTTAAAGTTAGATGTTTTTTTCTAGTATCGGCTCAATGCAGTGAGTGAGACCGTTCGACGATATTTAAGACATACGAAGAAACTGAAGGAACCATACAGATATGAGTCACCAGTTTTTGGTAAAACAAAACATTGGTTGAAAAAAAGAAACACGAACAAAATACTGGTTGAAAAAAAAAGCAATCACGATGGAAGACTGCAGATGGATTTGCATTTGGTATTAAGTAATTCTTCGGAGAATTGGAATTCAACAAAAACTGAATCGTCAGGACATTTAGAATCCATAAAAATGGAAGTTGCAAAATTCCAGAATTCTCCATCAATCCCGAAACTAATCCTACCTTTCCTTCGATTTTCGGCCCATCGTTTTTTGATTGAACCGAAACTTGGATTACTAGCACCAGTTCCATTACCAGAATTGTCAATGCAAAGGGAAATAACATCTATTTCGAGAAGTATTGCGGATTTGGTGCATACTGAGAAAAAGTGCTTTAAAGCTATATCAGATATAAAAAGCATTAAGTCGTTGGGAAAGAAAAGAAATAAACTACCATATAGTGCAGACTTAAGTTCATCATTCGTGGCTGTGAAGTTACGAGAATCGGAAAAGCTGCGGAGAAGTAATTCGAAAAAAGAAGTACGCCAACCAAAGAGAGTCACGAGTGAAGTTTTGGTGGGTCTTTTTTTTTTCTTGTAGAATTTAACATTAGCTGAAGATTTTTTTTTTTTTTTCAAATTTAATATGATTATTTTTTTTTTCATTTATATGAATAGTTTTAAGTTTATTATTTTTCATGTGTAGTTTTCGACTTCGATGAATCTTAAGCGTAATATTATCTTCCATTTTACTGTAGTGTAAATGAACTGTGCATTAGAATACGTTTACTGCAGCATTAATTGATTTTTTCCTGGAAAAGATATATTACAAAAGTACATTAAATAGAGCTTCGATTTCCGGCTAATCTTCAAGTCTGTTTTTTCTTAAAATTTCTAAAAATTTTTCAAAGCAATTTCTTACGACTTTATGAAAATTTCCTATAAAAAACATTTCATAAGAATATGTCCATCATGTCTCTTTACCAGAGCAACTCTCATTTCTTGAATGTTCGTTGCATTTCCGAATAAAAGCAACTACTGATATTGAAACTACTGCATTGATTTTTCTAATGATATTCTAATGATTTTTCAAATCAAATTTCAGCACGCAGTCAAATTATAAGACCGACTGTTGAGATCTTGATGAATAAGGATTTGTTCGTAGATTGTGGTTTGAAAAATTACATTCACTACAGATTGCAAGAAGTGAAAAAATATGATAAAATTTATCACAGAGTTTTGGTAATAAGAAATTTAACCCTAGTAGAAAACTGGAACAGTAAAATCAAGTATTTTTTTATGATTTCTCGCGTTTACCGTTTTCATGGTTTTAATCGGTTTTAAATGATACATTACAAAAATATACTGTACTGATAATATGCATGAATGAAGTAAATCTGAATAAATTTTGTCGATGAATCAATTTCTTTTTTTGAAAAGCGGGTGCAAAAAAGTTGTAAAATATCTTCTGTAAAATATATAAAAAAAAGAGATAATATGTGTCTTTCATGCTATCATATTTGATTCAACCTTCATGTTCATATCAAGTTGGCTATTTGAAGAGTAGATATAAAGATTGAATTAGTAAAGTTAATCAATTTTGTCGATGAAACGATAGCAAATATACTTAATTTTACAGCTAATTTCTTCGATGAAGAAAGTGATTTCAAGAACTGTTGAACGAGCCAAGGTGCATCGTGATAAACTTTTGAAACAGTTCAAAAGAGTTGCAGACAACATCGTGCGAAAGAATCGACCGAAAGTTTGAATTTATTTTAATTTCAGTAAATATTATTTTCTTTTTTACTTCAAAACTAAAGCGCACAAGTTTTAGCCTGTAAAACTTTTGCGAGCTAAAACAGTAATGAGAACCAGTTCAAACATGTTAAATTTTGCATCCTTCAATTCTTTCACTCTTGTTATTCAGGATTTTTCATCAGCTCTTAAATGGATACGAGAAATTGATTGGAATGAGTTAGCATGATAGTGTGAAAAAAGTTTGAAATTTTTCAGTTAAAATTTTGATTTTTTCATATGTTTGTTCCAGACTTTTCGGATGGGTGAGAAAACAAGTATTAGCAAGGAGCGATGCATGGTAAATTCTACTTGTAACGTTTTAGCTAGTCTTGCACGGACTTTGGCGGGTATCACTCTTTTCCCTGCAATCGTTGGTCAAATAAATGCTGCTAAGGTTTCTTTTTTTTTTTTTCGCTGCCATGTTTAAATGCATTCTGATTTTTGAACTCTGATGTTCTAAATGAATATATGTATGGTTGCGAACGGCATTACTAAACTGGTGGGTTTAATGGTTTGCTAATGTTTTTCATATTGAAATTCAATCTGCGAATTGGTGTGTTGGCTTTTTTAAAAATGTGATTGAATTTCAAACAAGATCTTTTAACCATCTTTGTGATTGTGGATTTAATGATCGAGTTTATTTTTGTCCTTATTTTGTTGTTTTTCATCGGATTTTATCATTACTACTGAACATCATTTGACCGTTGTAGTTTTAATTCCTTAAATGTTGGAGAAAATGTTGCTTCATTAAAATACTAATTTTTAATATTTTCATCTTTAACGAGTTTCATTTTCAGTACATTAATTCTCTGTTGGATCTCTCAACTTGTAACGGTCTACGTTTAGTTTGTGAAAAGTGTTGGTGGACTAGAGAATGCTGTCCAAAGGTTTTTTTTTTTTTTTTCCATTACAATTATCTCGAGATGGCTGAGCTTTGTATTGTTACATTTTCAATCTTTTATGAAAAAACTGAAGGAATGCTTTAAAATACGAAGACGATCGTTACAGTTATAGGAGATATGTGCTTTTCTTCCATGGCAGCGACATTTTAATACGAAACGTTTTTTGGCCTCGCAAGGTCACAAAATGTTTGAAGCGTTTGAAGAACTCGGTTGGTCAATGTCTCGAAAGCGTAAAGGTATGAATTAATATTTGCGTTAAGTGTGTGAGTGGGAATTTTGGGGAGCACGAGAATAAAAGGTTTTCATAAAACTGTGTGGGGTTTTAAAACTGTATGCTGTTCGAATTTTGCGAAAGTGACTATTTGAAGTAGCCATTAAGAATTTTGAATTGAAATAGTTCATAAGGATTTTGAAATTTTCAGATGGTGACGCTAAACCAAATTTCAAACTCAACCATCCGAATTGTTTCGCTTGTTCGGAAAAAGAATTGGTACATGCTTTAGATTTCTATCTCACTGATTTTTTTAAATATATTTGAATCCGAAATTCAAGAAAGTGTCGATGTTGTAAAGTATTCCTAATTTTGCAGCGTTTCGGATATGACAAGAAAAACTCGATGGAACGTCATTCCAGGAAAAGTGATATCCAAGATCGCATACATTGAATACATTGATAAAAGCTAGCGAGAAAGATCTTTTTCATTTTTTCAGCAAAACTTGACAACTACCTCCTCTGCCAGAAGCAACAGTACAGTAGGATTCTTTAGTTGTAAGACGATTGTATGGATTTTTTTTAGTTTCTTTTATAGAATTATTTCATTTAATCCTTCTAGTAAATCTTTGCAAATCAATTTGAAAGAAAATTCTGATAACTGAATTGCTGGAAAGCTGAGGAGGCGAATATGATCATCAGCTAAAGCATGACCCGAAGTTCAGTTTCAGAATATCGAAGCACACTGGATGTCATTGTGAACTTAATCTGTAAATGTTTCAGTATAACTTTTGTATGTATGAAATCATTGCTGTTAAAACTTGCTTTGTGTATATTCAAAACTCTTCGAGATTTTTATTTTATATTTTAGAAATTGCTTACTCAGTTTTTTTTCTTCGTTCTCCCTGTTTTTCAATGGAAAGAGAATTAAAAGATTCTTATTTTCTTCTTGGAGATAGTTCTTAAAGGAACAAACTGTTTATTTGAAAAAATATCTTCTAAAATTTGTCCATATCAGATAGTCATTAAATGCAGTTAAAAATTCCCGCTTCTGCTCGCTTGACAACACAACAATTCCCAACGCAACCTCGACAATACAACCATTTCTAATACAACTTTTTTTCATCGTTTATCTATTCTAACATTGTACATTTATCTTTCCTGCTATTGAAAAATAGTTTCATAAATGCATATGCAAATAAAAGGAATTTCTGAATTTGAACCAATATGAAAATCATAAGAATTCGGTTTGAACGTAAATGTGAGAGTAAAAACTGCAATAAACTGCGAACACTTTCCGTCGTCCATTGAAAAGTTTGCTTGCACAGGAGAGGAAATATACACTTTCTGAGAAAACCTGGTATAGTAGTACAGCAGTACCTCACTGCACTTTCTCTGAAAGGAATTCTTCCGGTTGGCATGGTGAAATTGTGGTTCACTTTGCTGTACTCCGCCACTCGCTTGTGAAGTGTAATTGCCACCAGGCACTATAGCAAGATTCATCTTCGGTACTTGTCTCATACGAGTCGAAATTTTCATTCAACGTTACTTTTACCACATTCTCAATCTGAGGACACATCGATACAGTAATTGTCACTTGCCGAACTTAGGAGATGTGCTGTTGAAGAACGCGAAATGCACAACAGTAACTGAAATTCCTCTCTGCACCTTTCCTTCCGGCGTAGCACCGGGAGTACAGTACCCGCATTTCGTCTCAGGAACCAATTCATTTAAAATTCGTGAGCTGACAGGAAGAATCAGAGAGGGATGGAATATTTTGGATAGTGCGGGGGCGTATGAGTGCATTGTTCAGCTACTCCTGTCACCTGTCATCCTGATGTGCTACTTCCAGTTCTCGTTTTAGGTACCACAATTGAGTTCATTTGTGAGAGCAAATAGGCATATCGCTAATGTTTAGCTAAGCAACAAGCAGATTAATTCATTTAAGTTTTAATCAGTCTTCTTTGCTCAGTCTTCTATACACATACCTTCCTCTTTAGATACGCTAAACAGGAAGGAACGGTATGATGATGGTACTTAGTAGTAATTTAGTATTTGTTAATATTGCGATAGTCATGTATGCTTCTGACTCACTAATTTTTACTAAAAAATTCTATCTCTTCCATCGTGGATTTAAATCTTTTCCTTTTAGGGTTACACAGCTGTTTCCGTCTTAGCACATTGCTTTGTGTGGGTTCTTGAGCGGTTCGTTTTTTTCACTCATATCTTCGTTATAATTTATTCAACTGCGAAGTAAGTGAAAAAAAGAAACTGAAGTGTATATTGGGATATACATATAATTCGTTTTTACCGTGGCTCTTCAGTGGTTGCCCTAAGGTAACAAAGATGTTTGAAAGTGACATACAAAATGATCTGTCGTTCTTGAGAATGTTTTAATTAGGTATCATTTGCAGAATGGATGCATTCACAGAATCGCCAGGGCAATATCGGCCACTGTCGCGTAAATACGACAGAATTGACAGAAGATATAAATTTTTCAAAGCGTAATTTTCCATTTTATTACAAAAACAACATGTGGAATCTAGACCATAAGATTGACTCTGTTAATACCATATATCCTTTCGAAGTTTTTGATTTCAGGAAAAGTGCTGCCTGCTTACAGATGCATTATCCACTGCTGAAAGATGAAATGGGAAGACACATTTGTCAAGTAGTCTCTTTTCACCGCCAGGTAATTCCATATGATTGATTTAACTTTCTCTGTGGTATTGTAATGCTGATCCAAAGAAAAATAATTCTCGTTTTTTTTAGATTTCAAAAGGAAGAAAAAAAGAATATCTTCAAAATTTTGGAAACGAGCAGGTACTTTTAATTCTGAACATATATTTTATGAAAAAAAATGTGTACTAATTATTTGAGAGCTCATTTATCTTTTGGAAAAATTTCTTAAAAAACTCTTTCGAGAAACAAGCGCCAATAACTCATTCAGGGAGTACTTACTACAATAAACGATTTGCCGGATGATATACTGCTGATGATATTTGGTTACTGTCATCCGATCGATTTGATTAATTGTTTTTCCTTGGTATCTCGCCGTTGGAATAATTTAGCAAATAGCTCTACTCTCTTGAACGAAGTTAGAGTTCTGGTTACCTACCGTACACTGGCATACAAAAGTGTCAAAGAATTTTTTGCTAAGGTTGATGTTGTTTAATTCTGTCAAATTTTTAGCAATTTATTAAAATAATGTAGAAGTTGCTTGGGAATGTTTGTACTTTTCGGACTTTATAGATTACTAATACATCTCTCTACAGCTATAAACGTCTGAGTATAGAATGGAACAAAAATTGAGTGTTTTTCAATTCAGTGACTTTTCAAAACAGAATTAAGTTTTTCAGAATAGAATTTAGGTTTTCGTATCATTTATGACATCCAGATGCTTGTTTTCTGATCAGCACCTCTATTCGGGGTGATAAATAGAAATAATGAGCGAAAGCACAGTTAGGAAGAAGTGTGAAGCTGCTAGAAAGTTATTTTAAAAAGTTTCGATTAGCAATCGTCAGCATGTTGTATTCAAGACATGATATGAAATCCTGAATTCTAAAAATTCCAACAGGATGCTTAAGCGTAGACAAGAATTGGGACTAGATTTACATTTAATTTCACTTTCCTCGTCAATATTTGTGTTTTTGGAATTATGCTTGTGAATATATTCATAGAATTCTCACCATCTTCGCAAACTCTGCATCGATTGTACAGTGGTATTGCCATCCACTCAAGTTAGCAACTTATTCGATATATACATGCCCAACGTCACCCATCTCGATATCAGTTCTTTTGACGGTTATCGTTTACTTTCCTTTAGGACATTTGAATTAAAATTGCTTAAAAACTTCTTCCTTCTTAAACAACTTCTCTTAAAATTAATTCATATAGTGTAGTGACAATTGTTGTTTTGTAAAATTTTTAAGCATTCCTGTGCACTGAAAGATAAGTCTTTAAAGCGAGACACCTTTAGGAATAGAATCCATGTAAATTTGAAACACCTTGTATGGGTTTTGTAATATTTACTTCTTTTAATATTTTTCTTTAGCTTATGATATTTAATGTGTTAGAATTTCAGTTAGGCTTTTACAGAAATGAATGCAGCATTGCTGAAGAAATTATCTGATTGTTTTCCCAATCTTGATACGTTACATATGGAAGGTGTCAAGCGTGTATGATTTATATTGAAAATTATCTGGAAACCCCTTGCTATTCTTGTTCAATTTTTTCTCTTTAGTGTCCTGCAAAGTTTGAAAAAGCCACTGGTTTATAAGGATTTTGGTGATTTCAAATACCAACATTGCAGTGTTCCTCTCGTGTTCAGTGTTCAGGAGAGTGGAATGAAATGTTGAGGCTGTTATTTGAGAATGAGAATACCTTCCCGAAAATCGAAAATTTTTTTATTGGTGATATGAATGAATATTGGGATGGGGCTGACATGAAACTATTGTCTTGGAAACGACAACTGAAAGTATTGCATATTGAAAATGGGGCAGCCAAAATTAAGTAAATTTTTTTCCAAAAATTATTTTGTCCGTTGCTGTTAACTTGATACGTCTTAAATAACCGAAAATTTCGAAAATTGAAACGACCCATTAGTATTATTCATAGTAGAAACGACTTAAGCGATTCGCTTTTTCCCGAAAACTTCTAGACTATTTAAATCCTCCTTTGAGATGTATGTGATTCATAACCTTTATTACTGAACAAAATTTCCATTAAGATTTGTACCCAATATAGTTGTTAGAAAGCTAAGAAGGTGAAGCGGTTTTCTCAATGGTCTCAATCGACTTATAAAAATGTAAGGCAACCTGTAATTGTTATTTATTAGCTTCTATGGGATCAGGATTTCTCCATGGCGATTAACACTTACCGAACTTTATCTTGGGTATTTCATTACAAATCACGATTTTCGCTACATTGGTCTTTTGCATAATTTGAAACTTTTGTCTTTGGATATGTGTCTTTACACCGATGATGAGGATATTTTGCATTTGAAGGTAAGTGAAATTTGTCCATAAAATTCTATTTAATCAATTTGATTGCTATACTGAGTGACAATAATTGAAAGAGGATAATGGATTTTTTCATACGCTTCAAATTAAGATTGCGATGTTGCGTGTTGATTACTAATTACTGTATTTCGCAGAATGTCCTTTTTTTTTTTTTTTTTTTTTTTTTTTAAAGTTTAAATTTCTCACTTCTAACCGGTTTTTAATGTGGGAAAATTTATTGACCACAAGTTTTATTACACTAAAATATAGCTACACTGTTATCAAATTTGTTGCATTCTGATTTGCAGAATTTATGCAATCTGGAGGAGTTTCGTTTAGCGTGTGGTGATCAATACTGTAACCTTACTACAGAAGGAATGATTAATTTATTTACTTTACCAGATAAAGAACCGGAAAAATCATTCCCGTATAGACTTAGAAATTTAGCTCTTACCGAATTCCAGATGTGCAGTGCGGAACTTGTAAAGGTCATTGCTAAAAAGTATGTTATGTCACTGTTATTCAAGAGTCTCAGCAGTTTTGGTAGAGTTGAAAAGAGATCTTGTAAAACTGCAATAAACTAGTAACAATATTTGGAAAAAAAGATTATATTTGATTTGTTCAAATTGGTGATATTTGCTAATAAATTTACAACATAATCATTCAAAAATTCCCTAGCTTATGTAATAAATACCAAATTTAGTTGCCCAAAACTGCGAACGCTCAATTTGCAACGCAATGAGTTTATGGGCAACAATATCGTTCAGTTCGTTACCAAAAATTTCAAGTAATTTCTTAGCTTTCTCTATTTCATATCCAATTTTTATACTTGCTACGCCCTGTTATTTATTAATGTACCCGAATATCTTATTTTACTTAGTACAAACTTTATCTCTTGCTTCACTTAGTTGTCTTTAAAAAAATTTAAAAATGGAGTTTTCGCGTTCAGAGCGATTGCTAACGGATTTCCACAAAATTCGGTGTAATAATAAATGTAGAGTTCGGGAACCTAATGATTTTTATTTACTTCAATACATTTGTTAGTTTTGAACGGCTTTGAAGAGAAACATTACCATTACTTGTACAGCTATTCTTTAGGGTAAATGTCTTTTTTTGAAGGGTCTCATTTTAGTGATCTGGTCTTGCTAGATTTAAGTAAAATCGGTAATTCCTATGAAAATAAAGCTTGGGACAATCTGTGTGATGAAAATTTGCCGAAATTACGATTCCTGAGACTTCATGACAATAAGGTATAGCTTTATTACTAATGAAAAAATTCTGTGGAATCGTTATCCAAATGAAATAAATAAATAAATAACCCTACATTTAACAGTTACTGAACTTCAAATTTTCACTTTTTATTACATGAAATTGTTGAAAACCTACAAATTTGAAATCTCATAGCGGGAACTGCTAGTTCAAAATCAATATCTGAACTGTCGGAAGAAACTGTTAGTAGGGTCACTGGATGGGTAGAAAGAGACTAGTGTTTGGATTGCATTGCTTGGCTGCACTCATATTCATTATCCAAAGTAAACAAGCACAGACACAAAAAAATTTTAAAAGTTTCTGGATAACGAGATATGAACGTGACTCCTTGTCGTGTTATAGGGATAAAACTGCGATGACTCGTGAAAATTATTGTATAAATTTTCTGTAAGCTTTTGCAACTGAAAAAATCCTTTTTTTTAGGCGGATATTAACATATTGCAGCGTCTGAACCTGAAACGCCCTAAACTGATGATTACAGTTAGAATGAATCACTTTATTAATTGGACAGAAACAGAAAGTGGTTGCGTTTTTCATGACACATACGATGGCGATATCAACGCGGTTGTGAATGATTTATCTCAAATAGATGGGTTCGGTTGTTGTGGCACAGTAATTCATTTTCCATCAGCATTCATTTCGGCTTGAATTTCCGGTTTGTTTTTTTAAGTGACCTATAGCAAATGCTCTTAAATAAAGCACTTTAATGTTATGTTTGTTTTTTCATTCTTTACCATGTTTATCCATTTTTTTCTTTATGTGTTGATGGCAGCCTTTTTTATTGGAAATATCACTGTTATCATCCGTTAAATTTTACTCGAAGATATCAACAATGTTTGAAACTATTCCAGACTATCCACTACAGCTTAGAACGATGATTAAAATAGTATGAATTTGCTTTAGAAACACAGCATATTTCTTGGTCAAATTATTTTATAAAAGTTTGCGTCATCTGAATTCCAACCAAATAGTGATACGATTTAAAATATATAAGTTTTTTTTTTTTTTTTTTACCAATGAATGAGTCATTCTTTGGTAGGCATAATTCAATGAATTATTGAGACCTACTCTGACTTATAATGTAAAAACTAAATGTTACAAATTCAACTTTTATTGAAAAAGCAAAAAACTTTAAAACATTTTTAAATTTTAAAATTCGATAGTCTTCAACTTACGGTTCTTCGTGCTTTTTTCTTTTTCATCTTTACTGCTTTGAAATCTGAATCTTCAGGCCTGCAACCAGGAAATCAAGAGAGTTCCAACGATTAGTAATAGTTGCTCACAATTTCAAGTTTGCTTACCCATATCTAAATCGTTTTACGGCCTTCTTTCTCACATCTGTTAATTCGCTTGTGAACGATCTCAATTTTCGCTTCTTCCCCTCATTCGAACGGCGATCATTGTTTTCGCAAAATGCTTGTAATTTTTTCCCTTTCCTTGCCCGTTTCGCTGAACGCACTTGAAATTCAGCTAATCGTCGAGCTCGTAATTCTTCCTACACAGGAATAATCCCAAAGAATTAAATTATTTGGCAACTAGGAACAGGTAAGCTTCAATAATAAAGTAGGCTGCACAACAGCAAGAAACAGAGGTACAGAGGCTGAGCATATTGCATTACTAACATTGAAAGGCCATAATGGATCATTGTCAAAGTAACGGAAGATACTACCCATATGAAACATTTCAACTTCGTAAGTTGAAAATACTAAAGCTTGTATAAAATCTAGCCGCTACTGTAATACTTCACAGCTTTAAAGAAAAAACTCTACCTCACTTCCATCATCGCTAGTGTTATGATTCTTACTTTTCTTCGCATCTTGAAATGAGAAAGAGGTTATACAGAATATCGTGAAAACTTTCATTATCCATACCCAATGTATATCTATTCCCATTTTTTTAACTCTGTGAACACATTTGATCTCAAGTAGACTAACATTTAGATTGCAGAATTGAAAGTTTCTATATCAGCTCTGTTAGACGATACAAATATTTCGTTTTAGAATATTATTATGAAGCTGACAGGCATATTTTGCAAGAGCTCAAATGTAATATATTTTACCTTTCTCATTAAGCAATGGTTTCTGCATCTTCATCCAGTGTCTTTTCTCCGTACTTCCTTCCAGTCTTGTCTTACCTCTTTGTAACTCCTCCTGCGCAAGTCGCAGAGTTCTTTCTACTTCTTCCTCTTCTTTAATCTTTTCAATACTCTCTTTTAAACTTTCAATTCTATTCTTATAAGCATCGATCACATCTGTAATGAGGAAAAGTTTTATCTCTTACTTACGAATTAAAATAAGAACTATATTATTATAAAATTCAACGGACCAATTCTGTATAAAGCAAAAGACTGAAAAACTGACTAGCACTTATGAGTCGCTGCTTCAAGGAACCTTCTTTATTTGAAGCTACAATTTCCTTTAGAATTTTTCGTTCACTTTCACCCACCAAAGAAATAGATCGTCCTACACGTCCTGCCCGAGCAGTTCGACCAACACGATGAATGTATTGCTTCAGCGTAGTAGGCATATCCATATTAATGACCTATTTGCAAAAACACTGTATGAATATTAGCGGCTCAATCAATAACGAAATAATCAATGGGTTCCTTTCTTCCAAATCTTCGATCTTATTGAACTTCGAAAGAACGTATAGTTACCTACCTTCCGATTTTGTAAACAGAACTTACTGTCTTGACTCCTTCCACGTCAAGTCCTCTAGCTGCGAGATCCGTCGAAACTAGCACATCAAGTTCAGCTTTTTTAAATCGAAACAGCGCCTCAACACGTTGTCTTTGTGTTAAACCGCTGTGGAGTTGACCAACCTTAAAAAATTAATATGATGAATCATCTTACGTTTTGAACATTGTAGTTTCATCCAACTAGTAATAGTTTAGTTAAGCATTCAGAATAAAAAGCAGTATTCAAAACGGATTGCGTACAAATTCAAATGACCGGACTTCTTTTAGACTTTCAGTTAATACTTGCCATTACAAAACATTCAGCTGAATTTGAATAAAAAAAAAAATTTACTTAAACGAAAAAATTCCAAACAACTTACCTTAGCTCCCAAAAGACCCAATACAATATGGAGTCGCCGACAAGTTTTCTTCGTCTTCACGAATATTATTGTGTGGTCAGGAAAATTCCGTGTAACTAGACCTAAAAAAATGACAAAATGACATGATAAAGAATTTCTGGAATAATCAAAAAAAAAACTGTGTTACCTGCTACAATACATTCCCGGTCGGCTTCATGATTCTCCCGTATACGTACAAATTCCTGCCGAAGATTTAAAGCTGTTTCCGTATTACCACTGATGAATAATTTTACCGGATTTTTTAAAGAAACAGCTGCTAACTCTTCGATCTCAAAATATTGCTCAGTTGACACCAATGAATTAAACTGTACATCAGAATTGTAATATTAAAGAAAACTTTTACATTGTAATGGTAAAGACTTCTGAGTTATCTGCCAAGAGCTGGATTTCACATCCTCACCATTATTTGCCTTAGTATACTTATCACCCTTAAGTGCTTATATTATATAATGCATATTAATGCAGTTGAGCACAAGATAATTTGTTATAAACTAAATAAATAGAAAAAATAAGGAATTCGAAACATATATACCTGATCTGTCATAGTAGCCGAAAATAGCATCGTCTGCCTATTTCGCGCACATAAATGCATAATTTCTTTCATTTGAATGGAGAAAGCTTCATCTAACATTCGATCTGCCTCATCCAGAACCAAAATCTTAAAAAAGTAAAGATTTCCAAGATACAAGGTCTAAGAAATCAAACAGTCGAAAATCCACCATACTTCCATCCGTTTCACACATTACTCCACAAAGTGATACAGAAATAAACGAAACTATCCTATAATAACTATCTCAAAACTATTCTCACATTTTGGAAATTAAATTAATTAAAAAACAGTACTGAAAAAATACCTCAACATCAGCAAGTGAGAAATTAGGCGCATTATGCAGATGATCAATCAGCCTTCCCGGTGTAGCGATTACAATGTCGGGTCGTTGTCGCAATGCCGCTTCCTGGGTTTTCAAATCCAAACCACCTTTAATGTATATATTTTAAATGAAAGTTTCTCCAATTCATTATTAATCATATTGATAATCCGATATGCTTTCCAAAAACAAGTATTTTATAATTCAAAATATGACAATATATGATTATGATTAGTCCAGTCCCTCCTTCTTTTTTCCAGCTGAGTTTATTTGTTTTGTAAAAGAAGGACGGAAAATATTTTCATCATTCCCACTGTTAGAATGCAACCATTAGCTAGTAACATTGGTCTTTTACTAGCAATGGGATTTATTTCCTCTAAATCACACATATTATTCGCTATGAACAAAACATCTCAAATTATGAAGGATGCTACAATAAGGTCTAGAAAGAATTATCTACGGAACAGTGATGAAATGCTGAGCCTAAACCTGATTATCAACGTACTGTTAAAAGTGGGGAAGCATTTCATGCAAACATTAGTAGGAAGACCGTATTAAATTAGCGGTATTAAAAGAGTCTGATATCATGAAGAATTGATATCTCAATAATCAGAGATCGTAAATTCAAATAGTGTTAATTAGCAATAACTCAACTCTTTCATCTGAGTTCATTATATTCACTTTACCATTCCAATTGAGTGGAAAAACAAGAAAGTTTGTTGATAATTTTTTGAAATTCAATTGAAAACTGTTAAACTTATAGACAGCTTTACCTCTCCATAGCTTGCCTTAGATGTTTCGTATATACTGAATGGGAGGATGACATATTTAAGTCAAGCTATATAAAAGGCATTCCAGTAAGCAAGGAAATTTTTGGTATACAGTTGGTTTGTTGTAGAATCCTTAAAAAAGGAATTTTTTTTTACATATTATTAAATCAGTATCTAAAAATAACCACAATTCATACTATCTACTAATCTACTATTATTTCTACTTAATCGCTCACTTCCGAAATACAACTAGGATTGATTCTATCGAATGTAAAACACTGCAAAAAAGAAATTTTGTGCCGACATTCTAACAAATTCCATTATATAACTTTGAAAAAAAAAAAAGCAGAGAAAACGACTAATCAGACACAATTTCCTGACTTAAGTTTTGTGAAATCACTAGCGCGATAGTAATTACCATCATAATTTACTAAAAAGAATCTTTAAAAATGGAGACAAACTAATCCAACTTGTAATATTTGTTCACATGACAGTACCGATGGATATGATGATATTATTGATGAAAATGGAAATAATTGAATAATCAGAGCTGAATACATTTATAGACATCGAATTAAGCCATGAAAGATTGATGAATTGCTTAGGATATTAAGGCTTATTTCATAATCGGGTGCACTTTGATTGCTAAAGATAAAAGTTTTTATTTTTTTATTTTGCGTATAAGCTAAATAAGATATATATGTTCTTTTCCTTCAAATTATTTACGAAAACTTTGATAGCAATTGAATTACTATTTCTAAAAATTTTTGAACAAACACCTAAAACTGAAAGAAATAAACATGGGTGACTAACCCATTAAATCGTCAGTCGAAACTAAAACTTGTGTGGAATATTTCTAATGGGCTCTTTGTAAAAAACAGAAATTTTCGCAATGTATGTAAAAGATCAAGGCGCGGAGAATTGTGAAATGAGCTTCAGTACCTCAAGCATTCAACAAAAGAACTTGGAAGAGTAAAGAAAACTTTGGAAATTGAAAATCATTTATGCTACAACAGTTTAATAATAGTTAGTAATAATAATCAATAATAATAACAATAATTAATAATAATAATAGGTAGTAATAATAAATAATGATTGATAATAATCAATAATAATAAATGGTGATAATAATGATTAATAATAATAATAACAATGATTAATAATAATAGTAATAATAATAATAATTAGTAACAATAATAGCAATAATTTAATAATAATAATGATACCACTCATCATTTTATTAGATACAACGAAAGTGTAAGTACCAAAAAGTAAAAAAAAATTGACAAAAATTAAATAGTGCACTACATTAACTATGTCTTATTTGTAGGGATATCTTCCATTAAAATAACTGTAGGGCTGATAAGAATCGAAATTTTCAAATAAAATACAGGATAAAGATATACAAATTGTTTTCGAACATAAAAAAAAAAAGAATTCGGGGAGGAAACATAATTAAAATATGATATGAGACGATTTAAAGATATGACTAAAACTCATATAATTCCTTGTAATTTCATTAAAGCCTTCAAACAGTATCTGCAATTTGTTGAATTCTAACGGACTTTAGATCTTCTCTATCCACCTTAAGTAGTCTTCTTCTCAACTTATAGCGGAAAAACTCCTGTTTTCTTCATCTTCTAATCGATGCCAAATTAGTTGAACGCCCACACTTCCCAACTGCCCCAATTTGAATAAAAACCTGTTTCATTACACTCCTCGCCACTCGACCCGTATTCCCTATCATTGCTTTGATGGCATTCTTTTCATAACTCTTGTTCCTGCTTCATCTCAGACCCTTTCTCCAGTACTTTGTAAACTTCTCTTCGATACTTACTCATCCGTACCTGTCACTACAACAAAATTTCATTCTTGAACACAATCAACGCCACCTTCTTGCCCACCCATTTCAACAATACTACCGCACCATTTCAGTGAAATACAGCTGCACAGCAGGCCAGAAAAACGGTCTATTCCGCACATCATTACAATCTTTTTGTTCCGGTCATCCCGAATATCTTGTCCAATCCGGTCTGTGACCCTTTTCTTACCAAACATCGAAAACACCTATATAATTTCACCCGAACGATCGTCTATCTCATCTCATTTCAGTAGCCCAACCATCCCTCCCTCTTTATGCGTCTCCATTCTTCTCTTCTATAGAATAAAATTTACTCCAAAGAAAAGAGAAATTTTGCATCTGATCTCATAAAGGACTCGTCAGTGACAACTGTAATGAAAAGAAACCAACGAATTTTGCTGGTACTCTGTATTATTTATGGATTATGGAATATTGGTACTCAGTGGACAACAACATTACTTTCATTTCTGCAATGGGATACTATTTACGTTAGTTTGATAAACTGCAGAATATTACTTTTTCAAAATTTTATTACAGAAATCAGTATAAGCTTGGGAAGACATAATTACATTCCAAGAATTGTCAAAAATAAATAGATGTTGGCAATTATTTCCCAAAAATTATGCTGACAAAAGATAAAAGACACTGAAAGATTACTCAATCGGTACAATGTAAACTATTATAAAACAGTACTAACTGTTTCTGCTATGCAAGAAAATCGTTAAATTTGATTTAATTTTCGTTTCATTTTTCCAAGACAAAAACGCTTTTCCTTGTTACGAAAGGATCATTTTCGAAGTGATTAAAACGAAAACTGTTCGACCAAAAATCAGTCCCCAACTAATTTCTTGCTTAATTTGAAAGTATGAATAACAAAATTTGGTAGCTTTTAATTAAAAACTACCTACTTTTCCCTACAAAAAAAATTTTTTTTTGGAAACCTATGTGAAATTTCGGAATTAAATGTAACTCAAATACAGAATTTAGATATTTTCGTAAAATTCTGAACTAGAAAAGTTCTTCTCCCTTGCTGAATAAAGGAAAAGTTTTTGAAGTTTGAAAAAGATAAAAAAGTTTATGATATTTGATAAATTACGTGAAAAAACAAATTTCAGGTGATGACAATTGTGGACATTGGTTATATCCAATCATTTGGAAGTTTTTGTAATGCTATCGGTGCCCTTATAGTCGGGCAGGTAAATATTCATATTTTAATAAAAAGTTCATCAAAACTTATTTTTTGATGAACTTTTTAATAAAAAAAAAACTTCCTTTTCTTTTAATAAAAAGAAAACTTATTTTTTGATGAATTTTTGATATTTAAAAACTGATAAAAGCAACCGCTGAAAAAAAATATGCTATTAAAGAAGTTGTTTAGATTGCTGACTCAACTGGACCAAAAACGATGTTTCTGTTTTCATCGGTCATTATATCGATCTACTACTCAGCACTAGCCTTTGCCAAGTGTTGGTATTCATTCTTTTTTCTGCAGGTAATTTAAAAAGCAAAAAGCATATCTGTTCTGACTTGAATGACAATTTTTGAAACCAATTCACTACACCCCTCCTAATTATCCATTCGGATGGTCCTAACGTGGTTTTTCTCCACGACAGCGAGAGATTGTTCCATGATGTATAAAGTAGTGTTTAAAAATTAGTTTTCCTATTTCAATAATCCTGTGAGAAAACTCTTTTTAATGATTATAATAAAAAAGAAGCATTCAACCCTACCTACTTAGCAGAAAATATAAAAAATGAAAAATATATAGGTCAAAATATGTCCAAAAGACTATTAATAGTAAAGCGTTGTCGTTCGTTAACGCAAGAACGAATAAAGTTAACCAATTCGAATGCAAATTGTGAGAATGAGAACTATATTAAAAACTTACTTTCTATTAAGTTGCTAAGAATGGGTTATCAACTGGATGCAACTGCTGAAATGTATTTAGCAACTATTACAACGGAACGTGAAAGAACAAGTGCTCTAATGCGACTCACTGTACCACAGGTAGCTCAAAAAACTCTTTTTGTCACCTAAATTAAGATATAACTTAGTGATTAAATTAGACTGGCAGATACAAATTCGAAAACTTGAGATAATCACGAAAGGTAGAATAGAAACGGCTCGAAATATTTTGTACCTATGAATAGCTCAGTAATAAATTCATTTCATTCCTATATTTTTGCTTTCCTTAAATTCTACCTCAGCACTTCATATATACATATATATATGCAGGCCTTGGCAATGTTACTGGGTCCAATGTTTGCATCACAACTGGCGATTAAGACCAGCCTTCGTGCATCACAGTTCATTTGTGGTATTGCCTTAACTGTAACATTAACTCCATTTATCTACTATGTTCTACCACAAACACACAATGTACCAAAGCTTGCTACTGCCCGACTACGTCCGCAGGTAGCAGTTACGTTAATAACAAAGATCAACTGAACAAGATAAATTTGAATTAAATCGGTTGCATGATTTTACATTTAATAAGTAAATGTACTGATTTCATTAAAATTATTTTCTTCCAAAATTCTCATGTGCATTAACTTTGCTTATCCTTTAATGTGAGACTGAGAGCTCCTTAAATCTGTAGCGTGAACAAAATTCTATGAAACAAATATGGTCGAAGTTTTTATCTTTAACAATTACCTTCCCTTGAATGAGCAAAAATAAATCTAGAATATTACACATAATAATCATATTCAGGATTATCTGCCAATGATAAAGCATAACGTTGCTCTTCGAGAAGGTATTTTTTTGCGAGGACTGCTTATAGCTGCCTATATTTGCTACGAATTAATATCCAGGAATTTCCTTCTGCGTTCCTTTATGCAGGTTATTTTTGTCACCATTTTAAAATTGTGAAGACATGATTCCTTCAAAAGCTAATTTTCATATGAACTATAGAACTTATAATTAAGAGAAATATGTTACTGAACTATATTAGCCCACAGTAAAGAAGATTCACCTGTCAAGATATTACCAAAACGGTGGTCGAAAGGAAAGCATCATCTATAACACACTGAACAAAAACAAATAAATGAAGACAGATTAATAAGAAATCAGAAAGAAACTTTTCAAGAGTCGGTATTAAACATAAACTAATTCAAAAATAAAATTCAGACTTAATCTTCGAAATTTGTAAACCATGGAATTAATGCGATGAAAGAGTTTGATTCTTAAAGACTTCAGGGCCCAAATGACTCGGCTAAAGTACTTACTGTAATGGGAGCATCATTACTAGTGGTACAGTTCCTCCTACTACCCTACCTGCAACGACGTTTCTATCCGCGAACAGTACTAATTATTTCACTGATTGGTCTTTCCTGTGCTTATTCACTAATCAATTTCACCACAGATTTCAATCAGCTACTTGTTGTCATTGCCCTTCAGACAGCATGCTACGCTATTGCATATGCCGAAAGCTATACGCAGATCACGAGGTATGTTGTTGCATTTAAAATCAGAAGCAACAAGACATCAGTCTATAAGGAAAATCACTAAAAAATCGTGATTAGTACAGTAACCAAAAGAAAAATTTTGTGCTAAATGAGTCTCCAATTCCATTTCCCCATAATTGCAAAAAGGTAAAAACTGTATTTAAAACATTATACTGATACTAAGTCGGAAATCTGAAGCTGAATGGTAGCATATGTTCTCGCTTTTTCCTTAGTAATCATATAATCATGTAGTTTTTTCAACCATATTTTAAAATAGCCCCGTAAATCAGTATTTTTTTTCTTTCATATTTTTGGTTACAGTGCAGTAGACATTACCGATCTGGGAAAAGCAACAGGACTAGCGTCGGCCGCTCAATGGATAACACATTTCATAGTTCCAATTTATACATCACATGTAGTACAGTCATGGCACTACACCTATGCATTCTACACCAGTGCTCTGCTCTCTGTTGGAGCTCTCTGTTATGTTATTCTACTCGCCAAACATTCAAATGCCCGTGTACGCTCCCTATTACCATCGATTAGTCTAGCATAATTTATTCTATAATCTTCTAAGATGAATTATGGTTATTGTTTTTATGCAGTGTTACAGCAAAAAAAAAGTTTCTCCACGTCCACTACGAAAAAAAAAAAAAACTAGTCTTGAATTTTAAATAAGGAAGCCTCACTGAATCTTCGCCTTTAATATTTAACACTGAAAACCGGCAGACCCATTTTGCAGTTCTTCTGAATCAATTACTAGTACTACTACTTTTTAGTATTTATTATTTAGAAAACATTTCTTCACTTAAATAAATGCAAGGAAAAGTTTGTAAACTAACATACTCTTCCTATGTTTGTGAAAAAGACGAACCTGCACACAAACATATATCGATGCTCATAAACTTCGATAGCTGATGACTAACTTGAAATGTCTGCAAATAATTAAATTAAAATAAAGAAATGCAGATAGTGTTTGATTTTCACTCCAGTTCTGGGAAAACATTCAAAAAAAAAAACACTCCAGAAACATCATGCAAGATTAAAGATTTCTGTACTCCGTGTAGATAAGCTATCAATATGTAGCAAGTGTTAGCTGAATATACTCGGTAACACATCAATTCTTTTGATCGTCAGGTTTTTCAATAAAAAGTTTGTTCAACCACAAGAACAGTCAAACCTGTATGGCTAATTCTCTTGTTGGCGTTAGTACAATCACTCTAGTCACTGATTTTTGCTGCGGTCGATACAATAAACGCTCTAAAATTGGTAACATGAAAGCGACTGTTTTACCAGTTCCTGTTGCAGAACATGCACACAGATCACGCCCTGCAAGTGCAAGGGGTATGCATGTACTTTGTATTCGAGTAGGTTCAGCAAAACCGCATGCTGTTATGGCCTAAAAAAGAGGATAAGTAAATTCCCAAATGATGAAAAATTTCGAAAACCAAATATTATAACTTAAATGTGATAAATTTATATTTTAGAAGATGTAGTTGAAGAAAAAAAAAAAAAACGAAGAAAAAACGAAGCAAAAAAACTCTAATTTCAAGAAAAAACGAGGCAAAAAATGAATTGCACTTAATACGAAAGAATGAAGCATTCAATGAGATTCGACAAAACCCATTCAATATGCAAGTTACCTTTAGAAGCGCCCTGGAGAGATTCATTTGATCAAAACCAATAGCTATTTCTGCGTTTAGCGCTTTACTACTTGTGACATCATCAAAAAAACTATCTGTTGCATAACATCGCTTTTTCTTTCGCTGCTTTACACGAACATTATCTGAGAATTCAAGCAACTGATAGATATTTAAATGAGGAATTAACAGTTTTCTTTCTGAATGTTCGTCGATTATTAAACGCATGTTACTAGTAGAACTATTTCTCAGAAAGTGTTTTTAAAAATTTTTAAGCTTGTTTTTTAATACTTCTTGCTTACTTCATTGTTTCCAAAAGAATGTTAAAATGCTGCTAGGAACTTTTCGCAAAACCAAAGATCCAAAAGTACCGGAAATGTTTTCCATTTCCTGCACAAGTTCAGGAATCTTCTCCAGTGATTCGGAGCCAAGAAGTTTTGCGCGTTCTCGTTCAATTTTTTCTTCCAACGTACTGCTGGTTCCTTTTTTCACATACGACTGCAGGCATTTCAATATATCAACTTCTGTAAAAGCACAAAGTACTCAAAAGTTTTAGATTCAAAACTCCAAAGCCACCATATTCTGTAAGACCTGGAACAAAGAAATTATTATCTACATTATTTTTGTTTCTGTGGATATAATAAGAGAATGCATCATCAAAAACAAGTTAAAACAATTCCTTACAAAGCTTATCCAACAAATAATAGGGTTTCAAACCCTTCAAACCATCCGAATAATTTCGTATTTATTTTGATCGTTTTCGAAATATTATTAGAGCTCCTTTCTATTACTTTCATAAAGGAGTCGTTTGTTGGTATGAGGTGATGTTTTTTGCGTACAATTACAAATTGATGGCTTCACGATTAAGTGGGGAATTGGCAACAGTTCGTTCTTATGACCCCTCTGGCCAGGAGGGATGACTTTAGAAGAGAGAGATGATATCACTTAACGAAGAAACTAAGCTAAAATGAAACTTCGAATCAGCCTCAGCAACCTTTGTCTTCTCCACTGACACAATCGAATACGAATCCATCAGTAAAATGTTCGCTTATCCCTTTCTGCCACTTTTTCTTCACTTCTAATCCCTGCAACGAGCATTTCCTTGTTTTCTCAGCAAAAGGAGAATAAAGAAAAATTAAGACTTCACCTACATGAAAAGAAAGTGTTTAAAAGTGAGAGAAAATCTGGTACGGAAATGAGAAAATAATAAAGAATTTTTTACGAAAATAATGCTTCAAGTATAAAGATTTTTTTAAGATGCATTTCTTGTACTATTGGGAAGGTACTGACAGGAAGTCTTCTGATTATTCCTAAGCACTCTGAGAAAGCTCAGCTTTTTTATTGTATGAAAATGAAAAATAAATTGTTCCAAATAACCGATGCTACTGTCAAAGATTAGATCAATGGAACTGTTATCGGAACCGATTTTATAAACTTTTTGGAACATCACGTGGAAATTAAATGAGAGTACTGTACAACAATTCAGCAAAATGAACAATAGCTCAGAAGAGGGTGATATGTTGCAAGGATCTAATGGAAAATGAAAAAAGCACTAGCCTCATCAACTTCATCATCTGTTGATTCTAGCACATCTACAACCTCATCGTCCGCAATAGTTGGAGGATACAACATTGTCTGCAAATTCTTCCTGATATGATAATGATGGTAACTTATTCTGTAGCACTTTATCTACGTAGACAAACATCATCACACTCGGTACTTAAACAACGCTATATGCCAAAATGCAAGACGACACAACACCCCTAACTGAGCAATACAATATCATCTGAACTCCATCCTAACATGCCTAAATTATACGGTTTCTTTATGCACGAAGTCATCCCAACTGATTCACTTAGTCACAACATAAATTTTCCCACGCACAACATTTCTCTGTCGCTTTCATCCGCGAACATGCTCAGATTCCCAACGATAGCGATGCAAGGAAATAAGAATAATGACGTTTCACTAGTAATATTCCACTTTGCTACTTTTTTTCTTGGAGCACTAATAGATACAAATAACAAATTTATGCATTTATCATTATGTTCAGTATAACTTCCATACATACTCTACTAGTGAATAGTCTATATATATATATATATATATATATATATATATATAATCGATTTGTGCAACAGTGATACTTAAATGTATTATATTAGTAACAGCAGAAAAATGACATCATTTACTGTACATAACAGCAATTACATTCAGAAATATTTTAATCAGAAAAACTTCCTCGGATTTTGATTTCTAAATAACAGTGAAATCTGGAATTATCTTTAAATTTCAAATTCTTCAAGTATTGGATAAGATTTGAGCTTGAGGAAAAAATAGCATATATAATTGCTTAAGAAGTTAATTCAGTAAATTCCAGTGATAGTCACTTCATCTTCATCTTCGTTTGTTTCATCACCGTCGTTGACAACCGAAACGACAAATGATTGCATTGCACGACCGAGCTGATCCACGGAAGCGATGAGAGAATTCATGCGATTCGGTCTTGTATCGTACTCAATACCTTCATCTTCTTCAGCCGAAGCCTCACTAGATTCAGGTTCTTCCGGACCACTTTCCTTATTTTCGCTTCCAGCATTTTGTTGCTGAAATTGCATTTGTAAATATAATTTCTCGAAAGTTCTACTGAAAATTACTCGGTACTTTTAATAAAATGAATGAAACATCGGTTTTTCTTGAGATTCACAAAAATTTTACAATAGTTGAACTATCCGTTACCTCATAGGCCTTTTGAAAATGAATGCCATGTCAATCGAATCTTATGATTGACTGAATAACACTGCGATTTGCTGAACCTATTTTGAGAGTAGAGACATCTTAGCTCCTATATATCACAAAAAAAAAAAAAAAAAAAAACTGGGTGACTCACTTGAGCAATAACTGTTCGTAACCTTGCAAGTTGTGTTTCAAGTTGACGATTTTGTTCTTCTAATATCCGGCTTCGTTGTTCCAGCCGTTCCTTATGCTGTCGCAACAGGTACGCCTAAACAGGCGATGGATGGTAGAAAGACTGATGGAAGAAAGCAACGGAATGACAAAAGTGTAGAAGTTAACCTCTCTCAATAGCTGATCGTCGCCAGAACTAGAAAGTGAGGGAACAGATCGTCCAGTTCCCATGTTATCAGTAACACTTCGAGACATTGCTGCATTACTTCCTCGCGTTAGATTCGGCGTTGAGCCCACAGCATTACCAAGCTTCCTCCGTCTTTCAATTTCTTTCTTTAGTTCTCTGAATTTATGTATTCGTCTAATAGCTAGGCTTTAGTGCTTACCATTTTCATTAAAACTAATTAGTTTATTTCAAAAATTCAAGAAATTGAATTCTAAATACCTATTTTCGTGCTGCAACTTGTGCAGTACTTGATCCAACTCCTCCTTGTGCATTTGTTCAACCTGGGACAAAAGCTGTAAAGGTGACTTCAACTCTGTCATGCTCATTCTCATTTCCTCTCCAGTGTCGTTTGAAGCAGGGATCGGTGTACCATTTTCACCTTGCGCCCTCCATAATCTAAAATGACTGGTACTTGTAATCAAAATTTAAACTTTTATGTTTGCTAGAACTGGACAGCTGTTGAATATATCAACTGGAAAAATGATGATATATGTCAATATCGGAAAAGAAAATCGGCTTTTCGAATTTAAGAAACATTTGGGGAAAAAGAAGTTAGAAACATTAATAACTATCATACGGAAAAGCATGAGTAAATTAAGCTACAGTGACCTTCGAGCACAAAGCTGTATTCGATTGTGGACTGGTTCGGTGAATGGATTAGCAGGAGTAACATTACCGGTTTCCAACGGAGGTCCCTCATCTACCGTTTGTACTGGTAGATAACCGATTCGTGTCTTACTCTTTGATCGCAATTTGTTTCTTACTATTAGGCCAAAATCACGCACATCTTCACCTGATGTCGTCTAAAACTATGCTTTGATTTTGAAAAAGTTTTAAATAAAAATAAAAGGCAAAGAGGATAGAATGAGAAAATAAATAATTTTAGAAATTAGCCGGAAAGAACGATATCAAACCTACTGGTAAGCAATATTCCTGTATCGGATGTGATAATTTATGATTTTTAGCAAGTCTTTGACTAAAGAAACAGTTTTGACAAACATCAACATTGAAACATCGTAAACAGCGGTAACGTAATCCAATAATTGGAAACATCTTGCAGACATTACATTTCGCCTATAAATTTTTGAATAAGTGATTTCATGAAATAGTAAGGAAAAAGCAGAAAATGAAGTTCTGAAAATGAAATTATTACTTCATACAGTTGTATAAGTTTTCTTCACTGTAGCATCTGTCAAGAATCTAGACTGGACTATGTATTAGTAATTCATTATAATGTAAGATAGATTATCACAAAACTTAAATTATAAATTATTGTTAAAAAAATGCCTCATGAATGGTCTCTAAAGGAAATAACCTATCTTACATTATAATAAATTACTGATGCAGAAATTTTCATCAAGAAAAATTTTTTTTAATTTTTATCGGCACATTAGGAAGTGAAGTAGGGTACTGGAATTTGCCTTCTTTGATTTAAACTTTACCTGATGTTTAGCAAATTCGGCACTAGCTAGTCGATGCATAACGGGTAACCAAACAATACTTTGTGGTTCCTTTTTTAACCAATTCAAAAATTCATCAACTGAAATCAATCGTGGGTATTTTGCTGTTTCGAAACATGATCGCACCGATGGTTCCACATTCGAGCCACCAAATGCTGCTGCTTCGCCAAAAAATCTTGGAATCTGAAAAAAAAATTAGGTTTTTGAAGAAAGAAAAACTTTTCGCATCATTACTGGTAGGAGTACTTCGGAGAAGTATTTTGGAGTACTTTTTATCCTATACTGCTAGCAATTAGTTGTTGAGATTCAATTCTTTAATTTCGAGTACAATTATTAGTTTAGAGATTCGTCAGTCAAATCTGAACTGTTTTTCAATATAGTTCAGTTAAAACAAAAGTAAAATTTTTGACAAAAATTGGAAACGTCAAAGTTACATGGATGATATCATATAAGAGAAGGGCAAGTTTCTTCTGATCAACACCTTCGTTGTTTGCAATAAGTTGATACAAGTCTGAAATGACTACTTGTGAAGATTTCTAAGACTAAGTTTTATCTCCATCACAAGTTTATTAAATCATCAAAACTGAATAAAACTGCTCGATACAAAAGGATACCAAAAAGAGGGAGTGCCGAGGCACTTGATTAGTCATATTAATATTTAAGTTAACCAGAAGGAGATATTTGAAACTGTAACTGTTTACATCTATATTTATCTTCCAGATTTGAATTGCATAATGTTGCGAGAAGCACACGAAACGAAAATATCCGCATGATACAATCACGTGCCCTGAAAAAATCCGTTGCAGTTTGGAGGTTGCTTCTAAATTAAAAGCAGTGTAGTTAGAGCAGTATTCGAAGTCAGACTTTGTCAATTTTTTGTAATTGGTGATGGATCGGCAGATGCAATTATGCATATCAGTTTCTTAATAATGCTAGTGATGCTATCCGATGCATTTCAAAAGATAATCTACTCAGAAGTAGGAGAAGGAAACAATAGTTTCCATGTACAGCTTACCCGAAGTAGTCTCTTGTAAAGTTGTAAGTATTGCTACTGACAATTAAGGAGTACCTATGGAAAGGAAGTGAAAGTTAACTCTGCTCATCAACCCATCAAGAAGTAAGCATAGTTTATATAAATTTTCTATTACTGACTAATCTAACCTCTATTTGACCAAAACTAACTCTTTTTTACAAAACAAAAATGTTCCACTTCCACTTCAGTATATGAAAGGCTTCCCTAAAAAGAAAATACAATTTGTAAAAGTCTTTGGTAAAGGGTGATTAGGGTTACTGTACAATCGGACCTAATTATTCTACTAATAGATAAGAAGAATGATTTATGCTCCTTGTTATAATGTAAAATGATGCTGGAATGAGAGGAATAGGCATGCATATCTTCTGCATCTAACTGAATTCAATTTCCTTATTTAAAAAATGTTTAGAACTCACGGGTCGTACACATTCAAAACAAAATTGAGCAGTAAATCAACAGCCAGTGGTATGGAGTGTATCAATTTGGGATACTTTTCTTGTGCTGTCTCAAACAAAGGCACCAAACACATTACTGCATCTTTCATCGATAAGCACTGCTCACCTAGCATTGAATTGAGAGCTTGCAGACTCAAGTCTATATCTTCCAGAGTTAGTAAATCCACTAAAATACATCACTTTAAGATATGAAAAAAGTTTTCTGTAAGAAATATAACACATTTTTCAAATTCAACACAGTAAGCATACATTTTCACGAAGCGCAAACATCATTAGTATTGCAGCAATAATTGCAGTCTAGTGAACTTACAACACAGACGCTTCTGGATTGCTCGCAATTTCATCGCTGTTCGATAAGCACTAAATTTGACCTGATTGAAAGTGGTGAGTTCCTCCATAATCTCAACCATTGCTGGATGATCCCACTGAGTCACTTCCGTTTCGTGACTACAATTTACAACGATCATGTGTAGACTCAAATGTAGTGATGACTGTTTTCTATAAAATTTCAGTATGTTTTACCGCAGTAAACACTACGCTTCAAAAAAATTAGCGATTTACTTGATATAATAAGGTAATTGATTAGAAGTAGAAACAGCTCGTTGCCAGGGTGCCTGAACACTGTCTCTTAAGAAATGTTGACTCGATGGACCAAAATCGGTCATAGCTCGTTCCAAAGCCGCGGTACGAATTCGTAAATCTGATTTCAACTTTGTTATCCTAAAAAACAGAACAATTGGGAATGAATGGGGATGAACAAACTTAACAAATAACTCAACATTAATGTGTCCTCAATGTAGAGCCAAGTTCGGGAAAAGATTTAACAATTACTATCAATATTTAGAAACATCTTGACAAGATTATGTATACTTTGACGAAGTAATGAGATATACTCTTTAGCTTTCTATTTTGTTCAGAAATCAAATCTTAAAAACACTATCAGATGACACGTTATCTTCTAAAATTCATTAATTAATAATAGTGAAAAGTGTTCATTAAATTTTCTTACTTAAAGAGATCTTAATAAAGAGAGAAGTTATTCCTGAGATTTTCCTACAGTAAAGTTAAGATCCACTCCTAAATGCAAAAGAAAAGGAGCTTGTCACTAAAAGTATTGACTTTCATTGGACTAGATCGAATCAATTTAAGAGCAATAATTTATAAATTTTAGAGTAAATAAAAAGTGAAAGCAGTTAAAATAATTTTCCATAAAAAATGAATGACCACAGAGGAAACAAATCAATTATTTTCCCCGAATTTCCTTTTCATATTATTCTATTATCCTTTTTTACTTTCTATACAAGATCATAAATTTAAATTTCCTGATGACAACATGAAACTTCTATCTACTTCTCAATATAATATATTGCAAAATGTATAACAAGCTCATTCAATTAATCCCCCCGCAAAGAAAAATACTATCATTGTTGGAGATCACTAAGACACATTCTTTTTACTAAAATTTTCAGAAAAAAGAAATCAATGATTGAAACATATTCCTCCATGAAAAATGTTTTTACATGAATTTTTTTTAAAATTAACATCATACCCGGCAAACCACTGAGAGAAAAAACGATTAAAGCACAATAACATATTTCAGCTCGATTGAAAAAAATTCAGTGACGAAGGCAATTTTTTTAATCTTAACTAAGCTTCAGCAATTTCACTAATTCAGGACAATTCCACTTATTAATTAAAAATGAGAGATTATTGGATGAAAAAATTAAACCGTCAAAAAATCTTTCCTTGTTGAAGAGAAGGAACTTACCATTATTATTTAAAATTGTTACCACATAAAAAGCTAGAGTAATAAAAAAAAGTGCTGCTCAAGTCACACATCAAATGCAAAAGTTAGTACATCATTTTCGGCAAACAGAAGTTTTGCAAAATTATCTCTGATAGTAATCAAATTAATCTACAGTATATATATCTGTAGTAATCAGATTAATCTACAGTATACATATAACCTATAGTATGTGTTTGCTTTTCTTCCAGAAGATTACTTATTATTAATGAAAATACTTGACAAAAGATCTTTTGCTAAGAAATGTTTCTGTAAGCACCAATGACAGCAGTTATTAATGGACTGCGCAAATGTCAATATGGCTATTCCAAGCTTTGCGATGAAAAATACATTAAGCATAAACAGTGATTATTATAGTGATGCATTATATAACTTTTAATTCAAAGTATAAAACAGACCTATCATTGATTGACTTCAATTGCGCACTTGGCTCAGATGACAGTTCGATATCCGATGCTAACAGCTGCCCACTCCAGTCATTTGCATCATCGACATATATTCGTGTTCGAGCTAAATACTCCTTCAATTGTTCACTTTCATCAACTGCTGCTGTTAACTCTTCTAATCTTAATTCTTCTATGGGTCGAAGTTGTTCCATTCGTTCTTCCATATTTGAAAGTGCCAACTGACATTCTGCTATAGCTGATGCTAATTTTTCCATCTTTGCATTTGCATCATGAATGATATATGCCCAGGCATTCAGCTGTTCTCGCAATTCATTCCATTCCTGTACCAAACGGTCACTATCAGATTTAATTTGAATACCGACACGTCTTAGTTCCGCATTCTCATCATCTGAAACGATAAAATGCTTGGCTTAAATAAATATCAGTCATTTCAAAATAAACCATCCGTACAGTTGCTAATATTCTAAGTTAAATAAATATTTGCATTTTTCTATTCAAATATCTATCAGAAGATACATGAGTCACTAAGTGTTTCCACTTTTCTACTTTCAAACTATTCTAAAATTTTAATGATTGCTTATAGAAGGAAAAATTATTTCTGACATATGCTCCTTTATTATTTCGAAGATTGCGGTAAACAGGCACTTTTTACAAGATGTGTTTATGTGAAGTCTGGCGTTACAATATGCCACTGCAAAGTCTTTCAAATTTATTTCATGAACGGACAAAAATACTGGCCATTTTCTTTATCTGGCGACAAAACGCTGGTACTTCTCGTTCGGGGTCGTAGGTCATGCTGCATAAGATAACTATGGGCCAATGTTATACATTCGTCAACATCACGCTGACGAAGCTTCATTTCATGTTCAAGTTTCTAAAAAAAGACTTCTTCCACTTTTCAAAACTAAAATAAAAAACGATTGAAAACGTTTTCGGTGATATGCGAAAATAAAATTTGAAATTAATTCCTACGAAGAATAGATTACACTCTTCAAAATAAATTTACTTACTATTAAAAGCGCATCAAACCAGAGCCTATGAAAGTTATTTAATTAATTCAAAATAACTAGTTCTACTAAAGGCAAAGCATCATATGCCCAATTTCCTGGACATGGAAGAATAATGATTCCTAATTTATGTGTTTTTTTTTGTTTATAAAGTCATGAATGAAAACAGATAAGTGAAATAATACCTGGACGAAACTGGTTTGTTCTTGTACCCGAGCCAGCGAACCACCCACTGGTTGTTCTTCAAGTAATGCTTTACTTTGTGCTTCAGCCCAAAACAAATTTTCAGCCAACTGCGTGAATAATTTTTCCCATTCTTCCTGAGCATTCATTAGACGGGTTCTGGAAGCGAACTATTAGGAAGGAATAAAAGTGGGGGATGGATTTATTGATGTAACTTCTTGTCAGAAGAAAAAAATGCTACTGACTTTCTTCATCTTATTAATATTTTAAAGGTTAAACAACATTCACTCACTTTGTGTCCTATAAATGTGATTATTACAAGCATTCTGGATGAGTTAATACTTTCGAATACTAGGAAGGCAAGTATAAGTACTATATGGGTCAGAAATGAAGATTAATGTCGATAATATATGCAATCAAAATTACTTGCGCACAAAACAAAATTTACGAATAATTTGGGATCAAAACGAATAATAAATAATTTCATCACAGCAAAGTAGCATCAATTTATATATTAACAATGACATTGTTATGGAAAAGAGATTTTGAATTTTGCACATATTACTAAAGCGCTTTTATAAATTTTTTTGGATCATATAAAATAAAATTATGAACGAAAAAAAACCACCTGATAGCATCAGCTAATCCGACCAGATGTCGCCATCTGATATCGATATGACTTAACCGCTCTTTGAGATGTTCACGTTCTTTAAGATCTTCCACTCGACATGTCAGTTGAGCACCCATATCTTCCACTGATCCGATAACATCCTTATGAGCATTCATATCAGCTCGTATACTCTGTAATTTTATTAACTTATTACTGCTTTTCCTGACTGTAGTTAACAAATATTTTCCATTGCATCTCAATATCCCGACATACCGGCACTGACAACTGAAGAGTCTCTTCTCTATAATCTATAACAGAGAAACAACGCAGTTCAAATTAAAAAAAAAAATTCCTTTTTATCATTGCTTAACTTTGCAAATCAATGAAGTTTTAACTTAACTTCTTTACTGCTTTCAAAAAGAATTTCTTCTTGCTTAAAATTCTTCCTATAAATCAAAAAAACTGAAAGAATACTCAGTGTAGTTAATAATTTTTAAAAGTAGTATGAACTTTCACCTTCTCATCTTCGATCCATTTCTTTCTTTTAACAGAATCTTTAAGCATTTGTGTATTTATTGTCATTTCATTGAGCTCTACCAAAGACATCTCAACACTATTCATCCATTCTTCCAGTTGTTCTAGAGAGGAATAGAAATCACTTCTAGCTCGAAGAGCTGCCTCTAGCACCGCCCGACGAATACGAACACTGCAATTAACTTATCATCCATCAATTCATTTCCTTTCATTTTTCAACTACCTGAACTATGGGATAAATTAGCAATCTCCTTACCACTTTGGTCGCCCTTATGTATCCAAATTCAGGAAATTCCAAGAGTCAACTTAGCAAATTAAAAAACCATAAGGAAATTTATAGAAAAAATTTAGTGCTTCCTTTTTGCTTGTTACATTCGTGAACAAAGACTTATGTTTGACTTTCATAAGATAGACAAAAAATTAACTTTCAAATTAAATCCTTTATCCACTAGTTGGATAGTTTCAAACAAAAGCATTTAAATTTCATATGTAGTATAGGTCAAAAGGATGTAATATAAGAGTCTAAACTTGAAAATAGCAAATTCTTACTTATCGTTAAATTTACTCCATAAAGCATTCAGCCTTGAGATTGTGTGAGATAAGTTATGTCCTTCATCAGCGCGGTAATTATCCAGTAAAGCGTTGCTACACTCATTCAGTTCATCCATCTTGAATTTCATTTCTCCCGCTATTTCAGCTATTCCTTGAATCTCGCTAAGCTCTTGCTTGAGTGTTTGTAGGTCAGCTGCATCCACCTTACTGCCATCAGCTACTCTGTAAAAACACTCTTCTTATTTCCAATTATTTATTGCTTTATTAGAAGCAACAAAATTAAGAAAAATGATGAATTCTAAAGTTATCAAAGCAATGGCAAGAGAATAACGTAAAGTCAAATTTCGTGATTGGAAATTTGTCCCCTAATTTCTCACTTTCTTAAACATTTCCGGAAAACAAACCTTTCTTGAACATTAGCAAGCCATGTACTCAAAGATTTTCTTAATTTATCCCAAGCTCGACTTTCTTCCAGCATTTTAGTTAATGTCATTTTTCGCCTCTGACATTCACCCAATATCCTATTACACTCCACAGTCATTACCTCACTCCTTTCCCGTACTACCTTATTTTGACTTTCATCCAAAATTCGGATTAAATCCAGATAGCGCATTTTTAACTGATCAATAAAAGCCTAAAAAGAAAAGCACTTTTTTGAAACACTAGCCAATTGTAGTGATTTCTTTTAATTCATATAATTTTTTTCCAATGAAAATATTAATTTCAGTAAAGTCTTAAATTATATAAGAAGCATGATAAAACAATTAACATTGCTTTACATTAAGCTTCGTACTTATTAAGTAGAATCTTTTAGTTTTTTTCAGGCCAAGAAATATTATCTGAATCCTGTTCTGTTATAAAAATGAACAATCATTCATATTTCGTGTTTATAAATTAGTTTTCTTAAAAAAAAAAAGAACAATAACTATTCAAAAAACAAACCTGCATTTGAATGACTGCATTTCTTATGCTTTCCGAATCGGCCAAATCGACGGTCAAAGATGCGTCACGTTCCGTTTCCGTTAACCAGTGTCCCATATGTACTATGGTGTCCATTAGAAGCCGCTCTTTGGGTGACAGATTTGATGCAATAGATTCAAGCGCCACAGATTCATTTAAAGTTCCATACTCACTTGTGTGAGATTCTTTTTCTTCAGCAATACTCGATAAAGTAGTTCGTACTTCATTGGTCAGTTCCTCTTCGCCAACGGCTTCTGAAATAAATTTGTTTGTTAAATAAATTTCCTTTAGAATTCAGATACGAAGAATAAATACAAACCTTTTCTAAACTCTTTCTTAAATCATTAAAATTAAAAAAGAAACAAAATTTCTTATACAGGCCTTGTTGGTATGCCCGATATTTCATGAATTCAAAACATTATAAAACATTCTGTTTAAATGAGATGAAACCGAAAACTTACCTGAGGTTACTGAGGATGAATCGTGTTCTAAAGTTGGCAAGCAAGCAGTGACAGCCAGTTTTTCCTTATCACTTATCCATTTACGTAAGGTATCTTGTACGACCTGCAAATACTTCCAAAAGGATGTAAAATTTCAATATACAATCTTAGCATATAAAGTTACGCTTAGATCAAAAAACTCTCTAACTTCTTTTAATGTTTCTTTTCACAAGCGAATTCACAACAAAAGTATAAAGCATTCAATTAAAATATGAAACTCTTTTTAAAGTTCGAGTGTCTTTCCACATATTCAGATTGGAAATCCAATTATTTTCGTAGACCGGTCGTTATCAATATATTATAATAAGTTGTGATAAGCCTAGACTACATACGCCTCTGTTTTTTTGGTTGGTAACATCATTACCTCTTTTTTAATTTGATATTATGAGTGATATCTCAAAATTGAGTGAAGGTATTCATTAATTACTTTCCATTATACTGTCAAATTTTCTAAAATATTATCAAAACTAACAATTCCAAACTGTTCATCGATCACTGCTTCACCTAATGAAGAAACATCTTTCCATTGCTTTTCCAGTCTGATAGCAATTTCGTCAGTTTCACGCTCGTGCGAACGGACGTAATCCAAATCAGTACCGGATGGTACGAAAATTGTCGCACTTTCTACTCTAAAACATTTCTTAAAATAAAAATGAATACTTTTTTTCGATTTGTTGATAGAATTTGATTTGTTTTGTCTACCATCTAATTTTGTAGGCTTATGAACTGAAATAAAATATTTCCAAAATGTTTAAGTGATATGTTTTCAACTTTTCCAGCAAAATGAGCTATTTAAGCGAAGAATAAATGGTACATAAGACATTTCTAAATGCAAAAACTAGAAATAAAAGCGAACAAGCAAAAAAAAAAAAAAAATCGATTGACCATGATAACGATTATTCTAGCACTAATCTTTTGATAATGATCTTTTTAAATAGACTTACAACTGAATCGCTTTTTCCGTTCGCTCACAAAAGTTCTGCAATTTTTTCAGATCATCTTGGAAATTTTCCGCAGCATTCACGGCATTGTCAAGTTCTGATTTTCGGTCACGCAGAAGATTTCGAATCTGAAAGCACTACTTTTTTTCTAGTAAAAAACAAGAAAACATGTTTAGATTTAAAAGAAAATGCCCACTGCCTTTCAGCATATTAGCATTGTTGTCTTTACTATGAGAAATTTTTACTTGACAAATTTGAAGGAAAAAATCAAAAATATTTGGAAGAGTTTAAAAAAAGAGCGAACAATTTAGAAACGATTTCAGCATAAAAAGAAGATTTGGACAGATGGGAAATTTGCTGCAGATGAAATTTCACCAACGTTATTAATTATTATGAAGCTTTTTCTATAAAATAATGTTTCTATCATAAAATACCATATGGAAAATAATGTACCGAGCTAAGACGCTTCCCAATTTCTGATACGGCTCGCCGTATTCGATGTTTGCTGCTTGGATCCGTCAATTGCGCACTAATTAGATGATCTTTCAAACGCTCAATGGCTTGCAAATTTGCACGCTTCATTTCGTAGCTGTGTAAGCGTTCCTGTAACTAATTTATAGAGGAAAAGAGAAATATTTTGATTTTTTAGCCGAATGTTTTATTGTTGATATTATCACCAACTTTTTTTAAAATTCTATTTTTCTCTTGGGAATTGCAAATAGCCTAATTAGAAAGCAGACTAAATGCTAACTGACACTCGGTCTTTGCTATTACGATAAGACGTTAATGGGAAATTCTAAAAAGCATAACTTTGAGATAAAGTAACATGTGACAAAAAGAAATTTTACCTCCAATTTCAATACGAGTTCTTTTAAAGCAGGCAAATTCAATGGACTAATAATGATGGCACATTCCGTTTCTGTTTCATCACACCTTCAATCATAGTCGGAAGTAATTTGATAGTTCAAATACTTTTTGGCAATATGAAAAAATTAAAATGAAACTATTTAAAAGAAAAAGAATCGGGTTCAAATCTTTCTGTATTTCTCTCTTTACCAATTAGAAATAACCCATTTATAGCTTATAATTGATAAGTTCTGATCATTTCAAAAAGTCTACTCAATTAACAGAAAAATATTTCAAATATTCGACTAATTACAGTACCCAGTAGAGTAATTGGGTCTTCAACCAAAGCTTGTCAACTTTTCGCAAGTCATGCTTTTCAGTATCCTGGTGTTTTATTTTACTTTGCTTAATGGATGTTCCTGTTTATTTATTACGTTCAGGTATTTTTGAAACTATTCAAAAGAAAAAGAATCGAGTTTAAATCTTTTTATGTTTATTATTTAGGATGGCAGTTATGTTTTTGTTGGGTTTTTGTGCTAGGAGTTATTTTTATGCCTATTTATTTGCATTTTTGTTATTCAATAAGGGTTTCTTTTAGTTTTTTTTTATTCTAGTAGAAACTGCCGTTAAAGCAAATTAAACCAATCAAAAGAAAGAATATCAAATAGTATCATCATAATTAATTGACTTTTAAGAAAATTTGCATATCACTAATTAAATATTCAGAAATCTAAGTTGTTAATTTCATTCAAAACTTTGAAACAGCATTCGACACATTATACCTAAATCATATTTAACTGACTATTTTTAAAATATTCTACTTACACACCAAAACTGGAGTAATTCCACTTCGTTGTTCAGTTCCGATTCATCCGCAAAACGTTCATCCAATCTACGTCTCTTTTCCCGAATGAGATTTTCATACTCTTTCCACTGTTCACCGATTCTTTGTAACCTATCACGAAGTTGACTGGCTTCTTCTTCATTTACATGTGTTAGTATTGGTTCTGCCTAAACATTCATCTGTTTATTTCAAAGTAAAGATACCAAATTTCAAATTATTTAGGACTTTATCTAATTTCTATGAGATATCGCTTTCACTAAATCATTGACAGCTTAGCCAAAAGATGAGTAGTCGAACTTAATTCTGCTTCTCATTGACTTCTTTTCGGCACATTTCAACTGCACCTGTTTGTATCATATGTAGCAGAGGAAAAGTGTTACTTTTCGCTAAATCAAGATTCGTTTCAATCAAAGGCATGAGTATAATACATCTAAAATTATTTACAATGTTTACTGGGTAGAGGTTGCTAAATTGGAATTGGGAGAAGTACCATTTGATTCACGGTACAATTTAAAGTATGCACTGCACTAAATAAAATCGGTAGCATAGATGAAAGAACGATTTGTTGAAAGCTTCTTCATGTCAAATATCATCTTCTAACTGACACTATCACAGTTTTAAATTTCTGTTTACAGTAATTCCTGGCAGTAGACTACTAGGAAAGAGATTATCATAAGAATATGATATTTAAGAAATGAATAACTGATTTCCTTCTTTTCTCTTTTTGCACCTTAATTTTTACTGGAAAAATTGAGAAAGATAACCTTTAGTGAAGTGTGTTGTATTTGTGCTAAGACCCGTTGTAATCGATCCTCTAAAGAAAATGCAAAATGCTCTAGTTCTTCCAACTCCGGTGATTTTTCGCGGTTATCTATTTCAGCTAGTGCTTTACCAATTTCATCTAGTAGTTTCTGGCTGATTCTCATGTTTTCCTCCAGGCTACTTTCGGCTTTAATCAGTTTATTTATTTCACTAAAAAAATTATAGGATTAGACGTGACATCGCTAGAATTTATTCACATAGAAGATGGTCGAAGCATGAATCATTTTACCATTTTCAGTAAATTAAATCCATGCATCAAAAGACATTTCTCTCCCTTTTTTCCAACAACAATACATGCATATTTACTCCTATTTTGATTGGATTTCTGAAATTGTTGAAGTTGGCTAAATTAAACAAAGATATTAACAATCAAAAGAGCTTCAGCAACAAGTAAGCTACTCACACAATTATCCATCCTATTCTTCCAGCAGTCTGTGACCTTTCCGATGCTCACAAAATTAAGTTAGGATCAATGCTTATGATGAAGATGCCGAAAAAGTCGAAACCGAATTCAAGAAATTTTACTTTTAAATTAATGAACATGGGAATACCTAAAATGTCAGAAAAGCATGTATGAAGATTGCTTACTTCGTGCGGCGATCCTTCCAATCTCGAAGTGACTTAAGTCGCTCATGTGCCGCTTCATTTTCTACCAAATCCATTGTCATCTGTGAATCATCAATTGCACGTTCAACCTTTTTGAAACTTTCATTCATTTCCTAAAAACTGGGTAATAAATTGGTTCAAATAGAGTAAAGCTTTACCTGCCTGCCCCTAGGGAAGTTAGGACGAAAGAGTTGAAAAAACTTTAAAATTATCGAATTTTTTACTTTACTAAAACAAAAACAAATTCTGCATTGAAAAACAAGAAGCTAAAGATAAAGATCAAAGGAACGAGAAATGGAAGTTTAATGAAATGAATTGCAAATTATTCCAGATAAGTAAAGACTGGTATGAACAAAGACGAATCAACTTAGACAGTGATTCTGACCGGAAGAATGAAGTTAAAATAAAAATGTATTGATGCTGACATAGAAATTTATGCAAGAAAAAAAAAATGTCTGAATTTCGAATTTCCAGGTTAAATTTATGCCTGGTTATGTAAATCATATAAATTCAAATTATTGCAATTTTACTAATTTTGATTAATTTTTGACCACTCATTCCGATCGACAACTGGTACCAATAAGGAAATTGGAATAAGCGATTTCAGAAATGACTTATTAGTATAAATAAAGTAATTAAATAGGAAATAAATAGTAGCTGAGGCATTCATAACTGCATAACTGCATTGATAAATGAAATGACAACGATACAATAGACTAATTAATTGTTGGAGCTTACTGAAGAATAGCTGTTAGTTTAGTACAAATGCGAACCAACTAGTGTCTTCCCTTCCTACAAACAAAGAAACAAAATTTTCAACATTTCCTTCGAAAAGACACCCTTTCTTCTCTTCTCTCTTCAGCTGAACAAAGAAATCTTTCAAATAGAATTAAAGATTCTCTTTTGGTATAAAAAAAAAAATTCGCTATGAATCACTATGAATCTTTTTGAATATTGCGAGATTTCCAATAAGAAATAAAGTTAAATCAGAATAGTAACTATTAAGAACGAATAGAATGGTCTTTTTTGAATGGATGAAAATTGAATGGTTGCTAAAACAATCTAAAATCCAATCAAAAAAAAAAAATGTCATAAAAGCCAGAACGAAACAAATTTCATAGTTATTTTTTAATTGTAAAGTTTCTTCCTTTTATCAGATGCAATGAATCCATCTTAAAAGTTCTAATCTTAAAGGGACATATCAGAAAAATTTAAACATCTTTTGGCAGATTAATTTTCAACCAATCTTCAAGCACTTATAGTTAAACCGAATAAATATGTTTTATATACAATTATCCAGGTTTAAATCTTTTATAGTGAATCAAACTGAACTAAATATCGCTTCAATGACTTGTTTGATGAAATCCGTTTAAAGAAATATAATTTAAAAATAAGCAAGTGGTATTTAGTAACGACATAATTCCCCGTTATTCTTTCTTCTTATGAAACTATTGAATGATGGATAAAGTGAAATAATTAACCTGAATAGAGGGAAACTCACCTAAGAGAAAGACAGAGAAGAGTAGTGGGTATGATATGTCAATAAGAAGCACTGTTGCCAGCTAACAAAACTGAAGAAAGAGTGGAAAATGAATCATATCACTGCATGATATATGCAAATGCAAAAGGTTAGTGTTCTAATCACACTATTATTAGTTATCCTAGGAAAAGTGGTGCACAACAGGAAGACTAACAAAAACAGGAATTTCAATAACGAATCGTACAGAAAGCAAGAATCCAGCCAAAAATATTGATGAATTGCTTCGAAGGTTATGCTGGGGTCATTCATTCAAACGAGAGCGGAAAAGGATTGCGATGACTATGGTCACACGTATAGCACAATCTGTTATTATGAAAAGAAGTAGGAAATGAATGACTAGAATCAGAATGTTCCTTCATTCACAAACCTCCAGTTTCTGCATCTTCAGATGTAAATCTTTGAAAGGTAATGGATCATCTCGACTTAATTCTTTCTCAATTTCATCCATTTCGATGAACAAAGACATGAGCGATTCAGATGCTTCGATAACGTTAACTTTCATTGCCATTACCAAAGGTTCAGAACTATTTGATTCCGTTTTCTTTAATTCCGCTCTTGATTGGTCATCTTCTGCTTCCTGAGATATCGACGTAGCAAAAATATATTTTTCCAGAATTGGAATTTTTTGGAAAGTTAAAGATAATTTATACGAGCAATTTGAACATAGAAGTTCACTATAAAGATTAGTGCTCTATTTCTTCCATTAAAATTAATGTGTAGCAAAATAAGCGAATACAATCCTACCTGTACTTCAAGGGTAAGTGATTGTCCACCTGTACTAGTAGTTGAAATTATATCCACTTCTTGTTGCTCCGTAAGTGATTGTCCACCTGTACTAGTTATTACTTCTGATGGCTTATCTGTTTGTACTTTTATATTCTGCTTACTTTTCCTGATTGATGCATTTATTTTCTCTTCTATATCATGAATTTTATCATGAACTTTATCCATTATTGTATTTGGTTGATTTCCGGAAGTTCCAGGTAGACAACTGTGCAAATCATCACTTCGTCGTTGCAAGTAATCTAGCTGCGTTTGTTGATCCAGTAAATCACGTTGAGTAGTCTAGAATTTCAAAAAATTATTTGATTTTCAAGTTAGAGAAAGAGATTTGTATTATCAGCAACTGAATGCAACCCCGACTTCCTTAACATTTCATTCTTCTCTGAAGTTTAGCTCTAGCAAGATTCTCGTTTTAGAATCCTCTTTATGCTTTGGTGGACATCAAGAGTTTTCGATTATATGCTGACACCCGAGAATGCTTATCCTTCAAAGCATTGGCGTTGATTAAATCGTTAACGATGGGGGACTCTATCCTTGCAAACTGATAACCGATAATGTCATCTGAGCACAGTCACTATTTTGAAGGTATTCTTTCCTAACTGAAAGTCTCTTCCGTAACGACCTCATGTCGAGACAAATGGAATAAAGCATTATCAAAAAAAAAAAAAAAAAAAAATGAAAATACAATATTCAGTATTCAAAACTTAATAAATGAACAAATATTTTTTGTTGATCTGTTCAAAAGTTTCAAGTTTCAAGAATTTTGACTGAGAATGAAAATCATTCCCACTGGATGGAAGTTTGAATTCATATTCATATAGTATGACTGGCTTGATAGAATAACTCGGAATGTTACTTCTGAGGAAAACTAAAAAACAATTGAAATAGCTCAAAGCTGCTGCAGCACTTTCTTGATTTTTGCCCTCAGTTGAATTTTTTCGCTTCTATTGTAACTTTTTACAGATACGTGTGCTAATTTTTTGGAGATTACAATTTTCAATTTCAAAATTTATGTCTTGAAAAACTAAATGTTAAAAATTTAGCCAAAATGTTCGCTTTCTTCCTCCACCTATTTCTAAATTTACACAAATTAATTGTCTGACATTTGCAACAGCCGATTCCGATAAATCGCGGGATGAAAACTTGTCCAGTATATCCCATATTGCGCTGATGTCTCGTTCTAAAGTTTCCGCTTTAGTTCGTATAGGAAATAAATTTGTTTTGTTTTCCTTCAAGGCTCCTTCTATCTAAATTGGTTAGGACATTAAATGAAACAAAATTCAGAAAAAAAAGCCTTTCTTAAGATATTTATATACGATAGTGCAAATTTTAAAGAATTTTTAATATTATTTTTGATAAGGATTTTCGTGACAACTAAAATAAAACTCAATTTCGAGAGCTTTGAAAAATCTCTTTACTTAAAAATTTTAAATTCGAATTTTCATCAAGAAAAAAGTAGTTACAGCACCTGATTTGCTAAATCAACAACTCCATCCAGACTGCCTAGGGCATCGTGAACATCAAGCTCCATACGACCGCCACTCGCCAAACGACGCCCTTCCTCAACCACTTCCTTCAATCTTTCCGTGTAATCAAGAAGCCACTCGTCAACATCCTAAAGTAACAACTGCGCCATAACGTTTACTGTTTATTTAAGCGAGAAAAAGAAGATTAAAGTGGCATCATTTAATGCAGCACAATATTCATTGCTGACTGAAGTATTTTCAAAGTAAACAGGTCATGTTATGAACATTATTCGGAAGTTTCTTAAGAGTATTTTCCCAAACCTGAACACGTTTCGACCATTCATTTACGGAGGAAACCGGAAAGCGTTCAAAATCCAGATAATCATTAGCAACTTTGTATAAATCATGTAATAAATTGATCTGATCCCGAAAATCTCCTTGGATAGTATCACGACGCAGTTGGGGAGGTGCTGATCCAGTAGGTGAACTGCTTCGCGCTTTTTGACATTTCTTCTCCATCTCATTCCAGCGCTTTTCGATCTGTGAAATAAATCTACTCAGTTTTTGATTTACATTTCATTGATTGAGATATCCGCTCCACGCTGAATATAAAATGCAAAGCAATCATAAATAAAAAAAATATAAACGACCCTTCATTTTATAATCTTCAAATCGATTTAGGTTCACTCTAATGATATTTTGCTTCCAGATATATCCTAAACACTTAAATGTTTTGGCAAAAACTAACTTCCGAAAGGACCACTGAAAATTTTGTTTCTGCTTCCGGATCTGATCTTAATAATCGACGATACCGTCCTATGAAAACATTCTTATCCGATCTGCACCTGTCTAGTGCAGCTAGCAACACCTAGAAGAAAAGTAAATTACAATAGAAAAATAATAGATATAATAAATAAGAAAAAGAAAAATAAATAAAACCTGGTAACTTACAATGTTTTTTTTTCTTTTTTTTTTTTGATTTTTAGATAAAAATAAAGGAGTTTACAAAGTGAAATTTTTAACTGACAACCAAGCTAAGGTGTTAAACGCTCGTTCAGCAAACTTCCTCAAAAAAATTGATCGAAGTGAGAATAGACTGCTGATGGAAATACGGTAAATAAACAAATAAATTAAAAACTCTAACCTCGGTATTTTCAATTTGTTCCATTTCTGCCAAAGATTCTTTCAGTTGACTATGCAAAGTTTCGAACTTTTGTAACAGTGCTGTCTTGTCCTCACTGACACACTGAAAATAACAAGAAACTGTGATATCAGCGTATCGTGAAATCGTGAAGTGCGGTGCAGATTGCGTCTGCTTCATATATGTCCCAAAATACATTGGAAATTTCATCAGTAAACGTTTTGATTAAAAAAATTTGTTGAAAGTTGGAGACATTAATCAAAGGACTAATTATTGTTTAGATAAGCCTGAGACAATGGAAATCAGAAGCAAAATAAATCATAGGTAAAATTTCATAACGATCAACCAAAATTTTTGAATTTATAAATTCTTATTTTCGTTTTATTACAGTTTTTTTTTTTTTTTTTTTTTCTATTATAAAGTGACAATAAATAGTAGTAGAACTTCTAACCCTCGACCTTATATTTTAACTTTATAAATTCAAAAAAATTAATGATGAAATTAATGACACATGAGGAAAGATTGAAAATTTTACTTTAATAGCATCAATCCAGGATCGTAAATCGCCTTGCAAGCGTACAGCTCGACGTTTCCGCTGCTCTATTATGCTTTCATCAACTTTGAATGAGTCCATTGTCAATCGTTGCATGACATTTTCAGCTTTCGACAACAGTAACGTACCTCTACATTTAGAGAATAAATAAGATGACTTGAGCACAAAGATTAGGTAATTCTTTTGTCAAAATTCCTTACTTATTGAGGTCTTCCACTAATTCTTCCAAGGTTGCTCGATCCGCATCTACCGTTTCTATGTTTTCTGACCGAACGAAAGCATTCAGTCTCGATTCTACACTCTCGAATACGGCATCTAATTTTTTCATGTCATTGTTTAGAACGTCCAATGATATTACACAGTTTTCCATACGTTCTGCCATTTCGGTATTCTTTAAAAGTTTCAAATCTAATGAAAAAAATAAATGCATAATTTTTGCTTCTTTTAAATTTTTTTCTCTGAAATTTAAAGAAACGAGAGAATATGCAAAATTAAGGATGATATTTCACCTTTTAATAAGAATTACCGATCGATTAGAATGTTAATATCATGAAATGGCCGTATTGCAGGATATAACAAAATAATAATCGGGGACATATTCGGGACCGAGATACGGGAAGAATACTAATTGTTCAGGCAAAAACGTTTCAGTCCATCATTAAAACAAACCCTTGCACTTAAATTCTTCAGCTTCTCATCCAATTTGCTAATTTTCTTGTCTAAAATTTGCGCAGCAGTTGCAGTTAAAATCTGTTCTTTGGCAAACATTTTTCCGGATTCAGTTAGTTCATCCAAATGTATTCTTGCCTGAACAAAATATATTCAAACAATGTTTGTAGAGATATTTGTCATTTTCTCAGAATCATAACGAAACAAAATTTTATAAATGAAAAAATATGTTATATGGTAATTGCCTTCTTAAAAATCAATTTCTCACTAGTGATTATAAATGATAATAAGCAATCACTTAGTTCCGTTCTTACATAGTTCATTTAGGGAAAAACTAAACCATAGCAAGTCTTCTAGTGATTTCACTGGTGTGATCCAGAGCTTGTTTACAACTCTCCGCTTGCACACCCGTCAATTCGTCAACACTATTTTCCATATCTGATATTTCTCGTGATAATCTTTCTGCTCGTTCTTCTAAACCAATTGGTTGCTTGAACTCAGCAAATCTCGCCATCAAATCTTCGAATTGATTCTATGAAAGAAAAATCATTTTTCAAGAACTTGTGAACAAAATTGTGTAAGTAGAATAAACCTTAGTAAAAAATGATACAATTAGATATAATAAGGCTTAACACGAAGTTATTTTTAAAATACGAACGATTTATTTTGTCATATTTGGAAGAAATGAATAACTGCAATTTCGTAAAAGTTACTGACAATCCAACGCTGAACTGACAGTACAAATGATAGTAAAGAATAAATACTAAAATTAGATTTGAACATACAATAATCTCATGAATTATCCAATGAATAACATAGCATTCCATCGGGCTAATTCGGATCTAATCGGTTTTGATACAAAAAGCATAAGTAAAATGAAATTAGAGAACTTATCAGCAGTGCCGGCTAGAAGAAAGCAAAAGAGAAAGAGGAGTAAACAAGCAGTGATTTGTGGTTGAATAAAAAATAAAACAAGTGTCTTTTGGAATTTTCACTTGTTTTTAATAAATTATCGTAATAGGTCTTATTTATGCCACTTTTTGATCACTCAAATTAAAATAGGGTGCGCTTCATTCCACATTTCAGGTTACTCTTCAGGTTTTTTTCTGCCCTTGTAAGTGCGGAAATAGTCTGAGTTAAAAGAAACAAACTGCAAGAAGTGGAAATATCTAATCCATTATTTAGTGTTAATATGCTTTCACTTGATTTTGTGATAATAGCACTGAAAAGTTACTGGGAAGTAGCAGATAAAGATTAATTGGTAATTAGCAAAGTGCTAAAACGTATGACTAAACATATTTCAAACGTGGAAATTGTGTCATGAGGCCAGAATCATTTTAAAAAAATATTAATTCTAGAACTTACAGTAATATGATCCAGCTGTAATTGCAAACGATTTGGTGTACCCCAGTCACTGGTATTTTTAACAACGAATTCTCGTAAATCACTAATGCAGTATTCGAAATCATTGAATTCCTTTTGGAGTTGCTGAAATTTGGGAAGGATAAAAATGTTTGCATAAAATGAATTGCACTTTTTTTAAATAAGAGAAAAAATCATTGGCCAGAATGAATAATTTTGTTGAACTTTTCTTTCCTCATTCCTCAAAGTCCATCCCTTGACAATAGCGCATTTCTCCTTCCTTTTAACAATATGCATGCAAATAAATTCGCGATATTTTTTAATTTTAGAATTAGGACGAACACAAATATGCAATAAAGCAAAAAGAAAAATGACCCAACAGACCGTTGAAAAAAGCGAGAAAGAATGAAATTCCTAAAGAGAAGTGCTTTTGAACTCACCGCAATAAGCGTTCCGTCGGAAAAAGCATTCTGAAATGAGAACTTTTAACTAGTGCTGAAAGGTTGATGATAGTGTGGCAGAAAAATTGGAATAAAATTCTTACAACGATAAAAGAAACAAATAGAAGCAAAGATCATCATAAAAAGTGACAGTAGCAAAGCAATCAGGAATTTTTCAAGCATTTTTGAATTTTTTTCTTTAAATTTTAATATCATGCCACTGTTTGGCGCTTCATTTTGTTTAGCATTTATACTAGTTGTAATGGAATAGTTCGGGCTATCGATAACATCACATAAAACGATTTGATTATTGAAACTGTGTCAGCTAAGATGAGGCCAAGTATGGATGATTACACTAATCATCGAGGACTGCTGATGAAATGATTTCAAAAATTTGAAGAAATTAAAGAAATATTTTTTAATCTCGAAATCTAAAATATTAATCTGATGCAATATATAAGTGACATCAACATTATTTCGCGCATTGTGATCAAAAAAGTGAAAGTTAAAACGACAAGACAAGGAAACATTATATTAAGCATAAGCTTAAGTTTTTAAAGCACAACTAAAATGCGATAGATGATAACTGTTGAAAATAAACTGCAAACGAAGAATCAATCGATTCTGTCAACCATTTGAAGTCAGTTTCAGAATAAGTACATTCTCCCCGCCCGCTATATCATGCTCACTATATCCATAGAAATATTCAGTGCTATGCCATAGCTTCTTAATCATCCTCAGTTCATCTACTTATTCTCATCTCAAATCGTTAATAGTCTAAACATCATTTTCAGTTATTTGTATGCTATTTGGCGCGCAATTCATCATATTCTTTAGTATTTAAAAAAAAAAAATCATATTTAAGTTTTATGGTTAGTTCAAATCCACGTATAAAAATTTATTTCAATCAACAGTTAGTAATTGTTGATTACTTATTTGAAGTTAATTTTAAAGCGTCACGTAATACATTCAAAATAAATGATAAAATTTTTGGTATTTCTATAACAAATACGTAAACAGATCCGTGTATTACGTAAAGCATTTCGTATAAATTGCGACGAAAAGAATGAGTGTGACTAGCCTCTCATACCTTCACCAGCAGTAATCAGCCAAGCAGCTAAATTAATATTTACCTTGTATTCATGAGGTACGTCCAATGCAGAAATGTCATTTGCAACTCGGCATGATAAGATCAGCTGCACATGATTACACCAGGCTTGGCATTCGGTTAAGGAACTGTCAAACTGTTCACAGTTATGAATAGCTGCCTCAAGTTGTTCGATACGTTCCTTTGCCTGCACCAATACTTCATGACGCTGTTCACGTACATGATTAAGCTACAAACAGACTTTCATCAGTTTGAATAAACTCTACAACTTTATAATATTTCATTTTAATAGCTATGAGAATCAATCCTTTCTCTTCATATCTTTTTGCATCTGATCGTTAGCTAAATTTAAGTAAGATTTGTCTCTTCAATTTGCTCCTCCTTTCAGTTTTTTAAAAATGAATTAGAAGAAACTAACATCTTTCGCCATTCGTTCATTTATTCCAGATAAATTCTCTAATTCTTTGTCGGCCGTTTCCATTGTTTCACATAAATGTTCCAAATTCTAAAATGAGAAAATAAAAGAATCTCATAACAAAGAACATTTTTCTTCATTACAGTAAAATTGGTAATAATGACATATAAATATTCGCTGAATTCTTCTGCATCTGTTGCATCACGACTTGCATGGATGGCACGTCGAAGCTCATCCATATTTCGTTGAAATTCTCGTACCGCACCTATAAATAAAAGAATTTAATTTATAGTTATAATTAAAATTAATTAATCAGAAAAATCATTCAATTATCCCTCCCGAAATGTAAACTTCTTCAGGAAAAAGTTTTAATTCAAATCTGACGTTGGTTATTCGTTTATTAGTATTAGCGCTTTATTTAGAAATGTGATTCCACGAAGCACACTTCGTGAATTAAAGATGAAGCACGTGAGACATACACTTGTAAGTAATTGTTGACACTGTTTAAAACCAAACAAATCGAGAATGTAATCGAAAGACTAGATTGAAACAAACTATTTATTGCCCCAAAAATTATGGATTGTTAATGTAAGATACGGTGATAATTACTAGCGAGAGCAAAACCGCACCTCTGGCTATTCATATCTTGTTTTCTAATTTTTTTTTCTATCACAGTGATTTCATTTTATACCGCTAAATGATTTGTTAACAAGGTAGAAGTCATTATAACTCAAATATCTAACTCAGGCATTCTTTCAAATTGTTCCAACTTTATTTTGGACAGACAAATTTGGAGCATACTTTGCTGAAAACGCTTATTTTCCTTTTCCAATAATGCTATATTTTCATCGATATCATCTTCTAAGGTACTCCAACCAGCAACAGTTAGCTGCATCCGATTTTTCAACTTTTGGAAGATTCGATCACGACTGGTCGATGAGCTACTCAATGTTATCAACATTATTTCTTCATTTAGAATTACCGATTCCTTCTGAATTGCCAAGCCTTTTTGAATATCTTTTTGTAGTTCCTAAAAAATATATTGTGCAAAAACCAGAAATTTTTGAAATAATCGATACTGGAAAATAAAAAAAGACACAAGACAAAATGACCCATCGTCATTCAGTTTTGACCTATCATTAGCAAAATGACCCATCATTACTCAATTTTAGTCTTAACAATTTCAATAAATATAACTTCTGAAGAACCAGAATGCAGTTTTTATTTAATAATTAATCGCTACTACACAAAATAAATTTTTTAATTTTCTTAGATAAGGTAAGAGTGAATATTGGAAAATTTTAATTCTATTTATTTAAATGAGGAACATGAGCACCTTTTATTTATTACAGTAATTGATTAAAGACTAACTTGTTTTATACTCACTCACTACTTCTATCATTTATGTCTTTAGAAATTGAAGGCATAAGCGACAAACCATGAACTGTTTATACAGCTCAGGTACTTCTAGTTTTGCACTTTTTAAAGCTGCAAAACGATCCGTCAACAAAGAAAGCATATTTTCAGATGCCGATGTCTTTTCATCATTTCGCTGACTCCTTGCTAAGTAATCCGCCAGGCTATCACGTTTTGCCTTTCCTAATTTCTCCAGCTGCTCCACTTTTGGATCCTTTAGCTTTAAATGTTTCAAGTCTTTCAGTAAATCCTAAACAAATCAACTTTGTCACTTTTAAATATTTTATATTGAAAATTTAACAATTATATTCGGTTGATCTTTGGATTAGATTAAGAAAAAACAATTACTATTATTTGGATCAGTTTAAAATTAAAAATAACTCTTAAAATAGAAAAGAGAAAAATGAGGTGACTAAAAACAATTTCAAACAGTACTCACGTCACAACGTTCAAGTTCAATGCTTAGCGTATTGATGTCGCCAGCACATGGAAAAGTAGAACGTAAGTAATTTTCGAAACGTTCAATAATTGGATCTTTTTCTATCAATTTATCTACCGATTGTTTCAATTCCACCAGATGTTTCTTCAAGTCTCCAATCTCAAATAGAAAGAATGCACTGCCTTCTTAATGGATATTGTAATAATCCTTAAAAATAAACGCTATAAGTTTAATTAAAAACAATCGTATATCCATTCAAAATTTTATTCTTTAAAGAATAGTCTCAACAAACTTTTCGATTTTTTTAAGAATTAAAAATAAGCAGGCTTTTTGAGACACCTGCATATTAAAACTTCAAAAAGTATAAACATTGGAAGGTAATCACCTAAAAAAAAAAAAAACAAAAACGTCACTTTTAAAGGTGAATTAATAGTGAATCAAATAAGATGATTTGAGAGTTGCCATAAGAAGGCTTTCTGAGTGCCTCAGAATTAAAACAGGTATATGCAACCGTTATTCAATAAAACTTAATTCGTGCTGCAGCTCTTCTCATAGACCCAAATGAACTTTGTTTTTTTTTTCGGTAAAATTGAAAAAGTTTTCATTATACGTCCAATTCTCATTAGTTTGATAAAACAGACTGGAAAGAAATAGGAAAAATTAAAAAACTACTCACTTGTTCTTTGTTAGGATAGTTAACTTCTAGAAATCTAATATGTTTATCTTGTTCTTGCAATTGCTTCTGTAATTTAATTACACGTTCTTCCCGTTCACTTAGTGGTATTTGAGCGCAATTCGAAACTACATTCTTGGATTTTTCAAAAAATTCATTTAATTGACTTGCTATTCGTTCCAATTCTTCATCGTTTTCAGCTGGAGAAAAAGAAAAATGAAAAAAAAAAAAAAAAATCAATTTTATTTCAAAAGTTTCAATCTGCCAACTTGTAGGAAAGTGACTTCTTCGAGTTTAAGATTTCTTTCTTCTGACTTCAGATTGCTTTATATTTATCTATATCTACACACTACTTTCCTCTATTTGGAACACATCAGACTAGCTGCTCTTCAATAAATGCCTTGTTGATTCAATAATCTGATAGACTGCTACGAATGAAGAAGTCAGAATTATGTAAAGCATCACGAATAATGTTCACTACCTCCAATCAAGGTACCATGCGCTGACAAGGAATTCAGTGCATCAGATATTCTGGTAACAATATCAGACCATATCTGAGTAAAGTTCTGGAATGAATCATTTGCAAGTTGTAGTTGAGGAGTAGAAATATCGAGATTGTGAATTCGATCCAATTCTGCATGCAGTCCACTTACTTCTACTTCCTTTTCTTTAATTTCCTTCAGCTTGTCCTATAAAAAAAGCTTGCTATGCATTTAAGACTTTATTTACAAATGATGTCACATTTACTGCAGATTGTAGGAGAAGTTATTTTCATCTTAAGATTCTTTATTTAAAATGAGAAATTGTGGTCATAAACGCAGCATAAGTTTATTTTTTGCTACATACAAGTTTTCAAAAAGCTGAGATACTTGTACGATATTTTGGAATTCATCCGGATTTCGAGTAATTTTAAATTGATGTGTCCATTCACGTAATGGTTGCAATTCATCAGTAACACGGCTCACATTCGCAATGAAAACATCTACTGGTGAAATTACTGTGCTAACAGAAAGAGTTGATGAGGAAGAAATCATCGGATCAGTTGTTTCATGTGAAGTAAACTGAATTGTAGACTGAAAAAAGGATATTTCAAGGAAAGGATGCAATCAATAACCTAATCTACACTTGGCTCAATTATCGCGTTCATTCAACACCCATTTTATTAAACTTAAAACTTGTCGCGATGATCTGATAGATGTAACTTTTCTCATAACATTGATAGTTAATAATCAGTTTCACATTTCTCATTTCATTCCATAGCAGCTCAGTCTGCACCGATTTAACTTACCAAAGGCTCACTTTCCAACTGACTGTCCACTTCCAAACAGTGATGTTCACTCGTCTTCTTGGTGATATAATCTTCTTCACTACTATCAGGTCGAAGTTGTCGTGCTTCTGCTTTTCCACTCCTTACTAACTAAATGAAATGGTACTTCTCAAACATAAATTTTTCTTTTCTAATGGATTTTCACATTTCTGAGAAATTAAAATTGAAAATTTTTTTGGGAAATGATTCGAGAATTTTCTGGAAAAATCGGAAATTTTCAGGAGAAATACATTACTTCTAATTTAAATACTTGAAAATGGCATAGTTTTAGCAATAATAATAATAACTTAAGGATTAGAATTTAAATTTAACTAAAGTAAATTTGGGTTTTCTACCTTTCTTGGAAAAGTTGAGAAGAAACGAACCATACGGGAATGGTCATCAATTCGAGCAACAATGTTATCCCAACGTTGGGTAACTGTTTCAATTTGTCGCCGAATTTGATTGGTATCTGTTCCATTAGTACTGTCAAGTTTATCGATTAATTCAACGGCAAGTTGTGAAAGGTGAACAAAATCAGGATGACCCTGCTGTAGAGCAGATTCGAATTTCTGTATTAGATACACCTGATCAACTATTTCATTTTCCTCCTTCAATTCATCCACAGCCCGTAAACTTCCCATATCCTATAGCATATGTTATGACCATGAAAAGCAATGAATAATGCGAATTATTTAATAAGAAATCAATTTCGGTTATGCTAAAAATGCTAACGTATAAAGCATGATTAACAGGATTGACTAAAACTGGAATGAGAATCAGAAAGATGAAGATGATGTAGAAACTAGACTTTGGAGGTGGGATATTTCAGAATAATCAATAAAACGATATTTGTAACAAATTATTAGTTTAGGATTACCATATATTCAATTATGGAGATGCCAACTGTGCCTCTGAGTTATCAAAACGATAATTTTTGATTGGTCAAGAATGAAGAAAAATGCTAACATATATATTTTTGTAACATTCCGAATCTCTAAATTAGTTTTAAACACAATGAACATTTTAAGAGAAAACAATTGAATACTCTAATTTTATTCTTAAATGAAGAGAAACAAGATGTTTACAAAGTTTAAATGAATGAATATCTTTTTCTTGGAAGTATCCATCTGTGTAACTGCATGGATTTCTAGATATTTTTTTCATGCTCAGATTATTCACAGCTGATCTTATCAAATGGACCTTAAGTATGCGATATTTTCCAAATAACAGAACCTTAGCGCATTTTCTCTTCATCTCAACTTATTTCTTGGTGGTAATAAGTGCATTTTCTAAGAGGATGTCTTATGTAAATTAAATGGTAGAGACAGCTATTTACGTAATGTTTATGTAACGAAGAATGGATAAGATATAAATGAAACTGCTGGAAAATAGTGTAACTGTTGTTAGTGGAAATTAAATGTATATTGTGGGATATTATAATAAGAAATGAAAATGCAAATTATGAATAAAACAGACGGAAAGACTTTGAAAAAAAGTAAAGGAAATTAAAAAGAAAATAGTTGGAAATTTCAAGGGGAATATTCAGAAATTGTAAAATGATGATTTATTCTTTTTATCAATGCTCTGATTCGGTAGTAATTTTACAAAAGCAGTAATTCCACCAATCCTGGTTAACATTCTTGTATGTTCTCATTTTCGGGTTCATATTATTTAACGGTTTGTTTGAGTAAGAGATAGATAAACGTAAACCAAAATGTTTATGTACGCATTAACCAACTATCATGACAAAATAAAACTTAATTTGCAAAAACCAGATACTTTCAGTTGTTTGCTTTATTATTGCTCAGTCCTTAAAATGTCACCGATAGAACACACAAGGTGTAATACCTGCGAAATAACACGTAGTTTAGGAGAGCCGATGAACTTTAAATGTTTAAAAAGAAGAATGAAACATTAAATGAAAAAGATATGCAAAGATGCAACAAGTCATTAAACACATCAATCATTGAAATATGTTTTTTGAAACTATTTAACTTCCATTCTTCCTCCAAATTAATTTCATTTATTTAATGTCAATTGAATAGTGAACGATGACTTGTTGAGATAAAAATAAAAAATGAAAGAAACGTTTTTTCTGGATGTTAATGGCAGAAGATTCTAGCACGGACGCGGAAAGACTGAAGAGTTGATAAGTTTATAATGAAATGAAAAATATCTTTAAATTATCAGAATTGAAATTCTTCCATCCCTCATTTTACTTTACCAACAATTTCATTAGGATATCATGCTTGCCTCCTTGACCTCTTATTCGAAAAAATTTGCTAATGTTGGCTTTGTTAGAAAACGTAGAAAAATAGAATTCGTTCAAGCTTACTTCTTCCCAATTATTAAGCCATTCTAAAATCTTTCCATAAGCCGAGTTGTATTGAGCGATCAGTTCCGATAAACCATTTAATTGTTGCGCGCGCATTTCAGCCCACTCACAGACACTCATCCACCTACAAAATTTATTTGAGAAAGTGAAAATTTGCTAAACATAATGTCCCAAATCTGCAAAGACGCAAAAATTCATTAGGATATCATGCTTGCTCTTATAATTTAAGAAAAGAATTTCAAAAATTTCAACTGTGAAGACTTCTTCCCAAAAAAACATTTCTAACTTTAATAATTTCTTGTCCCATTACTTCAATTCCTAAAACTTCAAGAAATGGAAAGTTCATTTATCGAAATGGATATTTGAAATACTAAGAAAGCTTCACTGGACGAATTAAAAACGAAAAAAGCAATCTGAAGAAAGATAAGAGAAAAATAACCTTTGTCCAACGGACTGCAACAATTTTTCCAAATTTTCGTATGAGAAATGACAGTCTGATTCGTCTATCACAGCTACAAATGTTGATAAGCCTCGTACGATCTGTAATTATTTTTTATTTCAAACAATTAATTTAAAAAAAGAAAAAATGGGACAATATAGTAACCTATCTTTCACATCTCTTGTTTCGAGTAAGTTAATTTATCTGGAATTCTCGATATTGAACAATTAATTTAGTGAATTTGGGGAAAACTATGAAAAAAAAAAGAAGCTTATAACAGGCATACTAGGTTGCATTGATGGCTTTTCCTGATTTTTTCAGAAAATATTCTTTGGTAAAATTATACAGTTTTAGGATACATTTACAGTTATAATAAAATTCCGGTAAATGAAAGAGTTTAACTACGAGCAAAGTAGAGAAAGACTATCTCATATTTGTATTTGAAGATAATGAAAGAAAATAATCAGAAAAATTTAAATCCTCCAAGATAGTTTGAGAAAAAATTTAGACTAAAATCAGAATTCAATATCAAATGAAAAATTAAATTACTAAACAAAGAAGGAAATCAAAAATTTCGAATTGAAGACATTTGTTGAAGAGAAATTTCAATCATAGAAATATGAGGGTAATAAATGGTATGATAAATATTGTTATTTAACAGTGGCTGAGAAGCTCCGATTTAATTTCTCATTTTTTCCTTTTAATTTTTCCAGCAATAATTAAATGAAAATAAAAATTCCAAAATAAATGGAAATTTCTCTAAATCAAACAGAGCAACGGAAAATAATTCAACCAAACTAAGTTGTTCATAAGAAAAAAATCACTCAAAAGTGTTTCTTGTTATCGATTTTTTTTTCTCTTGATGAAAAGAGCATACACTAATAGGCCAAGATATATGAGTTAGGATTTTCTAGGCTATCATTACTAGCAAGCTATAAAGTTCATCAATAGTGCGAAATGTTAAGTTTAAAACATTTTAAAAAGTCGCTAATTGATTGCATTCAATATTTTTTCAAAAGTAAATTAAGTGCAGCAGAAGAATTACACTTATTAGGATTGAAGTGTTACTAAAACACTATTTCCCGATATTTAAGGGAGAGAACAGTAGACAAAACACTGCCACACAGTTACATTTCAGTCAAAATCTCAGAAAACTATATGATTCGTTTTTCACTCAAAAATCTGATTTGTCGAAGAATGCTCAATCAGCTCAATCAAAACACAAAATGAATTTTCCTTTTGTACAGAATTTCATTTCAAATCTGACACTGCCTGTGCTCAGTTCCATTTCGACTGTTTAAATGTAAGATAGTCAAAATTCTATTTAACAACGTTATATTGGAATACAGGCGCTTGAAATAATTGGAAACTAATCATACAATATTTGAAATAATACTGCTCAGGAAAGAGAGAAAACAAATTATTACTTAGGAAAGAATAAATTATATAAAAAACGATACAATATGTGACATAAAGGAAATTAGGCCTCTAACGTGTATCGCCAAAGAATTTTTTGCAGTGCTACCATAAACAAGTTACTTTGAAAAGAGTTGAAAGGAGCATAGAAGTATGGCAGAACACGTTTCACGTTTTAACCAGTACACATATTTAGACACACATTACAACTACACTCGTTCTGAAATCTCGTCCGCTAACACCATCCAATTAATTACTCTTTCCAAACTTTCCAAATTCAAAAATTTCCCTCTCTTACTCTTTGCATATTGAAAATCATTTCACAAACTATTTACTTCAATGACCTATTCATCGCTTTGTATTAGTTAGCAAGCAATTAATAATATTATTATATGAAATGTGCTAAGTACAAATATTCAACAATTATTTTTCATACATTTTTTGCTTTTAATTTTCTTACTAGCGTTAAGTAATTGGTACGGATACAGGAATGTATATATATATATATATTATTTACACACTTTAAATTATGCATAAAGCATAACAATCAAACAGCAAGCCTTACTTATGCTATGCTTGCATCTCTTGTAACAATTTAAAGAAAGTGCTTGATGCGCTTGAGGTGACAACTGGGACAATCAGTTTAAAATTACTAGAGCTGTTCAACCATTGAGAGAATGACTTACTGTAATTTTTCACTCCTAAAGAGATGAGATTATTGTGCAAGACTGATGCACAATAAAGTTAGTAAATTTAGTTGGAATCATCTAACTAGCCTTTTGTTCATTCTCGATGCGCTCTTGAATTGCTGCATGGGCATTGATTAATTGCTCAATTTCACTTCGATTCATTGTCAGAGGTGGCGCATTTTGGATTTCTTCTTCCATACTATCCAGCCATTTCCTGAAAAACAAACAAGATGGAATATCGGAAATAACCGGAAAATCATCAGATTATTTAGAACCGAATAATAAATTACACTAAGGAAAATTATAGTGCAATCTTATTACAATTTATGCAAAGGGAAAAGTAAGTTAATGAAAAATTAAATGAAATAAATTTTAAAAAATTTTCATTTACATTCCATACTATTTCAATGAATAGATAAAATTTTACTCTCTCACAACAGACTCACATTACTCTCACATTACTTAAAACAATTCCAAATGTTAGATCACTAAGATTGACAAACTTTTCAAGATTGTTTCATCTGGAAAAAACAAAATACAATATATGAACAAAGCATTAGAAGAGAGATTGGTTACGTGATAGTTGCGTCAACTTCGAAATATGGTATGAATTTCCAGAGACATATTTTTAATTCTTTTATTTAAGAGTGAAATTAAAAATCAATTATAAAGTAATGAAAAACTTTTTCAGAAGAAAATTGCATATCAGATATGAAGTACTGTTAAAATATTTGAAAGACAAAAACGAAAAATCAATAATAACCTGATTGATTCGAGCTGCTTGATTTGAGCTGTATTCAAACAATGCTGAAGCTGATTTTGTCGTGACATTGCAACTTCCCTAATCCGCTCCCACTTCGCATTTACCATCAGCAATTGCGATACAATTGCGCCTGCTCCTTCTTCTTCCATTCTTTGCACTAGTTGTTGGCCTCTTAAGATTGGAAATAAATAATTTTCGAGACATGTAATACTTCTAAAAATTCATCTTAATAAGATAAAAGTTGAAATTTTTTCGAAAATGTTAAAGTAGAATAAATAAATGCTTAATACTTATACATGCATTGTTTAACATGTTATGATAGATTAATCAGTGAATAGATAGATTAGACATCATACGATCTTTCAAAACCTCCGTTTAAACTGACTGAAAATTGACTACAAATTTTTGTGATCTTAACATATTTATCACACTTGCGTGCTCAATTATTGAATTATTTTATGAAATTTTCCTTGAAAAAATTTCCAAATTCCAATAATAGCATAGTTATCAACAGCAGACCTATGCAGTACTCGACCAACGCCATCTTGACTTTCGGTTAGTGACTGCATGAACATTTCATGCTCCTTGAATTGGCTCTTTACTAGCTCAACCTATAATGAGATTCTACAGTTCGCGAATTTTTTTTGAAATAATCATCGCTTTCCTATACTTACTTTGCTTTCTCTATTTACAAATCTTAGTGAAAAATGAAGAAATGAATGAAAAGAGATTAATGAAAATAGAGATCGGATCATCAGACACTGTTTCAAATAATGAGATTATGAAATTAAACCAAATTCAATTAAATCCTAAAAACATAAGTCAAAACTTGCATCATCTTTTTCAATAGATTTCATACAGTTAATCTGCTCTTCAGCATCGAGTAACCATGCCAGTACATGTTCCAGGCAATCTTCAAATTCGACAACCGTCTCTTCCATCGCTTTACCTCGTCGTCGGGCCGATTTCTGACTTGATGTGGAAGATTTACGTGATCCAGTATCGATATTCTCAAAAAAATATTTAATTTATTAAGCCCTCTTCTCATTCGTGACTAAACTTTTTAGACACCACTGTCTGGATGTCAAGATGACGACACAACATTCATCATTTTCTTCCAGCAAACAAACTGTAGCATTTTTATTGCTACCGACACTACATTTCTGTCAGTATCCTTAATTTGCATTGTCAAAACTGTTATTAATTAATGGCAGTATGAAAATTTATAGAAGAGAAAATTGGAAGTGCAATACAGCAAAAGAAATGGCTAAAATCTCGAATCGAATTAGGATAACATGCTATGTAACATATTAAATTTTGAGGGAGAAGAATGAAGAGCACAAAAGGGAGTGTATGTGAGAGTTGGAGATAGACTGGAGTTGATAATTCAACAAAAGCTTAGCGCAATTATCTCAAGAGCATTAGAAACTCAAATCATCTTGTTCTGCCTTGCTTTATTCTCTCCGGTGATATTTTATAATAAACAATCAACTTTGAAGCATGTACATGAAATTTCCTAAATCTTGCATTACAGCTGGAATTCATGAATTTTTGAAACTGCAAAAAACTGTAATAGTTTGATGTAAATCCCTTCTTAAATGTCTTGCGCTCAAAATTATCAATTTAAAAGCATACTAAAAACATTGCATAAAACATATTTCAGTTTTTGTTGGCATTACAAACAAAAAATTTATGAAAAGGAATAATTTTTCAATAACAAAGAGTTTGAGTTTAAATTAGTTGAACGTTTCAAATGTTGCTCCAAATATTTCGATTTGTGGCCATAAGTGAATTTCTGTGCATTGTTTCATTCTAATTTGTAATTCAGCTTTAGACAGAAGATTGTTAATTGTAAAAATATAAAATTTTGAATCTTTCAAGTCTTTTTGAGGAAAATCTTGTCGTGACAATTTTTTCCATAAAGATTTATTTCTTAAAGTTTTTCCCGACAAATTGGAATCATAAATTTTTTTAATGATTATTACTACAAAAAAATTTCAGAGTAGCAAGTGAATGAATGAGTGAACTGAAATGACAGCTGATCAAAGATGTCAGATTAGAGTTCTCGAGTAATATTTGCAGAATTATACATGCAAGTTTTTTTTTTTTTTCATTTTTGTTGAGAAAAAATCTTTTTAGTTCGAAATCGAGACTTTCATTTTTTAAATCTAACTTTTTTCAAATGACCACTAAAAGACAATGAATGGTGTATTGGTAGTCGAACTATTAATGTAGGATTGGCTTGTCTGATGAACAAAATTAGATTAGATCTATTCAATTATTGGCTCATCAAGCATCTTGCATAATACCTAACGTTCAGTTGCACTTAAATCTGAGCTTGAAGTATGCAAGGCAGAATGTGAAGACATTTGCATCGATGTCATAGCTCTGCCCGGAATTCTTGGTTTAATGAGTTTTTTACTGAAGTGTGCATAGATTTCAGGATTAGTTAAACTAACTTCGTTGGTTAGTTGTGAGTGCCTTCTGGATGATGGGGCAGAAGAAGATTGTTCGGGACTTCTTCGCACCGGATATTCCGTCTCAGCATGAGCAATCTCTACCGGTTGCATTACTGAATCTATCATGGATTGAAAATTGCTTTTTATATCATCCTTTTGGTTAGTTATCTCAGGGCTTTGTGTGCTTTTAGAAGATTCCGATGATTCTGCAGCTTGTTCAGATGATTGTAGTTCAGGATGAGACTGAGGTTCCGGTTCCGGTGATGGAACTCCAGTTGTGAGTGAGAGATAAAGTACCATGAGATAACATACAACACTTTTCATATCCAAACGTTCGCTGGAAAAATCTGAAAAATAATTGGCTATCTCATAAAATACCACATTACATTCCTCTTCTCCTTTCTTAATTCCATTTCATTCTAAGTACTGTTTAACTTGATATTTGATCATTCGCATAAAATATGAAATAATGGGAAAAAGGAAATAGAAAGAATGAAAAAGCTTTCTACCGAGAGACAGCTAAAATTGAAAGAGTGTTGGAAAGTAGAGGTCAAGGCCAGAACTACTGCTTCCCCATACTTAGTAATTATATAAGAAATAATTCATGAGAAATATTTTGCCTTGTTATTCGAGAAGGCTAGAGGCTATAACTTTAACAGATTGTAAATTTCTTGTAGGTGAAGGAGGAGAAACCTTTCGGATGAAGAAGACGTGGAGTATTGACATAACGTTCGGCTAGGCTCATTGCATGTTCAATGCGATCAACCGCCCGCATGTCACGTATCTGATTCATACTGAATAGTTCTGGGCTAAAAATAAGATTAAGCAAGCTGAAGATTGAATGCGTACATCTTACGAAAGGTCTCCTAGGTGGTTGGAAATCTTTATTCTACTCCATAAGTTACTTCTCCTGTCCCAAGAATAATTCAAATTTGCCTTATATCCTTGAGTTAACAACTATCAATTTCCTTTTTGTCGTTTTTACACATTGACTTAAGTTCCATACTAAACGCGCCTCAAATTCTACCATCAAGAATTCTGACATTACAATGAAATCTTGAACTATTAGAATCCAACCCTCAGTCCTTTTACTGAATGTTTCAACTGGGCTTAGTCCAAATTGCATTATATTTTATGATGAACTGTGTGTAGAAAGATTAACTTATATGATAGTAAAATAGCATTTAAAGCATAGCCATCTCTCCATGATGAGATGAAATCATTAATTTGCACTTCAAAGCGTTGCGCTCGTTCAACACACCAATCTTTCAGTGCCTCAGCCATTTTCTGATCACGAACATCAGCTGGAGCGAATCTGAAATTCGATAAGATTGAGCAATTTAGTTTTTTACAAATCAGTCATTTGAACCAAAAATTTATTTTATATTGAAGCTATCAAAGTTTTAGTAATAGAAGAAAAATCCCAATATTTAAAATTATTTATAAAACTTTGTCAGTACGATGAATAAATTAAGATATAGGATTTTTACTACAACAATAAGTATTTTGTGACAAAAATTAAGAGTGATTTATTTAAGCTAACTCATCATATTAATTAGAGGGGAAGGAATAAAATTCAAATTGTGAAGTTGGAAACAAATTAGTAAAACATAATGTGTTCAGTACTGCTTATCATATCATTCCTTCTTGATAGAAGATAAACTTTAAATCATAAAATCTGCTAAAGTTCAAACTTTTATATAATTCAAGCATTGACCTTTTCCAAAAAACCTGTACAAGCTGCCAAACAGCGGAACATACAGCTCGAGGATTTCCATCAACAAGTTCGTTGACGCTTATCTGGCTGAAACGTTCATCATTATCGACAAGGCGAAACGCATTTGATATATCCTGTACTCGAGAACCCGAGCTTATCTGAATATATATATATGAATGATATCAGGATGCAAACTACCAATTCATCTAGTGTAGCAAGCAATCGATATTAACTCAATGTTAAGTGTCGGACATGTTTATCGAGCACGTCACAAAGTAACCATGGGTTTTCTAAAATTGATCTATCCATTCAATACTGACTTTTTGTCTCTAGCTTTTTTTTTTAGTTTCGAATCAAGAAAGACGGAAATAGATTAAATTTGGAAATTTCTGAATCAAATTGAATTAACTGAATTCACAAATTTCATCAAAAAATTTGTGCTCCGATGCAATCAAATTTTTAAATAAGAGCATTTATAAAACTTACAAATAAATCGCCCGTAATAAGTCGCGTAAAAATAGATAGAAATTTTGTATCAAAAATATCGTTTAGTTCTTTCACTACTCCATCAGCCAATGAATTTGCCCAGCGCATAAATACAGCTTCCTGAATATCGTATCGATCATCTGGAAATCATTTTCTTTAATTAATTCCATGTCCTTTTGTAAAAAAGTTCAAGTAATTCTTGTGTGAAATTTAAAAATGATTTTGGAATTATTCTGACTTAAATTCCATTCAGTGACAATGAAAGATATTAATAACCATAATTCATAGTTCCTAAAAACCCTTCTAACCCAATCAGAAAATGGACCAAAAGAATGAATCATTAGTGCTTTTAGACGACGAGTTATTCCTAAAAAATTTGATATCGATGTCATGATATACTTATCTCAAATTCTAAGCTCATAATCTTTGATTGGGTCATTCGATAAGTTTCATGAGACAAAAATTAATTAATCTTGGAATTTAATCAGGTGAAATAATTAGAATGATTTTTTAAGATGGAAAAAGCTAATTTGTAAGCCGCAAAACATATACGGCATTTTATGTTTGCTTTTCGATTAGGCCAAAATTTAACTTAAATTGATAAGATGAAGTTTATAACAGCGATGCATTAATTTTTAGACTATAGACTACCAAAAATAATCAAGTCTATAATGTCAATAAAATTAAACAATTTTAGTCCACTCAATAAATTTAGAAAATTTTTTTCTTATTAAAACTTATATTCTGTTTCACACAATAAGTCTGAAATTTTTAATGATTGAAATTAATTCTTGAAAAAAAAAGTTGAGTTTCTAGAAAAATAAAACAGCTGTCTGTTGACCCATTAAACATAAGTTTTTTTCTGGCTTAATGAACAAGTCGCATCGTTGCATAATCTATAACTCTCAATTTTTGTTTTCATCAACATTTGTATTGATCTCCCAAATAATAGAAAGTAAAATGATTGCATAAGAGTGTAATAAGACGGAATACTCTCGGAAACTTTAAACAAACTAAGACAGAAGGTCGGTTAAGGCTAGAATGATTCTTTAAGCCGTCGTTTTATAAACATTTGATCGGCAAATGACAATTCTGGTGATTGTAATCAGCACAGAATCGGTAGCTTTTCACTTTACACAGTTGACGGTACTAAATTTAATTAACTCACAGAACTGTAAAAAAGGCACAATGATGGAAAAATGGCTTATCTTGATATCTTAGAATTGCTAAAGAATAACTATTCATTCAGCTCGGTTATTAGTGATTTTGCCAAATGAAAGGGTGAGAAAAGGATTTAATTTTCAAATATCAATATTTTTGCATATATATAACAGCTAATCTTAAACTCTGCAAAATGCCTACTGATAAATATCATTTCATTAGCAGCATCTCAGGTAATTAAATCACTTGAGATGCTGAAGTTTATTTCAAAATTTAATATCTAACTATGTGCGCTATTGAACCTAAAAATATTGCTTTCGCAGAAGGAAGTAGGATCACTTTTGATAAGATCATCTAATCAAATAGATTAACAAGTTTTCAACACATGTACTCTTTCTCATTTAAATAATCGCATTTCATAAATTTATATGATGGAGCAGTGCTTACCACTTCATGATGAAGATAAATTAGCTAAAGTTATTTTACTTGGAAGAAGCATTCTACTATAACAAATTTTTCCATCTAATGCTTCCAAAAAACTAAGGTTCCCATTATTTTCAAGGAAAAAGTAGTGCAATGTGTTGAGTGAACAACGACATTAACAAAATATAATGATTTTTAATTGATGAAATCTTAATTGATTATCAGTTAATCGTTCCTGCGTATCGCTTTAAGATTTTTAATGCGAAGTAAGCTTTAAGTGAAGAAAGATAGAGGATAAGAAATAGACAAATGACAAATGATATGTGATACCTGAAGATATAATTACTTTATAATTAATAGCGATAATCGGTGGATTGTTTAATTAGAGAAAGCTTCGACTAAACGGAAGCAAATTTAACAAACCTTTCTCCAATTTCTTCTCCTTTTTCTCATCCTTTTTGACTTTTGCGGAAGAACTTCCCGAGAAGAGCATTTATATGATAAGTGTGTGTGCGCACAACTAATAACGGCAACCACACAACTGACGGGGAGTGCACACACCTACACGGACAGACAGACTGGGCGATCACGCACTAATTGACCGCAATATTGTTGGTGGGAAGAATCCGATGATGATGATATTGGAGGTCGTGGTGACAGTGACGATGACGATAAAGGTGATGGTAGCGGGATGAGGTGGTGGTGTTGTTGATGACAATGATATGAGATGGTGATGGCGATCGGGTACGGTTGGTTAGTGGTGATAGTAGTGGTGGACGAGTGGAAATACCAGGGAAATTGAGAGGACAATAAGATGAAAGCGAGGAGGGAAGCAAACTGCCACCTTGCCAATCTCCATTTCCTTCCCTACCATCCCTTTATTTCACTCTCCACCTATGCTCTCTTCAATATCTCAGGCTTTGAGTTCGAGATTCTCGTGCTGTCGTTGCTCGGCTTTCCTGTTTCTTTCATATTCTATATTCTGTTTCACAATTACTCTTCTCTACCAGCACTACTCTTTGTTCTATACCCTCTTTAAAGCAAGATCTCGAGACTGTCGAATTCAAGCTTCCCAGTGTTAGTCGACTATACTGCATTCATCTTACCAACTAATGATTGTAATAATCAGCCGCTGGAAGTATATCATCATCTGACCAGTTTGATGCCCAATTTCTAAACTTTCGTTCTTTTGCAATAAAACATTAACTTGCTATTCATTACTTTTCAATTACTCTGAAACATTTCACTAATCACTCATTTATTTTATATCTCAGAGAAAAAAAAAAAGAAAGAACTCATTTTCGAATGTTTTTTACTTTTCAACGATTACTTTTTATTTCACTTCTTCTTGACCGGATTTGTCCTTCAGATTTTCTATTCGTTTCATATTCGGCTTATTCCTACGAACGACAGAATTAATTCTAATTTTCATCCTTCTTCACTACCATCACTGTTTCATGGACTTTTGATAACCATACTGCATTTTAGATTCCTTGCACTGCAAGTAGGAATCAAAACACAATTACAGTTGCATTTTCAATTTTTATAGAAATTATCTTTAAAGACTAAAATACAAAATTGAATACAACACTAAAAGTAATCAGTCGGTGAGATACTCCCAAGCTTACCGATCAATTCGGATTCAAAAAAAATCTCTCATATCAGTCATTCATCTTCCCTACTTTATGGTCTCACTGAATACTGCTTACTTTGGAAGTATCATTTTCCACAGCTATTACAGTCATCAGTATACTAGAACATATGATCTCTTAGCTGAATAGGAGCATTTCTTATCGATGACACATTTAACGGAACTGAAAGATAATCTAAAAATCTGAAATCACATGTTTTATCGTTGCCGCCGAAGTATCATTCCCTTTATCGTGAACATTTACGATAGTGACAGTAACTTACTGCAAAAAGTTTAATAAAATTTTAACTTTATTTCTTGTATAAGGTAACCCACTACCAATTCCTCGAGCTTTTACATCATTTTCAATCCACACATAATTTAATTTTGAAAATAAAATCAAAATATTTCAGAGATACGTAATAAAAGTCAGATTAAATTCTCGAGCACGTTCTTAAAATGCCGTATTTATCCTGGAAGAAAAGATATATGCTTATTAGCGATGGAATAATAAAGCCGATACTGCTCATTAGTAATAAATATGCTTTCAGTGAAGCGCTTTTTGCAAACAGAGCTATACCAGTATGATATATTTTCAATTTCGAATGAAAATGCCCTTTCATTTCAAAATCTCGGCCTTAATATTCATAATTATCAACTCCCATGCAATATGAATCATTAAATTTCATTGAAAATTGAACAGACCTTCAAGATCCTTATATTCGTTATAATATAAAATTCTTTCTTCTGTTTCACCTTTCTCTAAGTCTCTTGTGAGCTAGCTTTAATCTCAAAACTAAACTGATGAAAGAAGTTATTTTTTGGGCAATAATTAGTTGCAACTATCTTATTAAAAAGCTAAACTTATTAAATCCAATAAATGAGATTTGAAATATACAAATGGAACTATGAAATATAAAAATTTTGATCTTTTCGAAGAACCTCTTGTAATTTATTGGATTTTAATCAGCCATAATACATATCATTTGTGTATTATGCGAATTAGATTAATAGCTAACTTGTATTAAATGCTTGATTACATTGAAACTACATCAAAATGAAAGGATTCATTCCACTTCAGTTATCAGTATGATCTCAGGGAATATTAAATTGTAGTTCAATTTTTTATTTTTTGATTCAAATCTGACTTAATTGAAATGGAATTTGAATTCACGCTTTAGCATTTATTTTCTTTTCAAGAGCATAATCGTCACAGTAATGAAGATGGAACTGATCTATTCCTCGGGTGCTATACTTGAAATAGCCTCAAAATTTATTACTTTAATAAAGATAATGCACAAATTTCAGAAAAATAAGCAAAATTTAAGTGAAATGCATTTTTGTTTGGAATCCCTTTACTTATTTTTTTTTCTGTGATTTGTACGTAAAATATATAAAAATCGAGATCAAGAAGAAAGAAATTCCAATTCATGTAAGTTAAGTGTTTGATTTATAAAATTCGAAATCTCACTAACAGCAAAATGAGTACTCAATGTTTTTAAAATAACGACTTTACTTTAAAAATATTGAAATGCATCTTATTCTCACAAGTATGGGCAGTGACAAATAAGCTAATTTGATGCTAACTTCACTCATTCCTTTTTCAACCTTTCATAATAGTAATTGGATAATTTTCACTTTATAACTGGAAGGAAATACATCCTCAATTTTCTAAACTGTATAAGCAAGCAGAGAGAAATGTTTGACCAATACTTGAAAGTTTTTCTTAATTTGTGGGGGAGAAATTCTTAGCAAATTGGGGTAACGATTAAGCATCAGATGAGATGAGAACTGGGTGTTTGTCGTCAACTGGAGTTTGGACTGGTATTGTAATTTGAATTGACAATTTTGATTTCGAAAACTCTGCCGTAAAAATAGATGAAATCAGTAGAGGCAAAACAAGAATGTCCAACTGGTCAATTATGCTTGCTCAGTCAGTCCAGTTTTGAAATGATTTCATGGATTTTTTATCACCATACACTTCCTCCCGAGAAACACATAAATTTTACTATTCATGAGATGTTTTCTTGTTTCAATGAAAAACTGTTTATTTGAAATGAAGTTTTTTTTTTTGCTAATTCATTTCTACCCAAAATGGAAAAATATTTCCATAGTATTATCAGTGGAAGCACAGTTTTATGGAGAACGATTAAGAAGGATTAGTAGGAAACGAAGAAAAACCGAACTATATATTCGAACTTTTCAGTTGTGAAGGATCAGAAAAATTCTAAAAGTACAAAAGAAGTGAAAAGTTTATTTTTCATTGTATAACAAATGCATAGCAAAAACAGTAATCCAAGAAACGCAAAATAATCTTCGCTACCATGATATCATAAATATTCTGCATTGATTTAAGATAGAACGACTCCGACGATTTCCATACAAAATAACCTGCATAATTTGATATATCCGATTACCAGCCTAACCAAGTGACAAAATATTCACAATTCTGCGGTGATATGATATGACCTGGTTTACAATCAGCCTGAATGGGGCAATGAATACAAGGGCAAAGAGATGGAGCACAGCGAGTCATCTTAGCTGTCAGGGCCCGATACATGCCATCTGCACGTCGTTCGATGAAACCATCCAACAGTGCTACTGACAGGATACTCTCAATATCCACAACACTGAGTTGCACACGACAAACACCCTTTTCACGAATGAATTGTGCTACTTCGGTGGAACGAACGAATGCAAACTCTCGAGCAGCTGAAGGGTCATTTTTGTGGTTATCTTCAGATAACTTCCGCTTGCTCTGTAATGCTTTTTCTATTATCTTAAACATCAAGGGGGAAACATTGACAAGTATAAAATTTAATCAACTCGTACTGCACCACACAAAGAGTTGATAAATCCAAAATAAAAATAAGACACGCCTTTTATATTAATGATATTCCGTTGTAACAAGTAATATGTAATTAAGCAACATAACTTTCCGGAAGAACCAGAAGTCTTCGGAAATAATTTTCAAAAACTCAAACTGTTTGAAAGTGTATTCAAAAATTTGAGGTAGGACAAATATCGAACTGACTGCGCTGTAAGCAACCTACTAGGAGTGCTTGTATCAGTTCGAATTTAAGCAGCTATTTCAAAACCTATAACAAAAAATCACCTGCAACATCGCAACACAAATATGTGCCAGAGTTTCGACAAACTGTGAATCCAACTGTTGATCGGAATAAAATGTTCCACCTGTTAAAGACTCATCTGCCACCATATCGTATAACATATAGCATTTTTTTGTTGTACCTACCGCCTGTAAAAAGATGCATCTTTTTTTACTAAAATTAAATTGGTGTTTCATTTACGAATGATGCTTTCACGTTTCTTCTTTCCCTTTTTTGTTTGTTTGCATAGATAGCACATCGAAAATGATGTAAATAAAGTGCATCGTACTGTTCGAAACGATGAAAAACAAGAAAATGATAAAATATTAACTCCCTTCCTTTGAAAGGAGGAAGCTTATTAAAACATCAGTAAAAAAAAAAGACCTACTAAAATGGGTCAAATCTACGAATCGACATGAAATAAGAGATTTCTATTCAAATATATAAAATCAAAAAATAAAAAGAAACTTTTATGGACTTGACAAGTTTGCGTTGTTCCAATACTTTCAGAACTTTACGCATTTGCGTTTGCGACAAACCAGTCCGATCACGAATATCTCGTATCCAAATACCTTTTCTACCCGACTCTTCAATTAGTGAATAAATCTGCAACACAAGTGATTTTAAATTCAAACTGAACAGGACACGAAAAATCGATAAAAGCAATGAGTAACGAGTAACTTCCAATATTTAAATAGTTGTAGGAAAATATGATCAGAAATGTCCCGCAGAATAAAGTGGAGAAGAAAACGAAAGTGCCAAAAGCCATTATAAACTATCTGGTAGTCAATTCGGCATAATTTTAATGTCATCTCATCAATTGCTTAATGACAACAATATGTAAAAAAAAAATGATCAAAAATGAAGAACTGCTTACTAACTGTTCCTCATGCGTAGCATCTGCAATTTGCGTGCCCTTCCTTAAACGTAAGATAAATGCACCAGATGTATGACCAGGTAACATTTCGATTTTACCCGATGATAACAAGACATTGACTGCTTCGCCACGTGCCTTGACATCCATTCCCGTTGTTCGCTTCATCAGATCTTCGTTACTTAAACCATTCTCATTACTTGCTAAAACAGCAAGGACGCTCGCCTGTGATGCAGAAGCTTCTTCTTCTTCTTTAACCATATTGATAAGAATGAGATGATTTGTTACGGATTCAGTACAAAGTGCATTACCTTAAAAATCTGCAGTAGTACGACGTATCAGATTACCACATACAAAAAAAAAAAACCACCCAAAATAAATGAACAATAGAATTTTGGTTTAATTTAGATAATAGTGAAACCTGTATAAAGTTTCAACCGTTTTCACTTCATTATCAACCAATTTATTTTAACAATGACTACCTACAAATGAAAGGCTACCCTGTAGCAAATAACTTTGAAATGCCCTCTAAATGAAATGAGCTCAATCTCTCTTCCAAGGAACAATTTACCAGAGCTCCACTCTGGCCGAGTATAGACGGATTTGATTGTTTTAATGAACATAATAATGGTAAAATATTTAATAACAATTTCCAAACTAATTCGTCATCGAAGAAAAAACAGAACACATAGGAGAATAATACGAATATCATATACGAATTATATAACAAGGATAGGAAGCAAGTAAACAAATCAGGAGCAATCAGCTAGTAAACAGCATCAAACTATAGGCGAATAAGGAAATGAAGAAGAGAAACAACTGTACAAGTTATTTGAGGGAAGACATTACAGTAAGAATAAAAGCTAATGTAAGGAATACTTACGATCAGTTATATACCGCCATTTGATGAAAAATCATGCGGTACTGAAGTTCTTCATAATTCCGCATATTACTGAACTATACCAGGAGGAGTATTATGTTCCGGAAATCGCCGCATTTCGCACATTTTTATCCATAAACTTATCCGAAATTCTCTCTCATACCTCTTTGTAAAGCATCTATAAATTTATTGCAATATCACATCCCTGCTTGTAGATAATTTATTACTAAAATATATCCATGTCTTTCTCTTCAATATTTGCATTTTCCTAACACAAAATATTAATTACCTTCAAAATGATTTTTTTGAAACAAATGATCCCGACTGATAACCATTCAACACACTAAGATCCTCGTTTACCTCACCTCAATTCACGTTTTTGTAAATAAAAAGACTTGTCGTTAAAATACGCAAACTTATTCCGATTTATAATGCTTCTATTTCTTAGTGATGAAATAATTTCTTATATCGCCAATGAAAGATGAAACTCCTTGTTAAGAAAAAGATTACCTGTTTTCTTCTTTTGCTGCGTAGAAATTTTACAAAAAAAATGACACTGTAGACAAGACTCAAAATCATGGTAAAAGTTCAACCTAGACCGAAAGAAAAACCATTCGTACTACTTCTCAAACGTTAGATTTTTTTTTCGCCAGTAATGCAACCACCGCCAGATAACTTAATGAAACAGTACAGATAATAAGACTTGAACTCTCGTAATGCATTGTGATACCTAACGATCCTTTAATCAAACATCTTTTGTTATATGAACTCATTACTTTTATATAAACTTATTGAGTCTATGAATGTACTGATTGATTTAAATCCTAATTCAAGATAAAGTGCATCATTATTAGACTATTGCAGCTCGTAGAAAATAGCTAGCATAAAAAACGATTTTTGCAATATTGAGATAGCAAGAGGAAAAAAGGAAATCAGAGGAAGAGAGCCTTGAGTCTGTTTTCTATCACCACTCATTAGCTTTCTCTTTTCGTTTCCTTCTCGATAAACAAAAGGTAAATGAATAGTTTTAGTTTCGCGTTTTCAACAAAATAAAAAATGGGAACAAACTACTTTGAGAAATTATACTTTCTTTTATCAACCTTTCTTTTCGCTGCACTTAATCCTATAATTTCTAGTTTTTGTTTTGTCCAGCTGTCTGTTTTAAACACAAAAATTGGCTTTATCGATTAAATAATTCCATAAATTTATGTCTTCATCTCTCTAGCCGCCCACTTTGGGTTTACTGTTATACAAATAGGCCTAATATTTGTTTACGCCCGAAAAAACTTGTCAGCTTTTTTCAACACACGAAGGAATTCCCAGTTTGTTCAAAATTTTGATTTCTTTCTGCATGACAATAATTACTGAAAAAAAGAAAACCGGAAACTCATTAGTAAAAAACAATGAATCTTACGATTATTACGGTACGAAATCTTCCTACTAGAGCTGTTAAAAATAATCCATTAGTACTATAAGTAAATCGGTGCTTCCTCTTCCTCTCCTCTCTGCCTTCTCTTTTTCCGTCCCCAACGTTTTTTCTCTAGATTTCGCAGCTTGGCTCAATGTCTACCACGATTAAAATATATATATTTAAAAAATATATACATATGGATACATAGATACACCAGCAAACGGATGAATAAATATTATTTCGTCATAAGAAGCATAACAAAGAGGGCGTAAAAGTACTAACACAGTTTTAGCTCATTGCATAAAATCTTCCCTTCGCTCCTTATTCCTCAGGCTTTTATCTCACTCCAGCTGGACCGGCTTCGGCATCATCATCATCGCCAGCTACGCCGCACTCCTCTCTTGACTCTACCTCCTCATCTTCCACTTCATCAACTGCCTCCCTACTACGTTCTTCCCGGTTATTAACGTCAGTTGCTTCATTAACGAACATCCCGCGTAAAACATTTAGTACCTCTTCAATGCTAGTATTCAAGTGTTGAGCCTGAAAAGGATAAAACTCATCAGCAAATATACATACAGTTATGTACTTCCCATATCAAACACGATTAAATGACCCCTCCCAAGATATCTTCATTTGCAACTAATTAACTTATTATTACAGTTACCACTGTGAGTGAGACAAAGCAACAACATAGTACACTATTAGAACCGCACAAATCCAGCAGCTCCGGCAAATGTTCATTTCGCGACGTGTTGTTGGTAAGATTATTATTTTCTATTCTTTTGGAATTTGACCATCCTTCATCTAAAGATTTCTTATTAACTTTCTTTGCCCAAAAATACAATTCATCTACTGCTTGCCAGAAAGAGCTATCGCGCATTATAACAATGTCTGATAAAAGCTGGTAAGCTTTTAGTTAAAAAAAGCTAATAAAAAAACCCCACTTAATCTGATTACTTTAAACCATATCCATCCATTTTTTTTAGATTTTTTTTTTTCACGCTGCATATTGGCATTACATCATCGATCTTACAAATCGTTACTCTTGTTTCAACAAATTATCAATGTCCGTTAGTGGACTCTTTCGCCCAGTGTCAGTACTATGCAAAAGATTGTTTTCTGTGCTCAACACATATCGCATAGCTGTTAAAATATGAAGAGCTACTATTATAAAATAAATGTAGCGAATTCTATTTTTTTTCCAAACTCTGTTAAGGTACAAGAAATACACGAAGCGTTTTTAAATCGGATATAACATTACAATCGGATATAAATTATTTCCTATCACTCATAATCTCAATATCTTTATGCCGCACTTCCAAATATATTAAAAGATAATGACTCAGATCTCATCTAGACAGGGCCATGTTAAGTTCAGCTTTGTAAAATCGATCAAAGATCAATTTCAACAAAGTTTAATTAAAAAATAAGCTTCCATCTTTTTGTCTCTTTAGAACGTCATTTTAATGTCTGGAAAAATATGACCAGATAATTTTGTATTGAAATAAACAGTAATGCATAATAACACATGTTTGAAACACAAAGCAGTGATGAGGGCAGACTGGTTTTATAAGAAAACAAGAATTTATCTTTCCCTCTCCACATCTCACAAGAGCTATCCCAGCTCCTACAACTGGTATTTTGTGAAAATGTTGAAAGATGGTATGAGTACAAGTCCTTGTTTTTAGGATGCCTATTGATATCAGTTTTATTCAAGGATTTTGATCCAATAAAAGCATATAAGTAAGCAAAAAGTTTCTGATTATTCAAAGCGTGAAAGAAGGTCATGATCTTCTTTATTCCTTTTGCTGTTGCTGATTAAGATGAATAATTAAACTTTCTTAAATTTTGTTGGGGAATTAGTCGTAACTTTAGCTAACCTTAAAAGAGATGGTTTTTTTTTTTCTTAAAAACGGTAATTTCTTTTTTAAACTAAGTAACTTAAATTTTTCATTCTGTTGGTAAAATCGTGAATTGTTTCAGCTGTTTTGTCGTTTTTATAACGTCTTATTTTAAAAATTCAAGTTAGACATTTTTTGTCCAAATGGCTGATTTAACCACGAAATTGATTTTAACAAAGTGAAGAAATATTTGGCAATAAGATCCTAACATCGCTTTCTGCTTACTTTTCTAGATGAAAAAAAAGAGTCAGATGATACGGATGCTGATGCTATAATTTTTAACGATCCACAAGGAGTTACATTATCAAAGTATGTTTTGTTTCTACAGTGTATTCTTATGGCATTTATATTATTCAAATTATTTGTGACACAAAAATTTTATGAATACACTATAATCGTGTAAAGAGCTCCAATATAAAGCCCTGCACACTATAGTCAAATGAGACAGTCCACTAAGAATCCGGAAGTTTTGAAACTAACAGGATACAGCAGACATTTTCTAGAAATAAAATTGAAAGACTATCTTGTTGTTGTCTCAGCTGATCACTAAATTTTAATGAATAGGATGACTTTTTACTTAATGAAATAGTAAAGATCCAGAAGAGGAATTAAAATACGTCAAAATCAAAAATTGATATCCTAAGCTTTACTCCTTCGCTTTTAGATATTTGATTTTCATTTTCCATTTCTCTAAGTGCCTACACCATCCCTGATTGGATTACTTAATCAGCAAATTAGTTAATCTAATAGATCTTAGGGTTATTACTAATGCAACTTCCCAAAGTATCTCAACTAAGTCTACCAACTGAATATTCTAGCAATACAAAGGAAATGTTCTTTTTAAAGTTAGTATCATTAATTGTAAGCAAATTGTTAATAAAACAGACTTCTGCAGGCTAAAAAAAATTTTTTTTTAGATTTGCTCTCGGTGTCTCTGTGATACTCTATCTATGTGCAATGTCATCACTATTATTTCTGTATGAGTTAATCAAGCCAACATTTACCTGATCGTAATTGGGCCACACGGAATGTAGTAGTCCTGAGAAAAAGGAATCAGGCCGCGGTGTACTCGCTATTCTTTCATACATCATTCGACTATTATACGGTGGTGCGGGATCTGATAGAATCCATTCCGCATTTCTTGTTACTTCCCATAAGTATGCATGTCGTTCGATGTTCCGCGGTATTCCAATATAACATGTTTTTCTCCTGCAATAAGTTTCAAAATTTCCAGTCTAATTTTGCTCTTTGGTTGTTTCATTTCTCCCTTATTATCGTCAGTATAGGAAGGAATTATATATCATGCATAACTTCGACTCCACGGGATCCAGAATTCTGATTGCCTTCTTCCTTTTACTCTATTACTGAAACCAATTACTTCAAGTATCATTTTTATATCTGCTCAACTTACAAGTGCCTCCTCTGCTTTAGCCTGCCATTATCTCCATAATATGTAAAAACATTTAATATTGAAACTGACTATTCCCATTAACACTACATAGTCTATTCAAAACTAAGAATAGTGATATTTATTCCTTCCATAAAATCGGAAAACTTTTCCTGGATAATTCAAGCCTAAAGAATTTAGGTTAAAAAAAGGATGATGTTTGAAAGCAACTGAAATTTCCCCATAAAATATTCCTATATATAACATATAGACTACTTTTACTCTGTGCAAAATTCATACAACAATGAAATTTTCCTCCTTTTTAACAAATAAATAAATAAATAAACCTTGAAGTTACGTTCTTAAATTATTGTATTATGAAACTTATAAACAATGTATTTCTGTTCGTTTTAAATGTTCACTATTATTATGGTGCTAGATATGGACAGAACACAGCACATCATGTAAACTAAAATTAGACGATCTAATTTATTGACAATTTAACCAACGCAATGAACGAAACAGCTTGAAAATCGCCATGGTTACTTCACTCAAAAATGAACTGACAAAGCAGTCCAGAAGATTTTTCTACTACTACGAGGAAAACTAAAATACAAAAAACAATATTTCCGAAATACCACTTTTTTCGATTTAGCTGGATGATTCCAATTTAAACAATGATACTAGGAGTCTAAAAATATTACAAAAACTTGCAATCTCTCCCAATCGGCAAGTTCTTCTTTGAAATTATTGAATGATGACATGGTTGCTAATGTGATTCCTTCCAGCCATGAAAGTATCGACGGATCTTTTAACCAAATAGACGATGCTAGCTTCACATATATTGCTGTGAGCAATTTTATTCCTTCACTTTCTCTGAAAAAAACTTTTAAATCCAAGCTGAAATAATTTCTAATAAATTTTCATGGTGCTTTTTATATATGTAGTGAAAAAATGCTAAGAGAAATACGAAGAGCTATTTGTAATATGTATAAGCTCCCTAAAATTTCCGAAGATTTATTATTACTCATGATGATTTTAATGTGGATACACCAAAAAGTAGAAATTAAAATTAAAAAAGGTTGACTATTCGTCAATTACTTCAGTTCAAACAAAGATTCCAACTAGAAATTGCTTCCCAGAAATTCGGAATTAACCTTTCATGAGCTAATGCGCTCATATATTTATTATTTTCTACCGTCAGGTCAGGCTGCACATTCATTGCATCTAAAAGTTTCAGTAGCACTGTTGGAAAATGTCGAATAGCCGAAGCAATCTAAAATTTACAATATAAGTGAAGAATTTTTCTTTGGAAGTTTGACATTGCTGTAAAATATTGTCGAATTAGTTTTCTAACTTCCTCAGTTCTTATATCAGTAATCCTAAAAAGCACAATCATACCATAAAATCAGCAACTTCCTTATCTCCAGCATTTCCACTTTCGCAGAAGAGAAAAAAATAGGCAAGGGAGACGGAATATGCGAAATTTGGAAGTCTATCCAAGTTTTTTGAAGCCTGAAAGTTAATGTGATCTCTAAAAAAATTTCAAAAGTAATAATATTTTTTGTACTAATATTACCTGTAGCCAGGTGCAGATTATATCAGAGCGTTTAATCAAACCTCAAGTGACTGTAAGATATTTCATTTTTCGAGGTAATTCTTCACTGTGCTACATAACACCTACGAAAATCTAATGTAGTACCACAGCGTAATGAATTGCTAAAATGGATCTAATGCCCTGATTTACAGCATTTTTCATCAAATGTGAGTCAGGTCACAGAAATTTAATGAAATCCATTACCTGCAATGTATTGTATAGACGAATTAGATAATTGTACTCCCGTGCTTTCAAAGCAATCGTATCGATGGTAAGCATTATGGCAAGTGGATCCGATACAGGATCCAAGCGATAAATAAGTCTGGCAACATGAAGGGCCGTTTTGAAGCAATGACGGTCTACAAGGTTTCGCAAATGTCGATGGAGCAACAAGTAAAACGCTCGATTTTCGAAATTAACATAGTCAATGCGATGATCAAAGTTGCTCAGTTGAAATCGAGGAGCAAATACGCTTTCACAGCAAAATAGTCCACGTTCTAAATATATATAATATAAAATATTACACATAAAATCTTAGAATTCTATAAGGTGAAAAATCTCTGTCTATAATGCTTGAAGGTTTCTAAACAGTAATAAGTTTAGTGATAAGTGTAAAATTTGGATGAATTATAAAAGATTACGGAAGGACCAATTCTGAGAGTTATGGTTATCGTACATTAATTATGAGATTACGCCACAATGAAGATGAGATACAATAAAGAATCAAAATTAATAAATTATAATTAGTAAAATCAAAAACTATCGTTACTTTTGATAATAATAATTTTTTAAAACTTACCAATTAAATCACGTGAGAACTGATAGTCTTCTTGTTGTCTTAATAATTCGGCCATAATAAGCAGGCTATCTAAGTGGTACGGGCATTGTGTCAAAATATTCTAAATCCATATTGGTTAAAATCATTGTGTGTCTAATTGACACATGCACTTAAGGACATAAGAAAACAATTCGGCTATTAATATCGAAACCTATCGAAATTTCAAGATTGTATGTTCTACTTTGGTTACTGTGTTCATATAAGAAAGTTCAATGTTCAATAACAATACTTTAAATAGCAAATACTGATGTTTTTAGTAATAACAAAAGCAAAAATTTTAAGCAGCAACATTTTTGTTTGATATGCTTCTAAAAGTTTTGGACAATGTAAGTTGAAAGCAGACCGATATAAAATTATGATTCAGTGATTCTGATGCAATCCAAAAATTTTGTTGTAATTCACGGTAATAAGTGTGATGCGAAAACCTGAACCACAATATATTATCTTCGATGCGATCTAATTCCATTGATAAACCTTAACAATAGATGGATAATAAAATTCTGTCCTGAAGTGGGAAAGAGGACACAAATACAAATAAATCTTACATGTGATAACTCAAGTTCTAATACCAGCTTTATGTATTTACGCTATCCATGTATAAAAATAAATCATTAACTATGATCGAAAATCCGCTGCATCCCAGAAAAATTTAGCATAAATGAAAAATTTCTCCACGCATTAATTTTTAAATGCCAGTGAAATATTTTTGACCTTTTCAATCTGCACGCATTATTATGTAATACAATTATTATGAATATGGAAGAAGACATTGAATCTAAAAGAATTTGTATATTAAAACACAACCGAAACACAAAGTTAAGCAGAGAGAAAAAAAAATCATACCCACTGTTAAATTAAAATGTCTTACCAACATTTTTAACTTCTGGCCAAGTTGGTTTTTTTTTCACTATTTTACCAAAAATCACTCGTCCGCGTTGAAGTGCATCTGTGCTTCTTCGACCCAGGATTGAACGTAATTCATTCTCCACGTTCAGCATTCTACTGTCTACCTGGAACAATCACATCCGTTCGTTACATCAATTAATGGGGTTCCATTAATTTTCCAAATTTCATGTCAAATTTAAAATTCCTTTCGCTTACATGAATTACTACTTCTTTTGATTATAAATCCTTCAGTGAATATTTAGCTTACAAGTATAAGCATTTTACAAGCATTACAAGCAGACTTTTACTGGGGAAAAAATTTCATTATAGCATTACCTATTGAACATTTCAGTTATATTATTTTACAAGAAAAGTAGTATGACTAACTCATTAAGGATGCATAAATATAGACCTTAAATAAATCTCTCTCAAAGACCATATCACTGTTTTTGGGAAGTTGAGTTTCCAGCGAAAGAATATCCAACATGTCTAAATCATCTGTTATAGTACAGTGTACTTTTTTTTTTTCCTTTCTTTTCTTCTTTATCATTTTTTTTTCCTTTTTTTCCGGAATGTTCTCTACTGGTACTTCCTCAATTAGCCCAGAACTTTCGTCTCCTCCTTCGCCGGATTCCTCGAGGAATTTATATCTGGAAAATACAAGAATGACAAAAAACAACTAAGCTAGACCTAGACTTTCTGAATCTTCACTCGAGAAAGCGAGGTGCGTATAAAGACATGAAACAGACTATATAAAGTTCGTTCTACTAACGGGAATTAAAAATCATACTTATACAAGGCAAATCAAAAACTCAAAACTTTGCCGCAATTTTGCTTAGAAAAATGCAAAACCGGCCCTTATTCAATGCATTTACCATTTGAATCTTTTCAAATATATGAAATAAAAAAGTAACCTATTGCACACAAATGCTTCCGACTTTCCTTCTTCATTTGCCGATTCGGAGCTCTCCTCCTTTTGTTGGACTAATAAGTTCTCCTCTCCAGTTGCCTTTTTTCCTTGTAAATATCGTCGCAAATGTTTCGTTGACATAATAATACTAATGCCTACAATTGTAACAAAAATTTCCCTGAATACCTGAACGTCCAATTTCTTACAACTACTTGGCGTTCCATTCCGTCTCCGTCATCCCTGCCACTGGTAAAACTGTTAAGAAATCTGAAAGATACCTCTTGAGCACATAGAAATTCTCACCAGTGTTTCTTCTCCGCTCACTGAGATACATCTCCCCTGCAGGCATCCCCCTCACCACACCTCACTGTCATCCTTCTTCAGCAAATCCTGATAAGCACACACAACCCGAACCCACTGAACAGAGTCTGTTGTGCGAAGTTTATCATTTAAAGTTGACTATTACAGCTCTGTTGCAACTTGGTTTTGGGGTTGTCGAGAAGGAGTTATTTCTATTAGAGACCTGAGCGACACATACTTTCTAGGATGGCTTTATAGATTGCCATATTCACTGAGTAAATTGCTTTAGCTTCTAATCCATATAGTAATAAATTCACGGATAATTCCTATTTCGAAATGAACTTTAATTTTATTAATCTTTGTTCACATGAATTTAATTTGCCTCTGAAATGCAGAGTAGATATGTGTTTTGAACTTCTGGAGAGCATTCTAGTCTTCTTATCCTTGAAACTTTTGCAAATAGACTTTGCGTAAGTATTTTACTACTCCAAGTTTTCTGATCAAAATTTTTTTTGTAGGCAAGAAAATGGCTCCAAAGGGGAATAATATGATACCAAATGCACACTTTCATAAGGACTGGCAGCGTCGCGTCCGCACTTGGTTTAACCAACCAGCACGGAAAGAGCGTAGACGACGTAATCGATACAAGAAAGGTCGACTGATTGCACCTCGTCCCGTAGCCGGTTTGTTGAGACCAGCAGTGCGTTGTCCTAGTATTCGATATAACAAAAAGGTGAGACTGGGACGAGGATTTACCTTGGAAGAGCTGAAAGGAGCTGGCGTTGGAAAACGAGAAGCGCGTACTATTGGCATCGCAGTGGATTACAGGCGTACAAACCGGTCGCTGGAATCCTTGCAGGTATTTTTCCGCGGATTTTTCTTGGGGTTATAGTGTTGATTTAGATCAACGTCACATTTTTTATTTTTATGTGACGCATTGTGAAGAATTTGGAATTTATCTTAAACGACACTTAAATAGAGAATCTTGTTGTAACACATAGATAAGTTACGCGTTCCCAGTCAAGATTTCATCATTTTCAGCAAAATGTCAAACGTTTAAAGGAATACCGGTCAAAACTAATATTATTTCCGAAGAAATTAAACGCGCCCAAGAAAGGAGATAGTACAGTGAGTATTTCACATACTCATGTCTTTTTTTTTCTTGCACTAGATATATGTTTGGTAGATTTGGAATTCACAGAGCTGTTTTGCAGGCTGACGAACTCAAGTTAGCTGCGCAATTGCGTGGAGCCCTTTTACCTGTCAGGCAGGTTATTCGTCGTGATAAGGCCCGCAAAATAACTGAGGAAGAGAAGCAATTCAAAGTGTACTGTCATTTACGTCGACTCCGCGCCGACAAACGTCTAAAAGGTGCTCGTGATAAGAAGGCTCGTGAAGTAGCGGAAGAAGGTGTTGGTGGTGGTAGACGATAAATATTTCTGAGGACAACAATTTGGTTGTATTTTGAATTGTTTTTTGATAAAAATTGTTACTTTTTCTGTTATATTTTTGAAAACCTGCATATTCAACTTTCCTTTCTTTTTTTCTGAAGACTTTTAAAAGAACTTTCATTTAAACTTTATATGATGCGGAGAAGCGCACTGCTCAACAGATATCATACGATTATCTTGCGCTTTTATGGAAGGTAAATGGTATGAGTGCATGGTTAATATGTGTACTTTAAAGATGTGAATACTGCAAGTTTCTGATTACTCAATTTATTCCACTCACAGAGTATGATACGCAGTTTTCGAAGTTTTCCATTTTAATGAAATTGCTTGACAGGAGTAGGAATGCCGATCATGACGTAAACAACGTCTCTCGTAAACAATTTTCAAGGCATAGAGTTATAAATACACAGAAATGCTGGCGGCATCATTCACGAAAACGTTTATATGAAAATTCACGAAGACGTGAATTATTGATTAGGTTTCGTTCTTTGTTTTGATTGGAAAAGTTCGGTTTTGACAAAAAGGTCAGGAATACACAGTACATAGCATATGAATAATCACAAGAAATATGTAGCAAACGAAGAGCTACAATATTTTGGCACAAATTTTCTTAGGCAAGAGCAAACATGTGATGGGAAGGAAGGATATAACTAGAAAATCCGGGAATTTACAAAAAATTTGGGAAGTTATTGTTTGCTCATGCTAAGTATAATATGGATCAAATCGAAATTGATGAGACCTGTAGATGTATTTTCTGGTTAGAACTATCGCAATGAATTTTGCTCACTTTACAGCCTTAGCGTTGTGATTCTACCAAAATTGCAATCAAATCGTAAAAGTCTACGTTTTGTTTTAGTGTCTTGTTCTAACAAATTGTACAAAACGTCTTTCCTGAAATGTCCGTATACGAGCAAATTATACACATTAGTTGTTGAGTTGCTAAATGAAATACGTCTTGATATTGCAAATATTAGTGTAAACTCTTCCATGAAGTGTGAGGACAGCCAAATATTACGATCAGTTCCACAAGGCATTTTTTGTGCAACACAAAAAAATAAAGACTGCCTTAATGTTCAGGCTTCTCTAAATTTAACACAGTTTTTGTATGCAATTTCAAAACTACTTCCTCCAGTAGATGTTATCATATGCTGGTGGCTGATAAAAGACCTAGAAATGTTCTCATGAATAGTATGAGATCATTGAATGTTTTTATGGAGTTTATCATAGGTGTCCTTATTCTTATAAGCTGCTACATAACCGGTTTGCTCGACGATATCCTCCCTGCCAAGTTTTCCACGTCCTTTGCCCTCAGCATCGAAACGTTCCTTATGTGAACCGGTATATTTGGTATGGTCCGTTAAGCGATTGTACACACCATCAGCAGATGCTTTAGCGACACCTTTAAGTGATGGAGCTTCTAATTTTGACAGTTTTTCAATGATGAAATCCAGTTCCTCCTGAAATTAAGAAATTTTAAAAGGAAGTCGGAAGAAAGAATGAATCAGGAATACTTGTTATCAAATATTTCGAAACGTCGAAAATGTCAGTGAAATTTTCATTCTTCATTTACAATATAACTGTTTAACTAGAAAACAGAAAATCTAGTTTTTAAATGAGAAGTTTTTTAGAAAATTTTGAAGAATTGAATCTCATTTCCCACTCAATTCATCCAATAATTTCAAATTCACAATTTTTGGATTTGGAAATTAAACTTGGGAATTAGAAAGAGAGCTAAAAGAAGCAATTGGGAAAAAAAAAAAAAAAAAAAACTATGCGGATTTTAATACTTGTGGATCCTTTTTGGTTGTTCGTGCTCGATCTTCCGCAACTGCTACTAATACATCTTTCGTCTCGTTGAAATTTGCTTTTTTTTTAGATCTGAAAACCACGGGACAATTGAAAAAAGAGGACAGAAAATTTGGTTTTTAAAAAGAAAATCTTTTTTTATTTTTAAAATGCATGCACTTGTTTGTGTTCCATGAACTGTTTTGTGTATTTGATGCAAAACAAGGACTAAACCAGATGTTTTTGGTAACTTCAGCCAGCAATTAATTTCTACTTCCTACTCAGACATATTTCTCATATTTCTTCCAATATCTTTAGCTGATTCTTGATTTTACACATATAGATAGATACCTTGCTTTCCTTTGGTGATAAAAGGAGGCGTATTTATACCTGAAGATATTTTCCGCTTACGATGTCGTGGACTTCACTTTTTTGGCATTGAAATTAACTTTAAAAAGTAGAGAAAAAACGAAACTGAAGGGAACATTGTAGTCAAAGTCAGGCATTCGTACGAATTTAAGAATCAACGAAGAAGCTTCACCCAGTAATTTTCGAGAAGGCGATTCCAGTCATTGTTGTAGTGATATTTTTGTTATCAATCACTCCCCCATCTTTCAACCACTTATCGAAATTCTTCCCCGTCATTTCTACCGCTGACGCATTGCCAAATTTTACGAAACCTTCCCACCTGTAATTTAGTCGCTAATGAAATCGCTAATTAATTGTTCTTAACTGGAATGAAGCAACTTTACTATTATTACCTACGAAAAGTATGTAATAATAGTAATCGAATAGTACATAATTTTCTTTATTTGTCAAACACAAATTAGATATAAATATGTGAGGATTCTTTTATAAAAAATCTAAAACTCTTCCATTAAAAAAAAATTTCTATAAATAAAATATTAAACCTTCGATAAAAAAAAAAAGTAATTTTATACTCTCAAAAGCAATAAATAGTTTGATTATCAGCAGGCAAAAATGCGGAAGAACTAAAGAAAATAGTTTCAAAAGGTTAAAAAAGTGGTTGCAAAAATTCTTAATTTGAAGTGTACAATAGACAGCACTGAAAATTAAAATTCTATAGTAAAAATGGCACCATTTTTCAAACTTTTTGCTAGTTCCTTTTTAAGCTACTGGATTCATGCATCAGTCTTATTGCTATGTGCAAAACATAATTGTGAATGAAGTCAATTCTTATAGTAAGGAAAAAAAAGAAAAAAAAAAAACACTTACCGATGTTTTATTTCTTTCCCGTCCCATTTGAATTTGTATTCCTGTTTTTCAGACATACTTTTTTCTGGTGAAAACCCTGGAAAACCCAGATATCTTAGGAAAATTTAAACTACTGCAAAATGAAACGGCGCAACGACATAACTGAAATAAAATTCATAATGCGTGTTTTTGAAAAGTTCAACAAAAAAATAATAATAATAATTGAAATTTGATGGTATAAAATAAGTTGGATTCGTAAAGAACGATAATTGCATCGTCGTAAGAACTGTGACAACTGACAATAAAATGAGAGATGAATTTAGACAAACGAATTATTCAACTCTTATGCCTTTTTTTCTTCTGCCAGTCAGAAATTACAAAGTTCCATTCCAAATTGTAACTTTCTTAATATCCAGTGCATCGTAATGTTTAATGTTTTCCAGAAATCACTTCATCATTTCTACATTTAAGAAGTGGCAGATCATTCTCCACTAAGTTGCTTTTATTTCCTTTATATTATAAACATCTTTTATGCAAATTGTGAAAGCTATAGATTATAATAGCAATCGCAGTTAATGATTTCCGCTTTTTCCAATAAATGGCTCATGTTTCATTTTGTTTCGTTTATCTATACTATTCGAAGGGTAAAGCCTTAAAATATGAGTATGCGGAAGATCTAATATTGCGTCCGAATAATAGAAAAATGACTTTTGACTATTAATGTAAACAGAATAAATATTCGCCTAGGTCAAAAAAAATGCAACATATAAATTTTATTGAAAACAGAAATGAAGTCTGTCCTCGTCACAATACCCATTATGTAAATTTGAATACAGTGTAAGTAAATCAACGAAGTGCAGGCTTTACACGTAAGATACACTAATCAGCAAAATGAAAGCTTTACACGTAAGATACACTAATCAGCAAAGTGAAAGCTTTACACGTAAGATACACTAATCAGCAAAGTGAAAGCTTTACACGTAAGATACACTAATCAGCAAAGTGAAAGCTTTACACGTAAGATACACTAATCAGCAAAGTGAAAGCTTTACACGTAAGATACACTAATCAGCAAAGTGAAAGCTTTACACGTAAGATACACTAATCAGCAAAGTGAAAGCTTTACACGTAAGATACACTAATGAGCGAAGTAAAGGCTCAAATTTACCTTCACGTGAAAAATAATAAGCTCCTACTTCGAAAAAGAGGAGAAAATACTTTTTTAACTTGAAGGAAAAATGAAATTGTACTTTTGTGAATTAATGAGCGAACTTATTATCATCATCACAAATGAAGAAAGTTTCATTGCCTAAGTACAAAGAAATACCACTTCCTACGAATTAAAGTGTAGAAGGAAAAAAAGTTGTGTTGCCTGGAATAAGTGGAAAGCACTGATTGCATTCTTCGTCCTACATTTATATGGAAGCTTGAGAATAAAAATTATCGATTTTTTTGTCAAAATTTCAGAATAACTAATACTATTCATGTATATCTTGCATGCATATATAGAGTTTCAGTTTAAGAAAAGGAACAAAACGCAAAAGTCAGAAAACAAAATAAATAGATTTGAAAAACGGAAAAAAGTCATATATATATATATATATATATATATATGATTTTTCTTTCTTTCATAACAGTATTAATTTCTTCTCTCAGAAAATTCTTCTCTAAACTGACCACATCCTTTTCACTTTCTTCTTCTTTATCTAGTTATTGATATTCTATTACCTTACTGTTCGATGTGATGGGATATGAATCCTCGAGGATATCAAAGAGCTCTCCCAAAGATCAATTCAAAAGAGTTCACGGATCTCTTTTCTAAGAGATGTCGTTTCTAAAATCCATCCGAAAAATGTAATAAAGTAAAAACCTGCAAAGATACTAAACTTTCAGTTCTGAATTATCTGTGGCGCATATCTAGTTATTGATATGCTATATTACCTTACTATTCGATGTGATTTCGACGGCATATATAACCAGATATTCCGGAAATCCAAATGGGATTTTTGTCAAAAGTCTATGATATGATGTATACGGCATCTAACTATGTCGCATTTTCACGGAAAAATATATGTTCACAGCATCAGCTCGCTGAGAGGCAAATTTTCAGCGACCAAATCACAACGTACAACATTTACGTAATTATGGATGTTCCACCTTGAATTTCGAAATGATGTTTTTATAAAAATTTTATCTTATTGCAATGGCAGAGTGACAAAGAATATGACAAAGAATAGATCAATACAGAACGAAGATGACTAATAACTTGGAAGGATATCATATGAGTTTCTTCAGATGTCAAATATCCTAATAATGAATTTATAATGAACTTAAAACCTTCCTAGAAAAGTTTAAACTACCTTTTATAATTGAGACATGAGTTTAAATAGTTACAGAAACGGATAATTATTTAAAGAGTAAGGACATAATCGACGGAGAAAATATGGCATAAAAATGAAGTATTACCTTTACAAATTAAGCATCAGAAACCGCGTGAAGTAGCTTCCGTGATTCAAAATAATTGATTGATCATGAGGGATTCAATTTATATGTATTCCCATCGAGTAACTTGTTGACAGCAAGAAACTGTGGTTCAGAATTACTCATTCAGTTCAGTTATTACTTATTTTTTATTTCTTCAGGCTGAATAAATTTAGAGTACCTTCTAAATTAATAAGACTGCTTTTGCCTCAAATCGTATGAAATGAATACAGGAATAGTCATAGTTAGATTTACAGTTGACGTTTCGAAGTCATTACAGTTATAATTTTCAAACGTTGCAACTGAAACTATGTTGCAAAAAAGCATCCTGTTCCATAGTAGGTTTTAGAGCGATTTATCAGTTACAAATAATTTCACTGCTGTTTGCTACGGTAAAAAGTACTTAATGGAGTAGAAAAAGGAGGTAAAAGGAGGATCGAAGGAAGCACAAACAAAAGCGCCAAGTTATTAACGCTTCCACTTAAATCTTGATGTAGAAGAAACAAATAAAAGAAAAATGAAGGATTAGAAACATCATGTTTCATTTCAGTTTTTAATCACTGAAATTCCTTAAAATTGCAACGTATGTGTGTGCACGCAAACATATATATATATATATATATGTATATACTTTGCTCTGGCTATCCAGATAAGAGTAAGAGTAAGAGACTAGTAAGACTACGATTATCGACTAGTGACAAATGAAAATTTGAATAAGCCTTAGCTTAAAACAGTTAACTATGGATTAATAAGAACGTTTTAAATTGAGAAAATAAATACCGCAAGACGATGGTATATCCCAAATTTCTCTCGTTATCCATTAATAGCAGGAATGAAATTTAACTTACACCTTTCGAATCAGTCGTTTCATCCAAACTCTATCCTCTTATTTGAAAGTTGCCAAGAAGTGCCATATCACAATAACCTCGTTCACAATCGACTGAAGAGTCAAAACAGTATGAATTTTACTTTCTGCTTAATCCAACATTTAATAAGAGTATCATCATTACAAGTCAGTGCTCATAACATTTATAAGAAGATTTACAAATACATTGAAAAAATAATTCTAAGCAATTTAAGAAATACAGCTGATTTTTTAGAAATAACGATGAAGTGAGCGAGGGCAAGCAAAGAAGCAACAATTCATAATAAATACGATTAATATATTTGCGAACTGGGAGCACAGATTCGTTGTTAGTAATCTCTGATCACTACCAGTTGCAAGTATTAACAACAAAGAAGATATTCCAGATATTTAAATACCAGTCAAATATCAAGACATGCAACTTAAAGTTGACGGATTAGCAGAATTAAATTATTAACCAATTAATTTCAGTTGTTGAAAGTTTGAGGCACTAAGAAATTACAAATAAAAAACAACTGTAATAGATGAAAAAAAACAAAACAAAACAGTTAACAGGAGTGACCGTTTAAGAATATGTGTGATTGCGCTTAACGACGATTTCCGGAATATTAATCAGTAAATGGATAGAAAACTGCCAAATGAATTCAATGATCTGATGAAATGGAAAGCTGGTCCTGTCACTCCTTGTCCTCATCCTCTATCTGCCTGTTTGCACTTTTCCTCCTGCCCTTGAAATCACTCATTAGTGCTACCTTTGAAGAGTGAGGGATGCCAGTAATGGATAATAGAAAAAAGACTTGCTTGGAAAAGGAAAGTCTTTGAGAATTCAGGCTTGGACAGCAGGAGTGCAGCTGCGAAATGCATATAGCGTGCATTTCTCAGCTGCCATTTGAGTCACTTCACTTCACTGGGCGTGCAACGTTTGAGTTCCGCCCTGTCGAAGCATAGCCTCAATATCGGAAATCCACAAATACATGGCTACTGAATTGCTTGGCCATAGACGACAAGCTATTGCTAATCATGTTTCTCACGCATACAGCACAACTTCATACTCACTTCTATGGAAGAAATCATTTAAGAAGTTATCTTCACGGACACTCAAAATTTATTATGCAGCAAACCAGATTGCTCCTCAAAGAATTATGATGTTCTCCAAGCAAATGAATTACCACTATCGCTTGTCTTACCTCAGGACTTGTGATAAAAAATTGTTACACCAACATTCTTGATGCGTCGTATGGTTGGTGACAAACAAAATTCTCTGAATATTGTCGACATAGATGCGAGCAAAGAGAAAATCCGGCATTAGTCATGCTGGTCACAGTGACAAATGAGTGATATTTTGAGGTCAGTCAGCTGCAGTTGCGAGTGAAACAGATAAATAAATCCCTTTTCCATAAAGCCTGAATTTATTAGGACTGGGAAATGCAATATTCGTACGTAATCGGTGCAAGTCAGGGGACCACAAGAAACCTACAATTAAGCAAGGATGGGATGTTTCCTTTTACGTTAGTTTTACCATATCAAGATGTCCTAAAGAGAAAATTAAAATAAAATGAATTGCATCTTCCCGGAAAATCGCCAAATGCCTTAATTTCTTACCACAATCCAAAATATCTCTAATTTCATTTGTAACCTCGTCTGCACCTCCCTTTCTATCATAATGGTGTAAATGAAATCAATAATTACAAATAACAAATCGATCTAACAATATCAAGTCTCATTTATCCC